CTGTTTGATCAGGAAGGTCGATTTCTCACCCCAGAGGATCTGGTATTGACGGATCGTGCAGGCGAGGAGCTGGTCGCCGAAGCTGGTGGTCAGCGCACTCTTTTTGGGAATACGCTTGGACTTTTCCCATGCAACGGACTCCTTGAAGTCCTGCGTGCGTTGACGGGCGATGTCCGAGGAGGGATAGTCATATTCCTGGATCATATGCTGGTACAACGGGGACTGGCGGTACTCGGCGAGGATGGCGTCTGCGTTGCGGGGGAAACGGTTCTCAAAACCAGGCTTGATTTTTCTCTCGGTTGGAACAGTCACACCGGTGAGATAGTCACCTGACAGCTGTTAGCCCTCACGCTCCTTTCAATCGAGACAGGATTCACTTACCAATATTTGCACCGTCCGAATACACGAACCCAAGCTCCTCCATGAACGGCTTCGCCGACGCGGCAGGGCCATAATAGATCTGCTTGCCCTCATCCAACACAAGCACCTTGTCGAAGAGGTTGTAAATTCCGTTTCCAGCCTGATACAGGGTCACAACCGTCGAGAGCCCAAGGATGTTGGTCATCGAGCGCAGAGCCTTGGCCCACTCCAGGGCGGTGCTGGCATCGAGACCGCGTGTGCTGTTATCCCAGGTGAAGACCGAGCCATTGGTAGCCATGCACTCGATGATGGACACGCGCTTGCGCTCCCCACCGGACACGCCGCGCACGAACTCATTGCCCACCTTGGTATCCTCGGTGTGGGCGATCTTCATGGACTCCATCAGGAACTGCTTGGTGTCGGCGACGTAGTTCTCGGCGGGCAGGTTGGCGGGGACCTTGAGCTTGGTGGCGAAGTCCATGGTCTGGCCGACGGTCAGGCGCGGGTAGAAGAGCTCCTCCTCGGTGTTCATGACGATCTGGCCGCGGTACTGCGCGGCCTGCTGGGAGTCCATGTCGCCGAAGAAGACATCCCCGGACACGGAGCGGTACCCCTCGCGGCGGTTGGACAGCATTTTCAGCAGCGTGGTGCACCCGGACCCCGGCCGGCCCAGGACCAGCAGCATCTCGCCGGGCTTGACGCAGCCGTGGCTGTCCTGGAGGATCGGCTTGAGCGGGGGCTTACGCATGAAGTCTTTGATGAGCTGCGGCACGTTGTACTGCGTGATCAGGTTCTCCTTGACGGCCGCCTCGGCCGCCACCACCTCCACCGTCAGGTTCTGCCACGTCACCCCCAGCTCGCGGCGTTTGTATCCGGCCGCCTCGGTGCGGCGCTGGATTTCTCGGACGCGGTCGGCCATGCTCCATTCCGTCTCGATGCGCGGTTGTTGCGGGGTGCTGTGGGGGTCGTTGTGGTTGGGGCTGGCGAGCGTCTCGGCGCTACGGGCTTCGCGGATCCCGGACTCGGGCACGGCCAGGGTTTCGGCGCTGGGGGCATCGCGGACATTGATCTCGGGGATGCCTAGGTGTGTTTTCTTCTCGGATAGTTGAGCTTCGTCGTCGGAGTGGTCGCCGTATTCTGTTGGGGCTGTCGAAGCCGACGGCTCCTCATGGAAGAATTCCATGGTTTTGGGTGTGTCGAACGTGATAAGTGAGTGGAGATTTCTCTAACCATGCAAATTCGAAAAAGAAAGAACTAGAACTAAGACTAATCACAGAGTATCAAGTAAGAAGTTGTGGTATTGTTCTGCAACTCACCTCATCGAGGAAAGCGGGAATGGGCTAGGTATATGTACGAGTGCACGGATACGCGGAATGGGAGGCCGACGGGCGCCCGTACCGACTCTGCCGTTGGAAAAGTTCCGCAGTATGAGCGATTTGCCTCTGGTACCTGAAACCTTGAATATTATCTGAGGCAAAACGCTCGAGCCGAACTGCCGCTCGACTGATAGGGAAAGGGGCTGCGAGGGGAGCACATTACGCTAGCACGTCGCGTATCCACCGTAAAGATTGTATATTGATTATTAGCTGTCTTATTGGTGAGGACAACCCTTCCCCTGGGGGCCTAGACTTGGGGTTCTGGATGCCAGCCATTGCCGCCTGTCCCGATTGCTTGCAAGTCGTGCAACTCGTCAGTTAGGGCAGTGCTCACGAAGTCATTCACAGGGCGTCAGCAAAGAAATTGCTATCTATACCGAGTTTCTGACAACCCAAGCATTCCATTGCAATTGATACCAATCCTATCCTCATGGTAGCCAACCAAAAATAGACTGTGTCAGACAGACCACGGTGAGTGCATCATGAACTCAGCCAAGCCAAATATTACCGAAACAGGCAAGATCCTACGCGAGCCCGTCGAAAACGGCAAGCCAAGACTCTGAGTTGATAAGGAGGCGAACCCCGATAAGGGATGATGTCGCGATTGGGACGATCCCGATCTACCCGGGTGGAGTTCCAAGCTGTCGGGTTTGGCAGGATGTGTGCCACACTAGTGTATCACTTTGCTTGGATAAACCCAGTATGCTATCTTTACCACATGTTGCACCCATGTCGGGGTTGAACCCCCTTGCCGCGGTTCCGCGGCTGGGTAAGGAGTCGATTGAGTTCATCTAGTCGATCTGTTATGCGAAGCTAGCTTTGGCTCCCGCGGCTGATCATAGGTGTTGCTTATATATTCTGCACCACGGCTGCCGAGGGCTCCAGGGTTTGCGTCCACCGAGCTCCTTTGACGATTGTCGATTTACGTATAGGGGTACATCACAGATGATGCAGCTCTGAGCTTTGAGCTTAACAGTCAAGCCCTTATCTTCGATCCTGAGGCCCACACAATCAATCTCTCTTGTCGATGCCGGACTTCCGGCCCGGTCTGGACACACCTCGGGTCGGCATGTAGTCCGGCAGCTGGTCCCCCGGCTAGACTGCAACCACAAAGCAGCTGGGACGTGATTCCAAATTCTGGCACTGAACAGTTGACATCTGCTGTACTTTGATGTTATGGTTTGATCTCTTCAGATCTGGTTGGTTTCCAGGCATTACCGGTGGCAATCAACCCTGCTTAACACAACATGTGCCAATATCGGGTATGATCAGATTAGATGTAAGTCCATGCATCACCTTGTATACTGCTACTGTCTTGAAGATATTGCATGATAAGACGCATGCCTTTGTTGATCATCTCACATACTGTGTTCAGTGAGTGTGGATTGAGTGTAGAGTTTATGTGCGCAGCATATGCAAATCTCACCCAAAAATGAAAAAAAGAAAAACAACGAAAGAAAAGAGAAAATAAAAGAAGGGGGGAAAAACCATGGCCGATTTGCAACCCTAGTTGTTCTTGACCAATCTCAGATAGTTCTACATCTCGACACCAACCTTCAAATCCGATTGAATGTAAGGAATTCAAGGCTACCAACCAAACCAAGCTCCAGCAAAAGCGAGCAAGCGGTCTCGGCCCACCACCCAATCTACGGAAGACCATTGCGGCCACTCGGCAAATAGGATTTTTCTCACCAAGTATTCTGACTGCAGTAGTAACCGCCTACTAAAATAGTTACTATAACTCCCCGCCCCCTCCTCCGCCGCCATCCCCAGGGCCTGTACAATTAAAGTACTTCCTAAGTTTAATTTTTTAGTCTTTTACCAACCCCCCCCCCCCCCCCCCCTCTTTTATCTTCTAAAAAAACTCTTTAAACTATATAACCAACTCAGCCCCTTCTTACATTAGGATCTTTAGGATTCTTTAGGGTCGAAGGTATTGTTCTTAGGGTTCTTTATTAATGATTATTAGGGTTATTAGGGTTTATCTTTTGCTTATAATTTTGCCGGCAGATTTTCCTTTTGCCGAGTGGCCGCAATGGTGTCCCGTACCACTCCCGCTCCGTTCAAGCCGGAGTTCGGAAGTTTATTTCCTTCCGAACCCCGCCAAAAAAACGACCTGCATCCCAAACAACGTCCACAGCACTCCGGATGAATCCACCCCCTCCAGAATATCATTGTGGCCATAATAAACCCCGCGGGCCGGAAATCTCGTCAAAATGGAACCCCGACGACGAACTGCGCCCTACGGCCGCGCGTGCCTCAACTGCGCCCGCGCCAAGTGCAAGTGCCTGCTGCGGACGACCGGAGGCGGGTGTGAGAGGTACAGTACCGGGACACCCTACCCTAATCTAGCAACATATCCATCCCCAACCCCACAGCGCAGCTAGTCTGACTTTATGGGGGTAGATGCACCCGCCTAAAGAAAGAATGCATCCCCGCGCCAACGGTGCGGCAACGGCGACCACGCGCCTCGCGCACCGCGCGGCTGGAGCAGAAGCTCGACGGGCTGGTGTCGCTGCTGCAGACGGGGCATGCCGCTGGGGAAAGTGATCGTGGGAGACGAGGGTTGTTGGCGGTCGAAAGCCACCAGGAGAACTTCCCAGTCTCTACGATACCACCGCCAAACGCGTACGCCCTTCCCCCGGGGGTGGAGTTCGCCCCTGCGGAGGCAGAAGCAAACTGGGAACTGTACCGCACGCGGTATCTCCCGCTCCTTCCGGTGATGCATTTCGACCACACCTTCACGGCCCAGGGGCTTCGTCAGGCGCGCCCGTTCTTCTGGACGTGCGTCATGGCCGTAACGTGTAGCGACGGGACGCGGCAGGAGGTGTTAGGGCGCGCGGTGCGGGAGATGGCGGCGCGGGAGGTGGTGGTTGAAGGGCGGCGGACGGTGGATCTGTTGCTTGGGTTGCTTTGTCTGATTGGATGGTATGCTTGCGTCTCTCGAATACACTCCATAAGACTCTTGCTAGGACCCTAGCTGACGAGCAATAACGAAGGGGCCATTTCCGGTTCGCGATGGGCCCGCTGCTGACGGTGTTCTCGCACCTGTGCACGGCGCTGACGCTGGACCTTGAGCTGCAGCGGCGGGAAGGGAAGCCCGCTTACCTGCAGCATCTTGCCGTGCCGCCCCAGTTCCAGGGCAAGATCCGCGTCCCCGACGCCAGGAGTCACGAGCATCGGCGGACGGTGTTAGCGTGTTTTCTGTTGACTTCGAGGTGGGTTGCGCTACTACCGGGTGGGATGTGTATTATGCTGATGTTGATGCTGAGGCGTAGCGCGGCGACGTTTCACAGTCGGGTGGAGAGTTTGTCCTGGTCGCCGTATCTGGCGGAATGTTTGACGGTGCTGGAAGACACGCACGAGGCGCCCGGAGACGCGTTGCTGGTGGGCCTGGTCAAGCTGCAGTTGATCGCGGCGAAAGTCACCCGGATCTGGGTGCACAGTGGGGGTTGCAAGAAGGATGAAGGCACGTGGATGATTGGGCCGTACGTTGCTTCACTCAATATGGAGTTGGTGGCTGCGCGGGATCAGGCTCCTTCGCATGTCAGGACGAACCGTACGTCCAGCCCTACTTTTTGCTGACTAGTACAGACATTAACATTGTTCTGCAGGAATCTTCCAGACCATGACATCTCACACAGAAATCACAATCTTTGAGCTTACCCTCCTCCGCGCTTCAACCGTCCCCATCGCCACCGACACGGACCTGCAAGCCCTCGACCATCTATTCCGATGTCTAGAAGCCATTAAATCCTGGATCCGAACCATCCTTAAGTTTGACGCAGCAGAGTACATCGGCTTCCCCTTTCCCCTGTGGAAGCAATTCCGAACCGTCGTGCTCGTCACCCTCCGCCTGGGGGCGCTGGACGACCCCGCCTGGGATACGGGGCTGGTTCGACGGTCCGTCGACCTGCCCAGCGTGCTAGACGAGATCGCACGGAAATTGGAGCGAGGCCGGTCGCAGACGGAGGAGCCTGTATTCGCGACGTTCATCAAGATGGTGCATATGCTGAAGTCGTGGACTTTGTCGGTCTATACTGACGGTCCGAGCAAGCCGGCTGATTCTGGGTGTACGTCGGGGAGTTTGTCGGAGGGAGAGCAGGCTGCAGTGGAGGATCCACCGTGGGGAGACCTAGTGTGCGATGACGAGTTCTGGAATGTGGATTTTCTGGGGTGGCCTTACATGTCTTAAAATCGGTATAAATTGAGTCTGTTGGCTACTCGGTTTTCTAGTAGCAGGCAAGATTATAAGCTCCGTACTCAGGATATCCAACCCTAAACGTATACGATCCAACCTCCAGAACACCAATTCTATTCTACCCAAAACCAAACCCCTCACCCCTCACCCCTCACCCCTCACCCCTCAACCCCCCCATCCCCACGCACCATCCTCCACCAAGTCCCCTCCCAAACCCCCGCCCTCCTCCCATCAAACACAAACCCCCTCAACACCCTCTCCACCTCCGCCCACCCCCACCCCCTTAAATCCCCCCTCACCTCCTTGATGATTCGGTCCCACAACCCCCGCTGCACCCGCACGGGCGTCAACCCCCGATTCCTCGGCGTGGTAATCACCATCCACAACCACACCAAACAGTCCCGCAGCACAACGTCCGTCCACAGCCTCGGAACGGCCAACAGCATCTCCGCCCGTCTTTTCGGTTGCCGGAAGATCACGGCGGCCGGGTGGAGCCCCATGTGGCTGACGTCGTCGGCGAGACACAGCAGGGCCACGAAGATGCATTTCTCGACGGGGTTCAACGGGTGGGAGGCGCTGTGCCGCCACACGGGGATGTTGCTGGGGTCGTCCACCAGTAGGTATCGGTCGTGCCAGTCGTGGAAGCTGGCGAGGATGGAGAGGGAGGCCGGGGTGATGCGGTTTTGGGTGAGGAGGGTGGCGAAGCCTTTGGGGATATCGAGACTCTGGTTCAGGTTGTAGGTGTCTAAGGTGGGGGGGTATGAAGGTGGGGGAGAGAGTGATTCTGCTTGTGAGGAGGGGGAGGGGGGGGAGGAAAGGGAGGTCTGCATGTGCAGGACCAACAGACTCCGGGCGACGTTCGCTGCCATCCGCAGGTCCTGGCTGATGGCGGGTACGGACGAGCCGACCTGCGCTTCCCCGCCGCGGGCGCGGATCACCGCCTCGAAGCCCGCCGTGTGGGCGCGACTGTAGGCGACGTTGGAGAGGTAGTCGTCCACCGTGACCAGGAGGGTCAGGGCGGAGATGAGGAGGTCGGTGACGTGGCCCGTGGCCAGGGTGTGTTGGATCTCGGTGAGGAGGCGCCCCCGGTGGTAGAGAGCGGCCGCGTGCAGCTGCTCGGAGGCCGGGGAGAGATCCTCGGCCTGGGACTCGAGGGTGCACAGCGCGAACACGGCGAGGCCGTGCAGCATGATGTCGTGGTGGGCGGACCAGTGCAGGAAGACGGAGCCGTAGGTCTGGCGCTGGGCGGGGGCGTGGCTGAGGACTTGCGAGTCGTGCGGGAGGAGGATGTCGAAGTCTACCTCCGATCGTTTAGAGCAGAGAGGGGGGTGGAGGGAATGGTTAGGGCTACGCACAGTAAGAGAGCGCGCGGGCGGTGCAGGGCCCCTTGGAGGCCGGGGTCGCCAGCGGGTAGAACCGCCCCGTGCCGATCGGGCTCAGGCTCGGAGGCCTTCGATCGGAAATGCGCTGCACGGGCCGTCGGCGTCGATCTTGGTCTGGATCATCGCGAGACTTCGGGTCTTGCTCGGGCTCTACCACGAATGTGCTCAAGCCACGCTGGAACCGTGGGGACTGGTGCTGTTGGCGGCGCTGGGCGGCGCGGGCGGCGACCAGGGCATGGACGGGTCGACGTGATTTGCCCGGTTGCATCTCGGTGGGGTTGTAGGGGATGAACATGGTGGATGTGGTGGCCAGCGGTCTCATATGTAAGGAGAATTAATGATTTCTCAACATTTTTGATTAGAATGATGATCAAGGTGGGGTAACCAGCAGTGAGCGTTTAGCTGAATTGGGATTAGCAGCACGGATGAGTGGCTTGTTCGTCTGGAAGGCGGGATACGGTGACTTACTCACAAGTAAGCTTAGCTATAGTAGTAGTGGTAGTAGTTAGTTTGATACCGCCTGACACAGCTGAGGCTCAGCTCCGCACTCAGCCTTGCCATGTGGGAATTGCTTATCTCCCCTCACTTATCATTGGCCACCTCGCCTACATGAATGGAGTTTCAACTACAGCAGCCTAGAGATGAAGTTCGTGCACAGGATCGGACGGACTATATAAACCCTGCTTACTTCCCTTTTCTTCTTCCTCCCAAATTAACTCTCCAAACAACCCATCCATTCCATTCACAATGCCATCATCATCATCATCATCACCACCACCACCACCACCACAATCAACCTTCACCCCCCTCCTCCCATCCCAACCGCTCCCCAAAAATGGCCCCATCCGCTTCCCCTTCCAACCCCCCAACCTCTCCGTCATGCTCCGCGACAACATGACCCTCAGCAGCTGGCTTCTCAGCGGCGCCCTCCTCCAGGGCCTAGCTTTTACGGTATTCGGCCCAAAATCCCTCATCCCGCCGACCATGATCCTCCTCTACCGCCTGATCGACCACCTCCTCATGGCCGCCCACATCACCCGCAACCGCTACATGGACCACACCCTCCAAACCAAATTCTCAGCCCAGTACCCAACCACCCCATCCACCACCCCGCAACACTCCGGCAGCACCCTCTCGAAATACTTCCCCGCCACCCCGGCCGCGCAACCCCTGGTGGTCTTCCACCTGGGCGCCCGCGTCAACCACCCCCTCGGCATGTTCGCCCCGGGCTGGCGCGACCTCGGCGAGTACAACCAGAAGATGCTGGCGTCGATGACGGCCGACGCCGAGAAGTACGGGCTACTGGGGGTGTCGCACTGGACCAAGGACGCGGCCGCCGCGGGGAACGAGAGCATGTGGGTGTTCTATCTGCGGGACTACGACGCGCTGCATCGGTTCGCGCACGACGAGGTGCATATGAATGGCGTGCGGTGGTGGGCGAGCGTCGTCAAGACGCATCCGCATATTGCCATTTATCATGAGACGTACCTGGTCAATAAAGGGCAGTGGGAGAATATCTATATCAATTCGGAGCCGACGGGCTTGGCGGATGCGTGGTTTCCGGTCGCTGAGGGGGATAAGGGGGAAAAGGGCCAGAGGATGTGGGTGCGGGCGCCGGTGGATGCGCGCGGCGGCGCGCTGCGGTCGGCGTCGAGGCGGTTGCAGAGGGGGTGGTTGGAGGAGGCGGAGAAGGTCGAGGGGGAGTTGTATGACCGGAGTTTTGCTGCGTGAATACATGGGAGGTGTGTGTGTGATGGAGGAGGAGGAGGAGGAGGAGGAGGAGGAGGAGGAGGATGAGATGTGGGTTGGGTGGGCTGGCTTGCTGATGTGTATTGTGTTGTGTCAGGGCAGGAGTGGGAGGTTTTGAACCCAAGGAGGCTATGCTTCTGGAGAATGCATCTTACTAGTGCAGTGCGTTGTATGGATATAATGACATTTATTTATCTCGTTGCAGTCAGAAAAGAAGACGCATTGACATGCTCTAAAATCAGTAAGATTCTGTATCTATTCCAGGCTCATTATGGTATGATGGAGCGATAAGAAACCAAGCCTTCCCCCAATATAGTGTAATCTACCTGGTAGTAGACAACGGGCTGATATTATCCAATATCTCTAGTAGCCGGCTTGGCGACCTCGTCTTGTTCACCAACGATGCAAAAGGTCTGACGCTCCTCATCCCGAGTTAGTCGCAGATTGTAAGCATACAGAAGCAATTAGACGTGGCAATCTCGCACGCAATCCAGAAATCAAGGTCTGCAAGGGTGATGAGAAATCACCAAATCAACCCATACGGCGACACGACCAACAACCTCATCCGGACCAGATCACTAATCAAACAACTATCTTTGTAATCTGTCACCAATAGCATTGTATAAGTAAGCTCTTCAATTCCAGGTACCAGCCGTATCATCCTCATGATCATCATCCAGAAATAAGTCACAAAACATCAACCATGACAGCCCCAATGCAAATGCAGCAACTCGCCGCTGCGGCCCTGCCTGCCTACACCTGTCCGCCGGGGACCCAGATGCACATCCTCAATCTGGGCACGATGAACGTCGACGAGGGATGGTACCTCGCCCTCTTCCTTTTACCCCACAGCCCGAAACATCAATTCTAATCAAGCAAAGGCTCCTCACCGGCGCCAACGGCAGCTCCGCCAGCAACCCCAACCCGCCCAACAAACGCCGAGACCTGATGCTGATCGCGGGTCTGATTGAGCACCCAGAAATGGGGCTGATCTTGTTCGAAACAGGGAGCGCGGAGGATGTTGATCGGGTAGACCGCCCTTGCCCTTGCCCTTGCCCTCCCTTCCCAGCTGCAGCATGAGCAGAAACATATGCAGCATCGCACCGCACCGCGATACTAACCACCCCGAGAAAAAGCAATGGGGCCCCCAAGCCACCGACCTCTTCCCCCGCACCCACTACGAACCCCAGCACCACCTTCCCGCCGCCATCCGCGCCACCGGCCACGACATCCGCGATGTGAAAGCCGTCATCATGGGCCACCTGCACCTGGACCACGCCGGCGGCCTCGAGCATTTCCGCAGCACGGGGGTACCGATCTACGTGCACGAGGAGGAGTTCAAGCACGCCTGCTGGGCGGCGGCGACGGGGGCGGACGGGGGCGTGTATCTGTAGCTCTTTCCCTTACCCTACCCCTTCTTACTACCAGTCCCCACCCACCCGTAAGGAATGCTAACACCTCCGCAGAGCAGATTACCTCTCGCTAGACACACTCAACTGGCAAACCTTCTCCGAACCCCAACTCGACCTCTGCACGGGCATCACCCTCTACAATTGTCCCGGGCATACCCCGGGGCTGTGCATTATGCAGGTGAACCTGCAGAAAGACGGGACGTTCATCTGGACGACGGATCAGTTCCACGTCAGGGAGAATTTCGAGCGGAATCAGGCGCAGGGGTGGCTGCTGCGGGATCATCGGGCGTGGGTCGCGAGTGGGAAGTTTGTGGCGCGGCTGCAGCGGTTGTTCCGGGCGCGGTTGATCTTTGGGCATGATTATGAGACGGCGGATGGGTTGATGAGGGAGAAGGGAGTTTGGGAGTAGTCCTGGGGATTTCGGGGGTTGGTTGGGGAAGAGAGGAGGGTGTGGGTCTCGGGTTAAGAATTGTATATACTAATGAGAAGTTGATAGTTAGGGTTAGGGAACGCTTAGAAGCTGAAACAGAACCACCGCTTGAAATAATGAAATGAAAAGAAAAGACCAAGGGCCAAGACCACGCAGCTCGCTAGCCATACAATTACAGACGAAATCAATAAACATCCGGACTCCCCTGCGTAGCCGCATTAAACGCCCTCACGCACGACCAACTCCCCATCCCCTTGACCGGGCCGACCGCGTCCAGCGGATCCCACGCCACCGCTTCCACCTCCACATCGTCCGGCGTAGGCTTCTCCAGCCGTTTCGTGCGCAGCAACATCTCCAGTTTCCTACGACGAATCCCCCGCAACTTACAAAAAAGCTCATCAGCCGTCAGCCCTCGCTCTATCTCATCATCATCATCATCATCATCATCCTCATCATCCTCACCACCCTTCCCCCGCCCCGGAACCAAAACCAACCCCCCAAACCCCGGTTCCACCGCACACCTCTCCCCTAAATCCACCAACAACGCCTCCTCCGCCAACGACGCCAACCAATTCGAATCAAACGGGCCCTCGCGATGCGGCCAGCTGCGCATCAACCCAATCGCACGCCACCTGACCCGATAATCATCACACAGGATCGCGGCCAGATACAGCGGCGGGAGGACGCCCGTCTCCACCGTGAAACTCGGCCGGTGGTCCGGGAACGTGGTCATCAGGGCCTCCACCAGCTCGCAGGTCTTCTCCAGGTCGGCGCGGTAGTGCGCCAGCGCGGCGCGGTTGCTGCCCAGCAGGCACGAGTGCAGACAGACGCGCAGGCTGACGAGGTGGAGGTTGATGATATCGGCGCCGCGCTGTTCCTTCGGGGTCAGATGGGGGTAGGCGTGGGTGTAGAAGGGGCGGAAGCGCTGCGCGAAGAGGGTCGCGTCGCTCCAGACGGCGTGCTGTTGGGTTTGCAGGGCAGCATAATTAGCGGAGACCTGCGGTTGGGTGAGGCCCATGCAGGGGGCGCTGAAGCGGTAGGAGGTGCGGAGGAGGGTGTCGAAGGCGGCGCGCGCCGAGGGGAGGGATGGGAAGGGTTGAGTTGGGGATTCGGGGGACGTGGGATCAGGGGAGGTGAAGGGGTGGAGCGGCTGCAGCATCGGGAAGACGCGGTCGTAGTGTGAGGCGAGGATGTCCAGGTGCGCGAACGCGGTGACGATGCACTGCTCGACCAGTCCCCGCCGCGAGGCCAGATTGCCGAACGCACCGTGCTGCTGCAGCTCCTGTAGGATGAGTAGTCCACTCCGTAGATGTGCGAACCCGCTGTCGTACCGCCCGCGCAGCAGGTCCGCCAGCACGAACAGCAGGCAGCACACCAGGATGACCTCGCGGAAGCGTGGGTCCTGCGAGCGGCTGCGCCGGTTGAGCAGGGTGATGGCGCGCGCCAGCTGGTCCTGCGCGAACTGGTGCCACGGGTTCTCAGCCACCAGATCGCTGGGCGTGGCCAGCGGCATTCCGTTGGCCTCCGAGTTCTCGTGGATGGCGCTCAGCGCCACGATCGCGTGGTAGACCGGCGGCTCGGAGCGGCTCAGCTGCAGCACCAGCTTCTGCCACAGGGTGGAGTCGAAGAACTCCAGCAGCGTGGGCACCGTGTGGTGCTGGAAGTAGGCCACGCACCGCCGCTCGTCCGAGGTCATCGTCCAGTCCCGCCGGTCCAGCGCCGGGCTGGGCCCGCCGGCCAGGCTCAGTAGGTGTGGATCGGCCAGGGTCTTTTTGGGGGTCCATTTGAGCTTAGGGGGCAGTCGGTGGATGTCGTAGCCGTCGCACTGTCGACCGGTCGATGAACAGTTACGGCATGCTACGGGGGTTTCGTCGCATTTGATGCGGCGCACGCTGGTTGGAATGATTAGCAGCCGGCTACACAACGGTACTACAGGTGCATGGCTGCTACTCACCGACAGGTCCGACAGCCGGTTCTGGACCGCGTCCGACCGGATTTGGGCTTTGTGAATGCTGGCTGGCTTGATGAATGCATTGACAGATGACGACGATACACAGTAAGGGCAGGGTCCAGGGATGATACTCCGGGAGTCCGGAATGTCAGGGTTTGGCTGCTGTGAGGAAAATGTTGGGGCTCAGGGACCCATGACTAATCCACGGGCTGCCAAAGGGACTAACTATCAAGCACTATGAGGGGACAATTGCCGCTAACCACGCTGAAATCGTAACTCCAAAGCGCGCGATTGGTCTGATCGCGAAGTTGTCGGAAGGGTTGACTTTGGCCCAACTCAGTTGAGATTAGGGTTGGAGATGTGGGTGGAGGTGGGTTTCTCGGTCTCGCCGGAGGCCGCGAACCCTATCCCCCTGTCGCCCGGACAATTTCCTTCAAAGTTTCAGGGCCGGGTCCACTTCAATTGCGGGAAATGGTTATAAATGATTGGTTGATTCGCGAAACTTCGGGAAGTTTCGACTGCGCTCAGCCATCGTCGCGGAATCGTGTCGAGCCTCCAGGCTGTCAGGATCGGATACCTCACCCGACTCAGGGATTTGCATTGTGGGGATGTTGCTGTCAGTGATCAGTACCGCCAAGAAAAAAGATCTGAAAATAATGATCTGCAGTCTTCGAGGGGAGAGTGCGACCAGCCCTAGCAATCGGTCGCCAGATTTGATGGCCCGCATCCTCACCACAGAAACAGTCTCTCCACACCTACTGTTACAGCAGTCTTGAATTATACAAGATGGTAGAAATTCTCGTTCTAGCCCTTGTGCCCTTGCTACTCTTCTATCTGTACAGGAAGCTGCACTATCACCGATGCACCCAGCTATCCCCCTACCCGCAGCCCCAACCCTCGCTCATCTGGGGCCACCTCAAAACCATCCACGAGTTTTATGTCCCAAGGTGAAGCTGAACGACACATCGGTACGTTATTTCCAAATCAACTACGATTCTTACAGCAAGTGCTAATGCCCTACAGACCAAGTCCTCCTCGAGATCAAAGGGCACCTGTACCACCCGCCTCTCTTTGTCCTCGACCTCCGGCCCGTCCAATACCCACTCTGCGTCATCTGCGATCATGAAGTGGCGGAGCAGATCTCCCGCAGTTCGAAAGAATTCCCTTACAGCATGACAAAATCCCCAACGATCAAGGACCTGCACAGTCTGATTGGAATGAAGTCGATCATTGCCGCGGATGTACACACCAACCCCAGAAGCCTCGAATTGCCGTCCAAGGGTTCAAAATGCTGATCTACTATTTTCAGGGCGAAGAATGGAAAACCCTCCGCAAGCGCTTCAACCCGGGCTTCGCGCCCCAGCACCTGATGACCCTCCTCCCGCGGATCGTGGCCATGTCGCGCCGCTTCGTCGGGAATCTGGACCGCCACGCCAAGTCCGGGGAGGCGTTCCGGCTGGACGAGCCCTGCATCAACCTCACATTCGACATTATCGGTAATCACAATGCCCCCCCCCCATTCTTCAGATTCGATAATCCGAAACGAACCATCAACTAATATATCTTATGAAAACAGGCGCAAAAGTAATGGACACCGACTTCGGCGCGCAATGCGCCCCCCACCAGCAAAGCGAGATCTTCAAGCTCTTCCGGGAGCTGGTGCGCTCGTACCCCATGGCCGGCGGCATGAGCTGGGAGCGTGTCAACCTCTGGGGCGCGCTGCAGCGCCGGCGGATTACTGGCCGATTCGAGAAGTATCTGCGCGCGCACATCACGCAGAAGTTCGCCGACCTGCGGCAGGCCGCCGATGCTGCACCGACGGAGAAGGGGCGCTCGCGAAGCATCCTCTCCCTCAGTCTGCAGGACCTTGCCACCCTGGATGAAGACGTGATCTCCCAAACGAGCGACCAGCTCAAATCATTCCTGTTCGCCGGCTATGACACCACCAGCATCGTGCTGCAGTGGACCTTCTACGAGCTCAGCCGCACCCCGCGCGCGCTGCAGGCCGTGCGAACGGAATTAGCCGCGCTGTTTGGGGCGGACCCCTCCCCGACCGTGGTCTGGGACAAACTGACAGCGCCAGGGGGCGAGAGCCTCCTCAACCAAATGCCTTACACCTCCGCGGTGATCAAGGAGGTCCTCCGCCTGCATCCCCCCTCCGGCAGCGCGCGCTTCACCGCCCCAGGCACGGGGTTTACGGTCCAGCTTCCCGGTGGCGACTCCGTCAATCTGGACGGAATGGTCGTCTACAACTGCGAGACGCTGATCCACCGCGACGAGGCCGTGTACGGCGCGACCAAGGACATGTTCTGTCCGGAGCGGTGGTTGGATTCACCCGAAAAGAACCGGGGGATTCCGGCCAGCGCGTGGCGGGCGTTCGAGCGCGGGCCCCGGAGTTGTATCGGGCAGGAGCTGGCCACTCTGGAGGTGCGGGTGATTCTGGCGTGTACGGTGCGGCGGTATGAGGTTACGAAGGTTGGGTTGGGTGAGGTTGTGAAAAATGAGAAGGGACAGCCTGTGATGGGGGCGCAGGGGCAGTTTGCTGTGAGGAAGGAGTTGTTTAATGTGAGTTCATTCTCCTATCTCCTGTTTTTGGTGGGCCGGTGGCTGACCGGATTGGAATAGACGATGCAGATCACGGCGAAGCCTGTAGATGGGACGAGGGTGCGGGTTGCGTTTGCTGCGGAGGGTGGTGCTGGTTCAGTGGGAGCTGTGTAGAGTTAGGTGATGTTGTCAGGAATATCTGTTCATTTTAGGGTGATCATAAGGTGATTTGGGATGTATATCAACCTCATCACAGTGAACAACCAGATGTTATGGATTTACATGTCCGCTTAGTTTATTACAGTCAGAAGACTTCCGTGCCATCGAAAATAGTCCAGTCCCGATATGGTCAAGGATTCCCTGCAATCTCGAGCCAGAGCCGGGGTCTGCAAGCAAGATGAATGTGCCGCTCATCACTCTGTACCCATCTCAGATGCAAATCCCGGTACCTTACAAATCGCAAGCAAACCACATCGCCCACATCACCAGCCTCAGATCAGCACAATACAGAAAGCAGATCTTTCCAGAAGCGCATGACAAATTTCATCCTCAACCTGAATTTGTAATACATTGCATGGTGTGAATGGTAAGTGGTCTACAGGTCGAGAGGCTTCCAAATCCAGAGTCATCAGCCCTCGATCATCAGATCTCTTATCTATATTCTGTAAGAGGCAAAGGCAGAGACAAAGGTAAAGAATGGTAAGCTTAACCGCGCTAGGGTTAGAGTCGCCCAGCTTGCGACCGTCGGACCCAGCCGACCACCAATTTCTCCAAATAGCATTCCATAATTTGCCCATCAACCAATCATTTAGTAAGATAGCATTGACTAGTGGCCTGACATCAGGCCAAAACACCTCAGGCTGAGATCCCTCCCCGTAGACAATCTCATCTCGACCGGCGCGATAGAATAATCAATCGATTGAGGGGCCCACCACACTATGCCGAATCAAGAAGTCGCTCTTCCGTTTCAGGTAAAGTGTAAACATCGCCCTGCACTAACCAGCTAGTCTACACAACAAATAAACTCCGCCCGGTAACCGTCCTTATACCCGGGCCAGAGCTAGGTACTTAGTACGTAGATAACCCGGCTCCTGCAGAACTTAGGGCTTTCCTTCCCTTCCGACCCAATCGACCCCCCCCCTTGGGGCAAAAAAAGGCTCAGTCCCTGACTCTACAACGGGAATAGCTTCACAACCACGAGAAGTCCCGATTCCGTGATGATCGCGATACCTCCAATCACGGTGCACCCTGGAGACCAGGGTCATGATGGTTGGAGTCCAAGGATTGGGGGCTAATCTCTTCTGTCCACGCGAGCGTGAATCTCATTTTCTGCAGGGTTTACTTCAGACCCCCCTTCCCCACTTGCCCTAATAGCTTATTGATGCACGTTGGCGGTTGGGGTTGTATCCGAACTGCCAGTATGTACTGGGTACTATATATAGAGGGGTATATTCACCCGAATGTAGACAGATCTACAGATCATTTTTGAGTTCTCAACGTCTTCAACTCTAAAAGTCAAAAGATGTCACAAGCAGAGATGCTGACGAGTCCATGGACCCTGGACCCCGCCGTGATGCTGGATTACCTCTCCCTCCTCAATGCATCATCATCATCGCCCTCCTCTTCCATACAGTCCCGATCCCCCACACCCTCACAAGCATCTTCTATCCTCGACCCAACAAGTCCAACCCACTCCTCCACCGACGACGACGAATACAACACCACCACAATCCACAACCACCCCCGACTATCCCGCCACCCCGCCCAACCAAAGAAACAAGCCACGAAAACCCCGCGCAAACGCGGTCGGCCGAGGATGATCGACCAGACCACGGGGGAAGTCGACGACGCAGCCACCAAGGAGGTAAGCAAAGTTCCCCTTCCCCTTTCCTTCCCGGACGCCCAGCACCCCTTTCAATTTCGAAAAAACCAATTCAACCAAAAAAGACCCGACTAATCTCTCCGCATAGCGCCGCAAAATCCAGATCCGCGTGGCGCAGCGCGCCTACCGCTCGCGCCAGCAGGAACGCACCGCCCTCCTGACGCGGCAGGTGCACGAGCTGGAGCAGAAGCTGCTGATTGCGAGGAACATCTACCTCCACACGCACGCGACAGCGGTGATGGGGTGCGTAGACCCAACCGGGCCCGATGGGAGTAGGGGCGGCGGCGGCGGCGGCGGCGGAGGAGAAGGAGGAGGAGGCGGAGGAGGGTACTCGCGGACCCTGCAGGAGAATCTCCGGCTGCTGCTGGCGATCACGGAGGTGGATGCAGGTGGGAAAGAGGCGACGGGGTCCGAGGGGGAGGAGGATGGGTGTGGAGGACGGTGGGAGCCGCGGGACGACGTGAAGGCATCGTATCCGCTCTACCCGGGTCATGGGAACGGGCTGTTGCCGTCAACGCCCGGGGGGTTGCTGCCGGGGGGCATGTTTGAGGATCCGTTCGATGTGGATCTTTGAATGGTCTGATCTTGGGGAAGGAGGGTTGGCGTTAATTTATTCTTGGGGGGAGGGTTATTTGGCGTGCAGCGATTAGCGATGCTGTTTTTTTTTTTTTTTTTTTTTGGTTCTTGTATATACTATCGGCCTATCTCGGCAGATTAATAGAAGTATGGATTTCGTCAAGGTTTTGTTCCGTGTGAATCATGTACTGTTTCATTCATTGAACAAACACATACGACCACAGGGTGTGGAAAACAGGGCTTTCCGTCCGCTAAGCCGTACTTAAGCCCGAGTGCAACCGCACGGTCAATTCTCAAAAAGCCCTAGGCTCCAAGTATTCTCTGAAACGAAGAGGTAGACTGGGTGCGGGTGATAGGGGTGCAATCTCTATAGCTTCTAGCACCAGGGGTGCAAAGTGAACACCACTGGTGCTTAGGATCATCGAGGCAGGAATGATTTAAAGTAATGATACATAGCCAGGGCGTCAGGTCCGTTTTACTGTATCCTACTCTTTTCAACAAGACCGAGAACCGCGATATATCTATTTGTCTCCAGCACGTGATATCACAAGCAACAGGTGGAGGAACAAAAAACGCCTGGCGGCTTCCCGTGGGTGCACCCTAGATTATCAGCATGAACAGGAATTCGGGGAGAATGACATATGCTTGAAGGAACTGGCACCCACGACGTACAAAAGACATGGTCAAGCGATTAAGAACCGGGCACTGTGAGTTAACCCCCTAACTTGTATATTACATATGACTGGCAGCTTCTTACCCTTTCGCCCTAAAAGCTGGAGGCTTGCCCGTGACGAGCCAGCGGAGAAGAATTTCTCTCAGGATGAGCCGGACCCATCTCCTCAAGTCCTGAAATTGTTCGCCGAGAGCTATACTACAACGCGACCGAATAGAATTCCCTCTCAGTCATCAGTAATCAATCAGCTTGCTACGATGATCTCATGTGGGAGCGAAAGACGTCCAGAACATTACAGCTTGAAGTAAAGGAAGACGCTTACAACGTATTGCCACCTTTCCTTAATAATATAGGTACTCTCTGCTGACATACCCTTAGTTCATACGAAACGTACTCACGCGAAAGTATGAACTGCCTACCAAACTAAGGGAGCGGTTTCTGGTGACAGCCAAGGATATTGACTACCTGCTCTGCCGGCCTTTCGGGGATGATGATCATGATTATAAGCATTAACGAGCTAGAGTCCAGACAGCTTCTGCACTGAGTCTTTTTGCTGGCTCAGCATCACGAGCAGGTACAGTTATCGAATCAGGTTCCTATCGCGATACGAACGAGTGCCTCTACTACAGGGTAATCATACTTTCCTGGTCGGCTCAATCCTCACTATATTTAATGCTAATTCCTGCTATGTAGCACCTTACTTTCAACCCTGAAATGTAGCCGAAATGGTTGATCAGGCGCTGGGTAGTCATAGACCCTGAATTCTTGAAAGGTTGGCGCTACCGTAACGATAAGTCAATGTAGGTTTTGCGTATGACAGTCTATCTTAGCGGCAACCTGGCTGACTATGATTGACAGGCCCAAAAATTGGATTCAAGAGCATCTCGTACTGGGAAATAACTTTGTATTCTGGGTAACCGTCCACGTCATCGCGGACAGAGCGTTTAAAGGAGTTTCGTCTATTGATGAGCTCTTGTCGAAGCAGCCTCCGCCAGGGCGAGAATATTTTACTCTACAGTGGACAGATCGCGCAAAAAGCCTCCTTTTTTACCACATGGTCTTGCATTACATTGGTTTTTTTACGCCTTTACTGACCGCTCATGACAGTATATCGGTTATAAATGCCGCCCAGCATTATATGTGCTTCCTCCATTTCGAAAACAACGATACTTACCTCCAAAATTTTGAGTCGCCAACGCCTTCATATTTCCTCTATGTGAACTCGACTCCATGGTTCGATCTTCCAGGAGCGGGAGGGAACAGGTTGTGCTGAACCTATGTGGTATCATGCGTTGGGCCCGAAAGGCATCGTATCTCAAGCTTACGTTCCAGGGATAGCTGAGAGTTTTATTTGCACATCCGGCAATAGATCTGAGAAACGAAGGAAGATGACACAGGGAGGAATAGCACTTGGCAAGGATAAGACACAATGTATCGTATTTCTAAAACTTGCGATTCCTGTATAGCATGGTGTTCTACATTCTGTCTTGACAAGGACAGGTAGATATACAAACATGGATACTGTACCTACACCAGTCTTATTGTTGTATACTCGTTCTAATTGTAGTTTGAATCCCTTACTCCTAAGTCATCTGTTACAGAATCCAAACCTTTGCCTTTGTCTCCAAATTCTCCTTATGGCCTGTGTCTGTGCCCCGAGCTTAACTTAATAACTACTAATACTGGAACGACCTTATTTTTGGTAAAGAAACTTGAGTTAGATTAAACTATTTCCAAAGACTTTGATGGCTTCCTCTGAACATTAAATCTAAGAATGCTGATAGGAATTGCCGTAGTTGAATAGTACTAGTAAAGTGGGTTTATCTGGATAGAATAAATACTTATAACTAGAAAATAATGCAGAAATAGATTTTATTGTTTAATTGAATTAGAACTACATAGACTAACCTCTGCTGGAAGATTAAGCTAATCAAAGTTTTCTAACTGGATGTTTAAGATGTTGTAAGAAAAAATACTTTAAATATATAATAAATATTAGTATTATTTTTATTAATACTTTAAAACTATTCGCCTGTTGCAGTAATAATAAGGATATTTATATATAAATACAACATATATAGGTGCTTCTTCTTTTTAAAAAAAGACTAGGCTAATTAGAATATAGTTTTTTAATAGTATATTTCCGGCTGAGTACAAAATCTCTAGACAAATAAACAATAAGAATACTCTAGATGTAGATCACTTTTGTATAATGTAATAGTATAACTAGGTCTATGTAGAGTTGTTTTTTTATTATAGAAGTATAATTATCTAATTTGTAATAATCTAATTCTGGTCTACTATTACCAGGACCTAATCTAGCATTTTGCTTCTATAGAATATATCTCTACCTGACGACTCCTCTCTAAGCAAGCGCAACTAAATTCCGACTTTTCAGAGCAATCTTTCCAAGTATATCCCTGTGACAGATATTCTGACTCAGTCTGCTATCGCGACATTGAGCTCTTCACAAGGATGATATTTAGAAAAAAGGTAATCCTGTCGGAGCAGTCTTTAAATCCTTTCGCTCACAAAAAAAAAAAAAAAAAAAAAAAGAGAGAAGATCGATGGATTCGCGGCCGAGGGTTTCTAGTAGTTCTTCAATGAGTATATGAGTATTTGGCCACCACAACCGCGATGAGCTTTGAATCATCATTATTTCTGAATCTAGATTATCCTGGAATAACCATGTCTAGTTACAAAACTCGGAGATAAGGCGAACGAAAATCTTTTCCGTTTCCCGTATGCTCTGCACATCAACCCATTCTTCCTTTGCATGTAGCCCTTGGCCTGCCGGGCCGATCACAATAGTAGGGATCCCTACAGCGGCAAGAAGAGCCGCGTCGCACCAGATCGCCATACTCTCAATTGACGGCAGACTGCCGTACACATCCTGAGCAATCGCCGCTGTCTGCTGAACAAGCGAGTGCTCGACCGGTAGTTTGTAGGACGGACGAGACAAAGTCAGTCGAGGTTCGTTATATCGGAAGGTAGGTTTGGTTTGGGCGATTGTGCCTAGGATATTTTTCAGGTCGGACAAAATCGATTCGTCGCTTTGGACAGGAATAGTACGGAACTCGACGGTCACGGTGCACTTCGCCGGGTATGAAGAGGGCTCTTCACCGCCGTGTATCAAGCTGCAATGCAACGATGCTGGCCCAATCATATCATCAACTGGTAGCTGGCTTTGGTATTCTTCAAGAGCCGTGAGAAACCATCCAGCCTGCAGGATCGCGTCCACCCCCGAGGCCGGATCAGAGCCGTGAGCTGCAGTTCCCAGGATATCGACCTCGGCCCACACAAAGCCCTTATGGGCCGTAATGAGGACGCGGTTGGTCGGCTCCGGAATAACCGCGCCGTCAGCGCGCCAGCCCGAGGCAATCAGGTCTCGAGTGCCTTGAGACGCATCTTCTTCGTCCGACACGGCGGCGAAGATGACATCCCCGCGAAGGGGGGCCTTGTTGGCCTTAATAGCCGCAAGGGCTGCCATTTCGGCGGCGAGCCCAGACTTCATGTCCAACGCGCCTCGGCCAAAAATGACAGGGCGCCCGCTTTTCTCTCCGATATGTCCAGATAGAGGATCACGCTCGTAGCTGGTCAAACTAACTGTATCGATATGGCCATTAAGCATTAGAGCCTTTCCGCCACCAGATCCTCTGATCACACCAACAATAGATGGACGGCCGGGAACATTCTCAATTCGATGAGTCTCAATACCCCGATGTTCGAGCCATGCAGTGAGGTAATCCGCGATCCGCGTCTCTCCGGCTCCTGGGGTGGCTGATAAGGTCACATTTGATGAATCGATTCTGGTCAAAATTTGGGTTAGAGTCACCGAGTCGTCGGCGGTAACATCAAAAGAATCCATCAATTGAGTGGAAATGGAAGACATGTCTGAAGTGTTGGTTTGGTGAGTGTTGATGGCGCAGGTTCTTCGAGATTTTATAATCTGAATGGGCGCCTTCCCATTGACAAGCTCAAACGCTATCCGCGAGTCGGGTGGCGAAAATGGGGACCCACAGGGTTCGGCTTCGTTCCTTTAGTGTACCAGTATCATATACCATACTGTTAGTTATGGAGCCGCTCTTCTGATAGGTGAGATTTGCAACCGACAGACCTTGACTGGATAATCTGTGAGAAACTTTGCAGCAAGAAGACATGATGAAACGATACCGACGCGCGCTTTGTGGTGGGTAGCGTAACTCCTTCATACTGCGACTGGCCGATCATTTGGACAAACGTTAGAAGACGGGCTACGAACTTGAGAGGACGCATCTATCCAGAAGGCGATGACCTTTGCCTTCGGTTCTGAAGCGGCAAGCTTCTATAGCCCTCTCAATACGATTAATACCGCCAGCGTCGCAATGATTATTTCCTTCGGTCTCCAGGCGGTATGTTTCAGTATCCGTGGTTTAGATGAGTAAGAGGTTGCCCCTAAATTCTTCGAGCTGGCTATATCGAGCAGTACCTCGAACCAAGAAAGGGATTGGGGTCATAACCACACTGAGTTGGCAGTGACGCTTGTAGGTTGGGTACGGGGTTGGTAACATAGTAAACCTACATACTAAGTAGCAAAGGCCATTGTGCATCCGGGAAGGAAGTGGAGAAATGTTAATGGAGGGCGCGCGGGTCGTTCGTTGCCATCACGTAACAAAATAACTAAACATGATAACGATAATAGGTGGATTCTTCCTTTCCAGAGCGGTTCGGCGCGGTTTGCCATTCGCTCCATCCTGCTCCCTATGATAAACAGCCTATAAGAGATTCTTTTTGTCATGCTTGCTCATTGCTTTGTCAAGTTTCCATCCGAGAGATCTTGATTTCATGCTCTCTGCTGCCCCTATGTTGACATCATCTCGCTCGTCTCAGAATCAGATTCTCCGCGCAGTGCTCCTCTACATCCATACTAACATGTTTGGCGAATAGTCCCTTCAATTCTGGGATGCCTTTCCCTCAACTCGTGAATCCCCAGGGCCGTGCGCTTGCCCAATCATGTGAAAGTCTTGCTCAGCAGATTGCACGATCACACGAAACATCTTTCTATCAGTTCTTACTTTGCTAGGCCCTCCAATATCTGGGTCGAATTGGCCAAGAAACCTCGTGCTAGATCAAGCTATTAGTAGCTAGTCAGTCACACATCATAGAAGCTTACCGTCTACATTGTAGTAAACCATCTCTGTTGCACTTTCAAAAACAGAATTTAGCGCCAGGTAGCATATAAGGTTTTGGTTGTTTGCTTACAAACGTGGACTGTCCGTGGCTGAAATGTCAGGAACGAGTATGACATCAAAGCCTTTGTAAAATGCATCAAGTAAAGTTCCCCACTACTTGATTTAGTCGAGCTGGGTTGTAGATATAGATCGAAAATCGTATAACTCACAATGCACTGATCGATGTTTACTCCTCCCAGGAACAGCGTTGTAGTTTGATTTTCTTGAAGCCACAGACCCAGCGGTGTCTGGGCTTCCCAGAGACCACTCTGTCGACCTGAGACATACATGTCAGCGCAGTTCAAGGGTGGCAAAGGAAAAACGTTGCCTGGATCTTACTTTTATGAAACCATAAGTCAGTTCCTGCTTTGGCGCCTTCGGCCTGTAGAGCCTTCAGGGGGCCCATACAATTGGCTATTCCAGGCACCTCGCCACAACAACCTGCCAAGTGCAATGCCGTCAGCCATGCCTAAATCACTACCAAACGTCTCTGCACTTCTAATTAGTCTAGTTTGTGGGCCAGTTGTAGGGTGGTCAACAAACTAGACATGAGGTTAGACCCTTTACTGAAATCACTCAAGAGCGCGGGGGGCGAACTGCCCTGCGAACTGCCCTGTAAACGGCCCTGCAAACTGCCGTGCGAGGAAGGCTTTGAACAGTCTGGCAAGGAAGGCCTTGAACGGCCGCGCAAGGAAGGCCTTAAGGAAGCCTATAAGATCCTATCAGGCCCTTAGATATATATTTCCCCCGAGCGTAAGCGAGGGTTACCAAGGCTTGTATTATTTATATAAAAATATATATATCATAAATTAAGCTATAGTTATTAATCTATCTGCTATATCTAATCTTTTTTGATTTATTAATATAAATAGTTAAAATAATAGTTATATTTTAATCTGACCTTAACTGTATAATCAAAAAATTTATCTTAACCTGACTGCTAGGTTATGGTTAGATTAAGGTTAAGGTACAACAGTCAGGTTAAGCCACTCTAGTATAAAACAGTATTAATAACAGCTATTATTAATTCTTTAATTTAAAAATCTGTTAGTAAGTAAATATATATATTATTAGCTGACTAGAGCTTATATTGTATTAGTTTATAAACTATAATAGTAAATTTCCAATTAAAATACTTTAGTTGTCTTAGTCGGTAAAAGAGCTCGGGTCAAGGACTGGATAAAAGACTCTACCGTATGCGATACACTCCAAAAGGGTACTCTACCATCTCGATCAGTTTCTTTGTTACATGCTGGAAAGGGCCTCGGATCCCTTCTAATCCCTATGTCAGATGGCTTAGCTTATGCTCGCGGGTACGGACCGTCGCAGAATAGCTGACCCCACGGTGCTCCGTCCACCACATAGTGCTTTCTATTATCTAAAATCAAGGTCCGGGCAGCTTCAGACCATGAGAGATGAAGACCTGAAGCGACTTCAACTCACTTTGGGCGCGTGTTTGCTCGTCACATGACTCAGTGAGCCTTTCATCCCAACGATATGCCCTTGCCTTGTTGCTAAGCAAGTCTAAGCTAACCTACTCTCGAACTTGGAAGCAATATGTAATCATGATCGGTCTGAACTTTATAACATCAGTGACCTGGAATTCAACACCAAGCCTTGAAAAGAACCGCTGGTGCTTGCTAGGCTATATGCATCGATTCCGTGCAGCTCGGACTTGGATTTGGCTGGGCCCCGCTCGCCCTGCGGTCTCGCAAGGACACAATCTTCCCATAGCACCACTCCCAGCCCATTCGATCCCTTTGTATCAGCGTCTGCGCCCCCTCTGCTGCCTTAAGGATACTACTCGACCAGCCCTGCATCCACCAGTAGTCCTCCTCATAGCATTGCAGCAGTACAGTGTAGTGAATAAATATCCGGAGCGCCACGGGCTCATGGCGTCGCAGACGCGCCCAGTACTCCTCGGAGACATTCGCTGGCCATGCGGCGACAAGACGGGTGTCCTGCAGTCCTATCTGTCGGTTATAGGCCTTGTAGACTACGGTCTGAAGGTCGAAGGTGGCCCTTTGGTAGACTGTATCGTCGCAGGCTATCGTCTGCAAGTTGTCGAAGAGGTCGTGGATATCAGACAGAATCGAGGGGTCCGAAGCACAGGGCCCAGGGTCCGCCTGCTGTGGCCGGATCCCCACGATTTGGCCCACAGGCCGATAGAGAATAGTCTCCTGGTGCAAGAGGAAGAGTGCCTTACATCCACGGATAAGACTAAGCGAGTCAATGATCTCATCAAGCGTCAGCGTATCGTTGGCGGCAATCGGGGCAGCGAAGGCCCAGACGATCAGCAGCATGGCGAAGGTGAAGAGGACATCGTTTGCAGGGGACCGGCTGGCCAGCTGGGTATTGAACAGCTGCAGGCCGAGACTGTGGTGGTGCAGGGCGCGCACATGGTAGGTGTGATCACTGGGCTGGGCCTCGAGGGGGCTTTTGATGGTAATGGCCAGATGGAGAGCCGCGACAGCGAGCAGGCCGTGCATAAGCATCGGGTTCGAGCCAGCCTCGAAGGGGATGTGTCTTTGCCATAGATGCGGATTCCTGGGGCCGTCAAAGAGGGAGAGAGATGTGGCGGCGGTGAAATGGTTCATAAGAATCAGATCGAGCGAATCGAATAGGGGTCGTGAGACAGTGTTGGCGGGGGATGGGAATGGGGATGGGGATAGGGATGGCACTAGCTGTGGCTGTAGCTGTGCTTGCGAATGTGCTTGTGCTTGTGCTTGTGCTTGTGATTGTGATTGTGGATCTCCTTGTGTTGGTCGGTGGTAAAGGCAGCTGCACTGTGCTCGAATACAGTTGAAGCAAGCAGGACGCCCCTCGTCACACTACATCCAAGGTTGCTTAGTTGGGCCCTATTTTAGGATACTGGAAATGGATAGCCTATAATATCAGGCGGGCGTACCTTGACGCGGCGACTCCTGCATTGCAGACAACCACTCCGGGACTTCCGATGGAAGCGTCGAACAGGCATGGTGGAGCTGGCAGACGTGGACTCTGGAAATGAGATCTGAATCGTGATGTACGGGACGGGACAAGTAGTTCGGGCCTAGGATCTTCCGCTGGGTACGGTACGGTACGGTACGGCACGAAAATAACCCAGACCCAGTGGGCCAGCACTGAGAGAAGATACCTGGCTCAGCCAATCAAAAAGCGGCATTTTCCGTGGTGAACGAAGAACGATACACCAGAGATAAACGATAAACGATAAACGATAAACGAGGAACGAGGAACGAGGAACAAATCTTAATCCCAATCGACTCCATCCATTACATGATCCTGCTTCCATTTTTAGTGTCAGGGTCTCTATCGCAAAATCAAAGCTATAACCTTCTGCCTAGATCTCTAGTCCTGCATTAAGCTTAAATACAACTTACCACGCGCACCTTACCCCCTGCAGCCATGAGCCTAATCCGCAACAGCATCAGAATCACCACACACTTCAGCTTTAAACAATGGATAACTGCACCAGCGTCACCCCGGACTGCCCCGTCTCGGCCACAACACTGGGCTACTATCCCAACCTCGGCGGTAATGTCTTTCTGCTGCTCGTCTTTGCCCTCTGCGCTCTTGCCCAGATCTACCTGGGCCTCCGCTACCGAGTGCGCCTCTACTCTGCCCTGGTGTTTCTGGGATGTGCAGGCGAGGTGATCGGCTATGTCGGCCGCCTCATGCTCCACGCTAACCCCTGGAGCAACGGCGGCTTCATTATCCAGACCCTCTTACTTATTGTTTCCCCTTCCTTCCTCGCCGCCGCGCTCTACCTGACTGTTAAGACTGTTGTCCTTACCTGCGGTCCTCAGTTCTCCCTCCTTAACCCGAAGCTCTACACGTGGCTCTTTATTATTTGCGACGCGATCGGCTTTTGTACACAGTTAGCCGGTGGGGGGCTTCAGGCCACCGCCGCCAACGGTAAAGGATCGGAGAGCGCGGTGCGCGCGGGGACTAATATTATGATTGCAGGCATTGCCTTCCAGGCAGCCACAATGGCAGTATGTGGGGTACTGACAATTGACTTTACAAAAAAGATATATCTATATCAGAGAAATCAGGCCGGTTATAACTCGCTCTCATGGCATTCAATAAACCAGAGGGGGTTGGCGGGTTTTGTGGCGTGTCAGACAGTGGCATTTATAACAATCTTAATTCGGTGTATCTACCGGTAAGTTTTTTTGTTATATTATATTTAAGAATCTCAGTTGTATCAAGTAACCGGCTAACATTAACCAGAATTCCGGAGATGGCGGGTGGATGGGGAAACCCAATGATGCAAAATGAGACCAAATTTATGGTTCTAGATGGAACGTAAGTTATACTGTTTGATTATAAGATTTTGTTCGACTGCTAAATTAGGCCTGGGTTTAGTATGGTGGCTATTGGATCAATCCTAATAACTATAGCATTTCCTGGGATATTTCTTCCTGCAATCAGCAGCCGTTATGCTCGTGGTCAGCATCAGAAGACCGGGAGCCAGATTACAGAGGATGGGTTGGAGCTGACCAAGGGTATAGACGGTAGAGATCTGTAGGGGGTGGAGTGGTATCATTGACTAGAAGAGACTAGGGGTTGGAAAAGACTGCAAAGACCAAGGACCAGACTGCACCAGACTGCACCAGACTGGTTTTTAATCCTAAGTCTAAAAACTACTAAATAGATTTAGATTATTAAAAACTATACTACTACATTTTGGTATAATTCTATAGTCTTATAAATAAAATAAACAGCTTTACATTTATACTATATTTAAGTTATTTACAGCCAATCTATATTTTTTTATATTTTAATTTTACTAGTTATTTTTTTATATTATTATTAAGGGAAAATAAGTCAATTAGGTATAGATAGAGTGGCTAACGGCTAGGTCAGGTCAGATTAATTAAGATTTTAAGTTATGCTACTGTCCCAACTAGGATAGCAAGAGAATAAACGATAGCAATCCACATAATTATATGCAATACTTAATCGATTGGAAGGTTACACCGAACAATAGACAGTGATTGGGCCAAGCACGAAGCAAGATACAGTTCTGGCACCTGCTACCTACTGGCAACACTTCCTCCTTCCTAAGTGTCGGGCGCTTTTGGCGCAGGAAAAAAATCAGCACAATCAATGAAGGCAAGCTGAGTGCCATGCACGGTAGAGGTATAGATTTGGCATGCAACAGTGCCTGATCAGCGATCAGATTCAGACTTGGAAGGAAAGAGGGCCCATTATTTGCATACCAGCCATATCTCTCAAAAAAAAAAAAAAACCATCGGTCAGACATTGGAGGACCTTTGTTCGATCCTAGGGGAAATCTCGGTACCACCATAGCACATAAAGAGAGTCCGTATTCTGCAATGGCAGCGATTGCCAGTAACGAACCTGGATTCCAGTTCTGGCGATGCTTTCAAACCCATACAAATCAGTGAAATCGGCGGTGACACCGACTGCATATAACCGAGCTCCTGACTGGCCAATTACACCAGTGTTCATCCCAGCTATGATTTTGTTTATGTCGTTTATCATTCGTCTCTGAAAACCCCCCACGGTCTTGTTGAAGAAATCCTGATATTCTCCTCCGCACTTCAACTCGACACCGATTCTCTTGCAGCGTTCGGATGGGTTAGAGTTTGTGTTTGGATCGTAGAATTCTAGACGATGTTTGCACCAAAGGTCGATGGACTGACTTGTGTTTTGGAACACGGCTTGTTCTCTTTCAACGAAATAGGGACTCGATTGGGGAATGAATTTGGCTAGCTCGGCCTGCAGCCAGCCTTCCCAGCCCCCTTTCATGCCAGTTTGATGCCAGATCTGTTGGCGGTTGCGCTCGACAAAGCTGACAATGGCTGCTAGGACATCACTATCCTGGATTTCTCTAGGGTGAGCCCTCGGAATTTGTTGTTGGCTCATATCTAGAGGAGTGGTTTTTGCAGGCTTGCGTATTGCAGGATTTATGAGAACGTGCTACGCACGCACGCGGGTCAAGTGATGGATTGAAACGTGTTATCGTTTCTGTAGAGAACCCAGGAAAATCTTCAACCAGCACCGGTCAGTGGTTTCAACTCCTCTTTCTCGCTGGGCGGCATAAGAGAGAGCAAGGTTGCGCCCGAGCTAAATAATGAGAGCCTAGCGGAACAATCAAGGGTATAAATACCCAAGGCTGCGCTGCAAAGAGGCTAGCGTCGGTCGTGATTTCGCAAGTGTCTGTCCTGGTCATCTAATTGTCGGCGTCCATTGCCAAGGCTGGAGGGGTCCACCCAACAACGAGGCCCGTGTTGACATTGGTTTCAAGTGGCAACACGTGATAACAGCAACCCTCTGCGAATAGGTCGAACTACACCTCGTCAGAGGCCGGGGAGATACGAGAGTATTGTGAATTGCACAGACCTGCACTTGAGGCTGAATGAGCCACCCCTTTCAGCCCTGCTTTACTTCAACCACGCTGTACATCGCATTCTACTTTGATCCTGTGGCAGATACGAGGTGTGCATACCGACCAATAGGAATTGTCCAGTCTTGAGCCCTATCCAATCATTCACCGGCTCATGCATGCCCCTGGTCAGTCTATAATCAATCTAAATGGCCTGAACACCCCGAAACGTCGCCGAGGTCGCCGATTTCTGGTTCGGTTTGTAACAACACAAGGCTCACATTTGCACCGTCCAAAGCTACTACTTAACTGGGGACCGAAATGCGCCTACAAACTTTATAGGGGAAGTTACTCCACCTTATGGTCCCCTCATTCTGCGAATTCTGATGTTGACCCTCTAGGCGGATCAATTCTCTGAAAGAGCCTCTCACCTCTTTACAAAGACTATCCCAGCAATCTGTGTCCACGCATCCAAGAGTTCGAACCCAATTATAGAGCACTGCCTCTCTACCTTCAATATGCCACGATATGCTCCTCCATTGGAAGCAAGCCTGTACGATGATGATTGTCGAGATCATGGTGTGCATTCCTTTCTGTTTTCTTATTTTCATAGTCCGATGAGCATGGACTGATAATAAGCCAGATGATGATTGTATATTTCCGGCGTTCCCTGCGCCGTCTGAGAAAAAATGGGTTCAAACTACAACAACAGGAACTCTATGGTTCGCAATCGTGACGTTTAGCTCCTACCTTACAGTCGCCATTGTGGTCACCGTTTTGTTTGCTGTGAACACAGACAACAAAGGTGTGCATCAAGGAACCGCAGACTACGCTCTGTATAAGAATACCATGTTCAAAGATTGCTATAACAAGCCCACAATTGACAAAGCAAACAACTGCACTGTCATTGAATCCATCTTGAGAACGGGTGAAGTGACGTCACAAGGTTTTGGATATATGGCTAAGTTGGATTTGAACGATGGGGCGCCACCGGATCATCAGATTTCCTACAGCTGGTGCCAAGCAGTGGGTTGCTTCAACGATTACAAAGTCGTCCCAAGCGAACCGCGTTCTACGGCATTTTGGGCGACCAGCATTAGAGCGTATACCAAGGTTTCTATGATCTTGCTCGCGGCGTTGTGGCAGTTCAAGAAGCTGCACAATGCCCTTTACACCAGCGAGACGGAGCCGTGCAAGATGATTGAATGGGATGTTTGGATCATCCAGTTTTGGGAGCTGGTATCAGTGGGGTGGTGGTGGTACGACTTTGGGCGACACGTCTCCGATCGATCAACATACCCAGCACCTGGGATGCTTAGCTGGGTACCGCTTTGGAAGTATGGCTATTTGCTGAACTTTCATCCTTACTCGTGCGCCCTCAGACATAGCCCCCGAGCAGCATTGGCGGGCAAGTGGCTAATGAACATGTTGGCATTCGTGCAGTGGGTGATTTCGCTGTACATTTGGAATGCCAGCATAGATGTCTACTCCGCGTATCCCACATACGACTGTCTCACCTCACAGATAAGATCTGCACCAGGAAGCTCGACGTGTTCCGTGAAGCAAATATGTGCCCGAGATCTCCTTTTTCGCTCTTACGACTTTAGCTTCTCTAACGAGATTGTGGATATCACCGATCCCAAGGCTGCGATGTATGTAGCTTTCATCATGTTGAGCCTTGGGGCCGTTATGAGATTCTTCTTGATTGGCGTGTTGCCGGTGATCCAGTATCTGATTGGAAAAGGATCTCTTCAAGAACTGAAGGCCAAGTGTTACAAGCATGATATAGGATATGCTGGAAGTCTTGCATTTGCATCGTTTGCATGTATCATTGTTGGAGGAATGGCCACTGCTGGCGCGATAATCGCCTTCCGACATGGTCGTGAGAGTTCTTTTGCCATTGACTGGACCTGCAAAACGGTGCATATCAATCTGAGCGCTTGGCGATATTACTTCGATGCGGAGTATGAGCTACCATTACGTTTGACGAAGATGTGGTTCAACATTTGAGGTGGGGGGCTGCGAGATATTTGGTTTAAATGTTTGCCTATAGTACTCGTGGGTGATAGACAATTATACTCAACGATGGACTCATTTACCGTAGACCGTAGATATATGTTAGACTCATTCTCCCGATTTTAATTTTGTCTCAGAGATCATTCATTCTTATCTTTTGAGGTTTCTTATGGGTAGTCGATGAGTCTTTCTGGTCAGGTTTGCTCAGTGCAGCCTCCCTAGAGACTTCTTGTCTCCTTCCATCAATGACCTTGGCTGATGAGGTTGGTCTAGAAGGGCCCGCTCGAACGCCATGATATTGGCACTTTCGGTGATTTTGCTTCAAATGCCTTGGATGTTAGGAATCTGTGCTTGGATGCCAAGGATACCTTCTGTCCCTACTTCTCTTGCAATCTTAGACACCTCATTCTCAAAAAGCTGTAACCTAGCCATCATGGGGTTAGTAATACTTTGAACCTATAAATATTAGTTTTGGTTTCAGATTTGCTGATGGGCACTCTTCTCAATAGATCATTATCTGCTATACAGCGTACTATCTGTCCTATTTGGCGCAATTCATCCTAAAAAACCGAATCTACTTATATACTACTTTGTATCTCTTGTCGCAGCTGAGCTGATTCTTCCTACTGGTCGACGTCAAAGCTTCGTTACCCGCGATTGCTAGTATCAAGCTTTCAAGAGCCTGAGTCAGGAACTCAAGCTTGTATCAGTGCCTACAAAAACTTTCTCTAAGGAGTCTTGAAACGTTTAATCATAATGTAACGAATTTTGCTTGTCTTTAATACAAAGCTAGCCAATATAATCAAGCTAGAAGTAAGAGAGATAACATCCGCTATGGGAGATGATAGTAAATTTGAAAGTAATAATAGATATCAGCAGCTATTCTAAAGAAAAAGACTATACAAATAAGTAGAAGTTGAGAATGCTGATGAAACTAGTTTTGGTAGAGCAGTCAAAATACATCAATGCCTGAAAGCGAGCCTGCCGCTGACCGTGGTAATTGGTTCCTGGTCGGGCAACATAATCCTGCGTGCGTTATGACCTGCACTTTTCCTTCTTTACCTGCACACCGACTTTTATCGCCTTAATACTTCGATAGCCCTTGACTAGCGATCAAAGAAGCTTAGAGAGCATCACGGTATTAGTTTAAGGGAGTGATTCTCGAGTTAGTGAGAGAGAACTTCTCTCCGTATTGCTCACGATGTCGGACAGCGAGGAATCTAACAAGTCTGATGTCAGCATAATTGATCGAGACGACGTGAGCAACTATAATGGGTTCGACTAGTCCAGTAAGTAGAAAGGGCATCTGTTTCTGTAGTTGTAAACCTGAAACTACCGCTTCGCTCGCATTACCTGTGCGAGTGCATCATAAGGTAAAGACACTCGGCATATCTTGTTCTACTCGTAGATTCCTGCTAAGTTGAAAACATCCTGTCTTCTAGTTTGCGCGCTTGTGTACGCGCTTAGGTGGAGTAGAAACTGTTCGCAATAGACGTTTGGCCCCTGGTTTTGATGTTGCACTATCTTGATCTAGGCCCATAGGCATCTTCTAGCTAGACCACCAGCTCATTCGAGATACTCTACTCGCGTGTCAGAAATGATAAGTGGAAGGAGTTTTGGGGTGGGAATCGAAGGGCCGCTACGCAGAAGCGAGAATTGGTAGCTAGCTAGGTTATCGCATTATACCGAGAAGTGACCGCGGTCGGTACCCATTGTCCTCCCACTATGAGACTATCCCAATATAAGACACTGCTTGCTAGATCTTGAACAAGTAGACCGGTCGGATTAGCCTGACACCGCAGCATAAGGTACGCAATTCCGAATGGGTCTTTTAAGCGCTGTCCGGATATATTAAAATCAGGATTTAAAGCTCGATTACACAATTCCATCGATTCCCGCCGGTGCAAAGCAAGATTGCTGTCCGCGCGTGTCGCGAAACAATGTTCCTCCCCGGTATTCCGTGCCTGTGAGCCAAGAGCCGGTCTGAGAAACTAGTTAATAGCGAATTATCTTTCTGCGGTGTCACGAATCATACCGTACTGGTGCATAAGTTCAGTTATGCAGGCCAATTGGTATGTGGACTATGTGGACGCATGGATTGTGGACAGGTGGGCACTATATTGCTCGTGTGTGTTAGCCCTCGCACAGAGATACTCAGATGGGTTTGTAGCCTCAATGTGGCCCGGAGCGGGCTTTCATCCGCAGTAAACGATTATCTCTGGCCTGACCGGCGATGAAAAGTGATGAAGCCGAGGGTAAAGATGATTAAAGCATCAAGAATTGCCCAAGGGGAATTTTCCTTGGTGACTGCATTTATCAGTCCAACGGTTGACGCAGCCAGTGGGCGGGGGGTTCATGGTTGTTTGTTGGGATTTAAATTTCGAAATATCAAGGGGCTTGAACTGCAGCCGTTCATGTCACCTCAAAAAAACGGGTTCAATTCTTGGAGTAGAAGAGTTTCGAAATGACGATACTTTCGACCAGGGACGGGATGTACTCTACATACAAAAGACGGAAAGAACTGGGTTCGAGGTTCAACTGAGGCTTCCCTTTGTGCGATCCTGTAGGGAAGGAGCGGCTAGGCCCCAATAACTTCCCCAGAGCGCAAATAGCCTCTGGGATCCGCTCTTTCAGCAGAACCATCTTTCTGTCGAACCATTCACTAAGCGAAACACTGCTCGCTATATTATCTTTGAATTTTGCCTTGTCATGTGAACGTGTGATAGATGCTGGCATCAAGCATGTATGACTCGTTGTTTCAACCCCAAAACAGCCAGTTCCAAGCGAGTAAAAAATGAACAAGGAAGCAAAAGGGCAATGAACTCTAAATTATTAAGCTTATCTCCCACTCTTTTTGCTAACTTATGGCATAAGCTCTTATGAGATCCCCCGATTAGGGTTCAGTTAATTCCAAGTGGGGCTTGTCCAAAACAGGCTTAGCCTGGCCAGAACTGAGTGGGGGCTTTCTGCAACTCGCAGCCACCATCCTGACATACCTAGAAGAGCTACAAAAACAACGCTCATTGGGTGCCTGATACCTGTTGAAGATCATGCTCAGAACAGAACTTTATCTTGTCATTCGAAAAGGTCTGTCGACGCAAGTTGATCCAGCGCCCAAACCAATAAGAACTCAGGATCACATGCGGGAATTCGGAAGCAAGCAAACAGACCGAAGCGAGCGAATGGCTGCACCGGATCAGGAAAAAGTAATCTGTTCTCAACGTTTTGCAAACAACATCCCATGACCCTCATCAAGGGTCACTAACGTAACTGCAAGGTCGAGAAAGTTGGGGGTTGCTGGTATGACCTATAAGTCGGTGTTGTGATACTGCTCCCCCAAAGCATACATATCATGTTGACCAGTCACCCGCCGGGAGATGCACAAACCCTATATATACCGCGCTCCTTCTCGAACCAGTCGCTTTTCCAATCCCACCGTTTGCAGGTACACGAAACCTGGTTTTGGGTTAAAGTTTAACGCCATCATGCCCATCAAATCTTTAGACTTCCGGCTCTATTGCAGCGACAATGCGCAGGAGCGGCAACGATTCAGTGAGGACTTATGTGAGACGCTTTCGGTGTACGGGTTTGCCAAGATTCGACACTCGTCCCTCCCAAAGGAGATAATTGATCGGTTATTTGAATTTGTGAGTTTGGGATTGAATTGCAAAAAAAAAAAAAAAATAAAGAGCATGCCAGAGACGAGAAGGCTGACTTTGAACAAATCTGCGCAACGAAAGAATAAACGATTTTTCGACCTATCAAACTCAAGTAAAGCCAAAGCGGCACACCCAGAAGCGCCGAATCCCCATCGTGGATGGAGCGCGGTGGGAAAAGAGACCCTGAAGGGTACGAGAGATGATGAGCAGGGGAAGAAGCTGAACGATGGCTACCAGGAGTATCGGGTATGATTCCCTTCAATCAATGGAAATTCACCTTTTCACTAGCGCGATGAAAAGTACTCTATGATGTTTGTCTCACATAAAACAGGAATCCTTCGACCAAGGCGCGTCCAGCGACACCCTCTTCCCCAACCGCTGGCCGGATGAAACAGACCTCCCGGGCTTCCGCGCGTTCATGGAGGACGTCTACGACCGCTTCCACGAGCTGCACACCCACCTTCTGCGCGCCATCACAGCCGGGCTCGGCTTGTCAGTAGACGACCACTACCTCCTCAGCAAGCACCAGTGCAACACCAGCGAGCTGCGCCTGCTGCACTATCCGGCCATCCCGCGCCGCACGATGCGCGCCGGCGGCGGCATGCGCATCGGCGAGCACTCCGACTTCGGGACCCTGACGCTGCTCCTCCAGGATTCCGTGGGCGGGCTGCAGGTCGAGGATCAGCGCCACGGCCCGCTCGGAAAGTTTTTACCGATTGAGTCCGAGAATGTCTACGAGGTGATCGTCAACGTGGGTGATTGTTTGCAGCGATGGACGAACAGGGCGCTGCGGTCAGCGAACCATCGCGTCACTTTGCCGGAGGGGAAGGGTGCGGCTGAAGAGGACGATGAGAATGCGATGCTGCCCCGACGGTACTCGGTGGCGTACTTCGGGAAGCCCGATCGCCATGTGCTGGTGGATACGCTGCCTGAGTTCGTGCGGCCCGGGGCCACGCCGGAATATACGGATGGTTTGACGACGTTGGAGTACAATCAGCTCAAGCTGGCGCGCACCTATGGATGAGCGGTCGGGAGGTGTGCTCCGGGGGCTTGTACTGTCTGGTTGGAGATAGTTTGTTGATACATGTATTTACTGGCATAATTCAAGTAATCAGCTTTAGATGTTGGGGCGGACGGATGGTGCGGTGGTGACTCTGGTTTGCAGAGAGGGCAGTGTTCAACATTGGGAAGTAGAAGAGGTGACTTAGAGTGAATATAAACTGGGATACAACTTAAGTGTCGTGGCTTGGACATGTATGATATTTAAACATCAGTTTATGGAATACATCAGTGTCCTAGAAGCGTTGTTAGTACGATATAGTCTCACCAGACAGGACGGCGGTTTAGTGTGATGAACGGTTGCCCGAGCAACAGAGCTTACACGCAGACAGGCAAGGGTGTGACAATGTGTTAGGTGGTTTCCTGATCTCTCTTCTATCGTCTCTACTGCTAACTGAGCATTCTAGGAATAGTTCCCCCAAGAGCCCAGCGTTGGAATGCATCATTGTTTGCGACTGCTCCCGAGTCGCATTCCCCTGGAACCCAACTCCAAAGCCCCCTTCCGACTTTCACAAACCATAAGACTGTTCTCGATATATCAATCGCGTAGACCACGGTCGGACTCGGAATTACCGGAGTTATTCATCGAAAGGGCGAATGGAATACGTACCTCTCCCCAAGAAGAAGTTGAATTTCGATATATATCTGGTTGGCTGAATTAGGTGGTTTAGATGAGAGGATCCCCGAAGATGATTTGTATCGATACACCAGACACCGATGGCTGTAAGAGATGCAGTACCCGCCTCATCTTGCAGTTCCTACTGACCACTGCATTATTCCAGTTTCAATGAACCGCGCGAGCTCTCTAAGCGGTATTTGAAATTCAACCTGCGGCAGCTCATTGACGTGGCCGTGAATGCCAGGAATGGCGCTCGATACTGTCAGTTCTACCACACACGCAGTTGTGGTAAAGGAAAGCTGATTCAGTATTCTCTACAGGCACAAAGGTCGTCAAATGCTTAGAGGGCCTTCATAACAAGGCATTCTTATTGGTGATGGACAACGGGGCTGAAGTCGTTGCAAAGCTCCCGAGCCCTAACGCCGGATTTGCCCGATACATCACCGCCTCAGAGGTAGCCACACGTCAGTTGGTAAGATCAGCATGCCCTGTACTTCTGTGGCTGCGATGGCTAGGACTTGCAGTTACGTGAACACTTTAACATACCAACTCCACGGATCCTCGCTTGGTCTTCAGATGCAGCTAACACTCCTGTTAAGGCAGAGTATATCATTGAGGAGAAGGCCGCTAGTGTGCGACTGGGTTCTCTCTGGAATCAATGGTCACGTGAGACGAAGCTCAAGTTGGTTGAGCAAGTCGTTGATATGGAGAATAAGCTGACTAGCACGACTTTCTCTAAACACGGTTGTGTCTATTTTAAGGCGGATCACCGTTCACTAACTGGACAGGTGGAAGACCTGAACGATGACTCAAGTGCCGACGAAGTGCTAAAGCGTTTTACAATAGGTCCCCTCACTTCGCCCGAGCTATGGACTGGAACTAGAAGTGACATGGAATTAGACCGTGGCCCGTGTCAGTGGAACAACCTCTACCACTCTGTAGAACATTCGCTAATCGTTTTGCGAACAGGGCGTAATTCATCTGTGTACACACACGCTATGGGCTGCAACGAGACTTCATGGATTAATGCACATGCACGCCCTCGGGTGAATTACTATCGATCTGCATCGGATCTTGAGCTCCCTAAACCCTAAATCACCTTCTCAGACAGTACATTAAAGTCGCTCCGTTCCTGGTCCCTTCTTCCACCGATGAGGCCGCCAACCCTAAAGTCCTCTGGCACCCGGATCTTCATCTGGACAACGTGTTTGTTGATCCGCTCACTCACACCATTACCGGTATTATTGACTAGCAGTCGGCATGCGTGGCTCCTTTGTTCTATCAGTCTCATGTCCCGAGGATGTTCCGACATCACGGACCTGTCCAGGAAGGGTGGGCTGTCCCCGAACGCCCTGACAACTTTGACACTCTCAGTGCCAAGGACCAGGAGAAGATAACCAGTGATCATGAGGGTCAAATCATTCATAAATACTACGAGGCGCTGGTTTACAAGCGCGCCCCGCGACACTGGGCTGTATTTGAGCAGAAAAATATTCCAATCGTCCGAAAACCTGCCTGGCTGGTGACTGGGGTGTGGGAGAATAAAGACCTGTTCTTTTTGCGCCAGTCACTCCTTTCGCTGGTCAACCTCTGGGAGGATCTTTTCCAGTTGCCCTGTCCGATAGCATTCACAGAGAAGGAGATCGAGCTTCACGCGGAAGAGAAAACCAATATGGACGGCATTGGACAGGTGCTTACCTTGTTCCGGAATCAAGGGGTGCTCCCCGTCGACGGCATGGTCGATCCAAAGGACTACGATGTTGCTGTGGAGAACAGTTGGCAATTCAAGCAGGTCTTTCTTCGGTCGGCTGAGAACGACAAGGAAAGGGAGTTGTACTCCAAGCTTTGGCCTTGTCAAGACACCGAAGACTCCGTGGTCTAATGCTTAGCAGGGATGGAGGGACGATCCCAAAGCTCTAGCTTATCAGTGACAGAACAAGGCTGGGAAGTATGGCTTTTTTCCGGCTTAAAATCTGTGTTGTTCTTCAGCGGTTATTACGTATATATCTGGAAAGTCGGTCAGTGACCGTTGAGCGGCACAAATAACTTTGTCCTGCATCCGAGACTTTCACCTAGAACTATTGTCCTACAGATTCTTGATAAGGCTCGCTAACGATTTGAAAATAAACAAGGCAGTGCCAAGAAACTGATCTGCATCTCATTCAGCTGACCAGGCTCAGGTCTTGACACAACCTATCATGCTGGCAGCATGTCAGTTAGAACATAAACAGGCAGCAGAATGCAGGAGGAGAAAGTGACATCAGCTTAGCTGCCACTGTATCCACACGGTCACATTCCGCGTGAAAGTCCCGCAAGTCAGAAGCTTAGAGGTCCCGACAGTCAGAGGATCGGCAGGGCCGACTCTCCAAGGAATGCGACTCTCCAAGGAATGTAGAATGAGGAATGCCATTCCACCAAGGTGCAATATAACATCCCTGGAACCCATCACAGACTCTACCATCTGCGCTCAACTTAAGCCCAAACGCAATTCGTCTCTTAAAATGCGATTCCTTTCCATCCTACCCCTAGCCACAGCGGTCACAGCTTGCCTGCACGACCGCACCTTGGCTCGCCGTGCAGCGCAAGCGGGGACTCCGAGCTTTGGATACTCGGGCGCGCAGGGCCCCTTGAACTGGTACGGCCTGGACCCGCAGACGAACGCGGCCTGTGACCTGGGCAAACAGCAGTCCCCCATCGCGATCGACTCGAAGACCGTCACCCTGGTTGACTCCAGCGCTGTGACTTTGGACATCCCCGACGCGGAACATGTCGAGTTCGAAAATCTCGGATACACACTCGAGGTCATCCTCCCCAACGGCACCCTAACGGCCCAGGGCAAGAAATACACGCTAGCCCAGTTCCACTTTCACACCCCTTCCGAGCACCGCCTCGACGAGGAGCACTACCCGTTAGAGGTGCACTTCGTGTTCACAGATGAGAGTGAGTAATCCCTGCCCCACCCGGGAAAGATTGGGTTGTATATTCACAGATTGCATAGCAAATGGAATCGCCGTCGTCGGCTTCGTCTTCCAGCTCTCCGAAACCGGAGACTGCGACTCGCTCTTCAGCTCCGTCTTCGCCGACGTCGAGGCGATCAGTGAGCCCGGGTCCGCGACGGAGATCGAGTCCTTGGACTTCTCCGACCTGGCAAAACACTTCCAGGGTCATGACGTCTATACCTACGGAGGCTCGCTGACCACCCCGCCCTGCAGCGAGGGGGTGTCGTGGTTTGTCAGCGCGGAACCCTTATCCTTGGATGTGCAGCACTACAATCAGGTCAAGCGCTTGATCCGCTTTAACTCGCGCTATACGCAGAACGTGCCGGGAGATGAGAATCTGTTGGAAATGGCTGCTAGGGAGTTGAATGGCTTGTGAATTAGTGTCTTTTAGACATCATTATACGGTGATAGCGATATGTCATTTGCCCTACTTCCGCCACCCCCTGCATTTTCTCTGTAGCGGGAGTGCGTGTAGGCTGCTTAGACAATCGTCAAGCTTCTTTAATATACTAATGGTCTACACTACAAGACTGGCGAATCTTGATTGGCCAAGTTCTATTTATTCCAGACTCGGTCAACAATTTATACCCGATATTTCAGAACAAATATCATCCAGCTGTTGACTTCTATCCAAAAAGTCATTTAGTATTCTTCGCCCTTGGTGGTTCAACACACGTAGCCATCCGAGATTTTGGGTCCAGTAGGCCCAAGATGACAGACTCAGTGGGAAGTGATCGATGAGAACCAAGTCTGAGTTGGTGCCGATAATCCGGCCGATTCGAGGTGGCTTCCCGCTCCGCGTCTACGGAAAGAGAATAGGCCCGAGACTTGACATCAATCGACAGCGCGCAGAGGACCTATCCCCAACTCATAGCATTCGAGCGGAAACTGGCTTCGGCAGCTAGCAGCGTAAATCCCTGCTCGTGAAGCAAGATACCTCTCGATCCAAAGTCTATGGTCATCGCTCCTCCTTGCGCTGAGGCTGAAACCGGAGGCTAAGGAAACACGATCAGCTAGATACACAAAGCTCATTATGTACGTAGCTTGCGCTTAGAGGGGGAAAGGCGGCGCTAATTCTTCAAGGTGTCACATTTACCGTCTCGTGTATGCGTGCGGGTGTTGAATCAAAGACCCCTACAATTTCTATCAGTGTGTCGACCGTCAGGGGACCAATGCCAAGTGCGACCCGATAAAGGTCCTCGAGCTGGAGAAAGACCATTACTGCGCCGAGCACTTGGTGGGCAGAGGGGAGTTGATTATGGCTATTTCTCGGAGACGGCGGCCGTTGTCGGAGGATGACGAGGACCACGAGGAGATGGAAGAGGAAGAGGAAGAGAAAGAGAAAACGGAAGAGGAATAAGGACAGGAATAAGACAAGTGAGGATGAGGATTATGTTCCTGGCTCAGATGCCGAGTTAGCCCATTGACAATCAGAATGATTCTATCCGAATATAGTTGAACGGTCAATTCGTTATGCAGATGACCTACAAGTAAGTTAATTGTACAGTCCATACCCCGCCAGTGGCGGGGTTGTTGCCCGCACCGCCATCACAACCAATGAGACCCCGCATATGAGCTCACTCGGTCTTTTCCTCTACAGCGCCTTCGGGAAATTAGTAGTACAAGTCCATCACTTCATATAACGGCCCCCGCCAACCCGGCCCTACCGATGACGATCCTCCAGGCTTGCGTCTCTGCGTCACAGCAGAATCGCATCGCAAATGACATCCTCATGACGGCCACCCTTTGGCCGAATGCAAAAAAAGAAAAAGATAATGCCGCGACTGGGACTCGAACCAGTATCTGCACTCCACACCGCTAACATAAGGCTAGTACAGGGGCTCTGCAATGTTAATACCGCTACACCACCGCGGCTGTTGGTGTACAGTAGCATTCGCAACTAAAATGTAGCCCCACTTTTCTTATTGCCTGAGGCACTATTTCAGCCCTGTACCAGCCCTATGAATGCATTGGCCTTCCAGACTCTTGTTGATGGTCAATCCCAATCATCTACCGAGTATTCTAGTAAGGATTTGAAATATCCCAGCAGAGTTGCGGTGGTAATGCACGGCATAAGGCCCTGAATTCAAGGAGGATAGCCGGCAGATGAACTTCCTAACTACGGGCAACGCTATTACTGGCCAGGATCGTCAACCCCGACGAGAGCCCACAGTTATCGCACGCTAAACTGCAAAGATATTGCCCATGGCACTAATAACCTGACTGAGGCTTTGGGCTAATTCTCACTCGCACTCACAGCCTCATCGTTAACCGGATCCGGCAGAAACCCCTGAGCGAGCTGGGGCCGGGGGTGGAGCCAAGCGGTTCGCTCCGACTCGCGCCTCGGCCTCGTGCTCGCCATGATTCGTTGGTACTCAGTAGTCACTCTGCCAAGGATCTTGGTGGCTTGGAAATCACATCTGAATACAATACTTAAATCCCAGAATTCCCCTGTATATTTGATCATCTTGTTGAGCGTCAGCGATCAACTTCACTCGTTTACAATCGCTGCAAATCCACCCCTTACACTCATTTTCAACCGTCATTCATTACCACTGTACCATCCGACACCATGAAACTCGGACTTGCTCTCCTCCCCGCCCTCGCCGGTCTCACTGTCGCTGAGGAGATTGTCTCGATGCTTCTGTGGGCCGTCGATCGCGATCAAGATTACCAGGCGTCGATTGTTGGCAATGTAAGTCATCTCATCTCACCCAGCATATACCACCAGCGCTCAAGAAAACACCACACACCCTCCAAAGAAAAAAAAACAAGCGCAAGGACAAACTGACCAGAAACATGTACAGGACGCAACAGCAACAACCTACAGCCTCGCCTGCCCCACCTCCGTGCGTGGGTCGGCCTGCTCCATCGGCGAGGCGGGGATTACCGCGGAGATCGTTGACCAGAGCACCTATGCGTGGTGGCGTCGGCAATAGTATGATGACCCTTCCCTCCCTCCACCTTAACACCCTGAACTCTATCGGACGATAGAGCTTAAACTTGTCGCAACATGCTGACATTAATTTCTCGATTCCAGCTCCACTACATGGGCGTGTACCGCAGATGGCACGACGGAGGGCGTCTGCCACCGCACGCTGAGCGGCGAAGACCAGGGGATCGATATCTACTTCACGAACTTCCTGTCGGCCACCGTGACGGATGGGGCTGTTACCGGTGGAAGTGGGGGTTCTGAGACAGCGACCGCGACGAGCACTACCTCGGCGCATGCGGGCCTGGCAACGGAGACGGCGAGCGCGTCCCAGGAATCGTCCAGTTCCACTATCACGGCGGGTCCTACGGCTACTGCCAGTGCCGCTCAGGAGGATGGTAATGCCACGGCGACCAAGACTTCGACCGGGGGTGTTCCACAATTGACTGGGGCTGCGGGGTTGGTCTTCGGGGGCGCGGCGGTTGCGCTGGTGGGGGCTGTTCTGTGATCATACAAATCTGCAATATTTACCTGGCTACCTATGGGGAGTTACTACAAATCAAATACACCAACGTAGACGGAAAGTGGATGAAGGACTTTCCAGTACGTGGAAAGGTAGTGGCTGCCATGAATTGAAAAAGTCAACAAACATACTCCAACTCATCCACGACACGATAGCATTGTAGTGGGAACCACTGGGGTTTTCTGCTCCAACCACCGTGGTCTGCTTGCTAACTACTGTGATATGACTGAACCCCACCCCTCAAGAGTTCGCTCGTCCTCGAGTGCGCTGAAAGACAACGCCGAATCTCAATGCTGCTCCGAAGAGCGCATGACGACGTAACGATAATCAGAATGCCATAAGGGCAGACACGCCCCATGTTTGAGGACAATGCGTCACAACTCTCCCCCCTCGTCCTGCAGTAGCTGAAGGGCTGGGGTACCCTTTTCGCCGTCGACGAGCATGTTACCAACGACATCGCTTCTCTGTGCGTGCAGAATCATTCCCGCACTTATTTCCCTTGGCCAGGTAAGAAAATAGAAGCAGAAGTGACAGAAGTTCTCACGAGAGCGGAAACACCAGCACCCGCAAGAACAAGAAGAGGAACGCTATGAAAACATTTACAGGAAACAAGAAGATTCCTAATCTTAAAACTTAAGAACCGAAGCTGGCCAACCGAGGCGCCACGCACCATGAAAAAAGACCATTCATGAGTTGATATCTCAATTTTGTCTCCTCCGATGCTGGTCTCGTTCTTGCCTCCATTTGTTCTATCATCCAGACCAACAGACTCCAAATCCTCTCCCCGCCCCCCTCTTTCCAATGGAACGTCTATTTTATTCGAATACTCAAAACCTAGTCATTCACTGGTTAAGCTAGATGGACAAGACAAGATAGTCCCCTAACCTGCATATTCTCGTGCAAGCAAATAAAAGCAAACTCGTCGAAGTCAGTCAAGACTCCGAAGAGCGGCATATGCGCTCTTCCGTCAGAGCGACGGGAGGACTGGACCGACCCAATCCTGGTATCAGAACCGACAGAAGCCTGAATAAGTCACAGCCCGGTTGACTTATCTAGATACCCCAGTAATTGAGGTAAGCCCGCCTGGCCGCCTCCCCCGCTTCTTGGCCTCGACAATAATGAGTTGATTTGCGTTCTCTGTATGTCTGTCGCAGTAATTACTGTGTCGACCTTGGTCTCCACGCCCAGTATCATGCAATGGGCGCAATCATTGTCGATAGACCAGTTAGGCAATGGTCTCGAATGGGATATTGATTGGTCCTGAATCCCGGATGAGTTAGTACAAGACCTTCGGGTAGAGGCACGCTTGCAGGGGTTTGGAACGTACTTCCAATCAACTCAGATTTTGAACCGGGCAGGCGTAGGATGATCGTTTTTTTTGGTTAAAGATCCGGATCCCAGGATTGGTATGCGTGCTTGGGACAAGAGTCGAAGTCGTTGGGTCTGGAGCTAGGGAGATTAGCAAGAAAAATATAACTTTGGAAAAGGTAAAGAGATTATCAAGCTCAAAGGCTCACACAAGAGTGTGTCATTTGAAGATTTCGTGGTTGAGAAAAAGATTTGAACTTGGGGAGTAGATCTGGAAAGAGCGATGGAGCTGAAGCAGTCGAGGAATTAGGCCTGGGCTGAGTGAGCTGGCTGTGGGTAGTAGGAAGTCACTTTTGGCCTCCTTGATGACTGTATTCATTCACTCCACTCAGGCTTTAAATTCACACCTGTCTCTACAGCCTCTATGTTGTAATATTAATGTCTGTTAAGATTTGGTGCTTGTTCTTGTGAATTTTACGCTTTTCAGTAAACTACATGTACCAGGTGAAATTAGATCTGTGAATACTGAGAACTCTATACTCTTTCCTATTATGAGAATTCTCTAGGAGTAGCCCTTATAAGCCTCTGGAATTGTTCAGCACACTGCCCAGACGTGGATCTCTTCGCGCCTGCTGTCTAGGAGCACGTGGATGTGTGATCAGTTCAGCTACGTGAAGCTATACAATTTATATGACAGTCGAAAGTTATAGGAGCAAGGCTATTTTTCAGCCAAGAGGAGGTCATTCTGTCAAGAGAAGCAAGAGGGAGGTAATGATTTTCGATGGAAATCATTCACAAAGTGATTGCGCAAGATCCTGGATCACTGCCCCTAAAATGTCTCTTTCCCTAATTAAGACACCAGGGATCCAAACAAGAGAATTGTCAAGACAGAACATGTTATTTTGAGTATACCTCTCTATGGCCTCTAATGTCTCGGTATACTCGAATTGGCATGGAGTTTTGCATTTTAGAGGTCATCTTATTTCTTTTTCTACCAGTGCTCAGGGCTCAAGATCAAGTTTTCTATGGTTTTCCTAGGCCCAAAGAATGTACTATCAGGGCTCCTTACTAGGAAATATAGCAAAGCAAGCGTGGACTGTGCTCTGATACAGTGTGTTAAGATATGATTTCAGGTTATTCAGAAGGAGCTATCTATATGCGACAGAAGCGACGAGAGCTGACCAGCCAGGAGGCGTCATCACAAACGAACCCAGCGGTGGCATCTACAGATGCAGCAATATCTAGAGAAACATAGGTTTATAATGCTTGCGCTTGACATTATTTACAAATGTTAACTTCCACCGCACCTATAAACAGCCATTCTTTTTCGGCGAATTTTTTGACGTCGACATAGCTTAAATACAAATATTGAATGCATGCATTCTTCCCAGCATCAGTAATTCTGTAAAGCTAACTATTGTAGCTGGTTGTGATATTTTGTTTACGGAGGTGAAGTACATTCCTCTAACAGTACTGTCTTGTGTTCAGCTGAGTCAATGAACTAATGAACGAAGCCCAATCACATGACATCTTGTGGCTGAGGCTAGGGTTGAAATGGATAAATAACACCTTGCAGCTTACAGCGCAGAGCGCACGATTCTTGACCCACATCGTTGATGCCCGGCTCAACTTATTGTTCAATAGAACAGACGAATGGATGGTTATTTATCGCAATAATGGGCAATCGAGGCTTATGGAATCAACATAAGGATGGTGAGTTAAACCAGCGTCTCTTTATACCTAGTAACTACGTACTATACTGTCAAGTACTGTATCTCTAACGCCATGCAGGAAAATGGTACCGCTTCTTTGACGCGCCCCGCGCCATCATCTCTCCCGAATCACCGGCGACGCTGCGAGTCCTCCAGCTCTGGGCCGCGGACACATTCGACCTCACGCCGTGGGAGCTCGTCCCATTCCCCTCGCCCCTGCACAGCGATCTGGAAGTCGTCTACACGATCGACAAGGACTGCGGGCTGTTGACAGTCGCGCAATGGGATAGCACCAACGGTGTCCCATCCCGCCTGACCCGCCAGATCAAGTTGATTGAGATCTACGATCCTTCGATTCGCACACTGGATGCGGTTCTCGCCGAGAGGGGGAATGTGGTTGAGCAGCTTCGCATCCTGAGACCTCACCCTCCGGCTATCCTTCCGGCCATGAATTGGACTATCGAGCCGCCCACACCGCTGAACGAGCTCCAATTCCGCTGCTTCGTCGACTTTGTCCGCCTGTGGCGGTTCTATCTCGACGACCTGTCGGGTTGGCCGGATAGGCTTCTTCTCCGGACGATGGCGATTGGGATCCTGCGCATCGCGGCGTGGGATTTTGAGGTCCTGGTCGACACGGAAACAGCGGATGCGCCTGTTACATTCTCCTCGTTACCGCGATGGTCAGCTCCCGCTGACGATATCTTCTGGTTTCATGGGCTCCTTGTCACTTTGTACAGTCCTTTTGAGTCACTCGACCAAGCGGTCGAAAATGCACAAGCCTACTTAAAGAAGGGTCAATGCAGCACACCGACCGTCCGCGTGCTCCTCCTCTCGCTCAGCCACGTGACTCTCGTGGAAATATCCGGCCCCAGTGCGAAGTGCTCCCCAACCCTGCCTCTAATAACCAACCCCTCGGCAATCTACCCTTCCCCTGGATTCCTGGCACTGGCCTCTCTCCTAACTTCCCAGCCTCGAACAATGCCCTGGTCCGATCGAGAGGAGTGGGGCGTGAACCTCCCGACAGAGATCCTCGAGACCATTGTCCAAGCCCTGCCGCCTAAAGACCTAGTCTCGTTTGCGCAGGCATCGTTCAGAGTCGAAAAATGGTACTATGCCTCCTCGTCCTCCGTTCCCCAGCTAGGCGGTCTCTGCGTACGAAGCTTCGAGTTCTCACGGCCGTGCTGTGGCGAAGGCTATCAGCCTACCGGGGAAAGTGTCACCTGCTCAACCTGTTACACATGGTCTCACACGCCCTGTCTCAGTTTGGAAACTCTTCGACCCGGCGAGGTGTTCAAATGTGCAAGCTGTCAGCAGAACGGGACATGCGGCGATTTAGAGGGCGGTGGGATTCATCGAACATACCAGACGGGGCAGTCCACCAGGCGCACCGCGTGCAGGGTGGCTGTTGACGGGGCGACGAAACTGCTCCAGCTGCGCACATCGGAGCCCGCTGCTCGGCGGGCTGAGTTGCGGGGCTCCACTAGTGGCGTGACGATTTCTCCTGGCGAGACAAACTATGCGATCTGTTTCAATGGGATTCTTTCGGGGCTGGCGTATGAGTTGGGTGATTGTGACGATGGATGAGAGGGAATTTCTCCGCATCGGGGGTAGAGTCAGTCTGATCGAAGGAAGTTCACACCTTGTTAGTCTGCTGGATAGGGGATAGGCAGGAAGAATGACGACCAGAGAGAGAGTAGAATATCTCGATCTGGCGAATCACCGGGTCAAGCAGCAAGGAAATGATGTGTCGGCCGTTAGCTCCTCGGATAGCCTCGTATAGCCTGAATTCACCCAGGTCTCACGTCCTCCCATATCCTTGTCCTTAAGAGGCCCCAGGGCCATTGGCGAACAGCCTTGCTAATACTGATAGAAGGACAGTCATCGTAGCGCCTATATGTGAGTACTGTAGCCTTGGGAAGCAGCAACCTGGTGGCCGAGTTCTCCTTAGGCATGGACTGTCATAGATATCGACTCTCTCAAACAATGACAGAGCCCATTGGCTCGCATTGAAAACCACTGCCTTACCTATTAGTGCAGTCCACTTCACATCCGTCATGGGCCAACCCTGGAAATGGTGGTCCAGACCACCCCCACCTGTCACTCGTTTGGTTTGAGTTTTGAGTTCGATGCTCTTCCGGGTCTTTGTTTGAAATTGTCGTTTTATTTTGCTTTGCTTGTCCTCCCTGCTTACTTATCCTCGTGTTGCTGGATTTGTTTCAAAAGCCGCGACCCCAGATTGTAGGTCTATCAAATATCGCTTTATGATGTTGAAAGTCCTTTCGCGACGGGAGCCTCGTTCACCCCGTATGAGAACACAAAAGCTCGGGCTCCTTGGACCGAGCCCAGTAAGCGTGAATACTTTATATACGGCGAGTAAGTTTGGTACCTAATTGACCGGTGTTAGTCAGTCTGAGATCTATAGTCTTTAGCTTCAGCGAAGCTGTCACCCACCGTAGCCCACCGACATGCTGTTGCTGAGAAAGGAAAAGATAAGAAAAGAAAAGCAGCATTGGGGTGGCTGAGCATGGACCACATTAACTACTTCCCAGAGCTTGGAATAATAGATCGCTCCCACTACACACAAGATGAACCCTCAGCATAGCATCACAGGACTTCCGCTACTCCCGCCTCGTCTTCTTGACCGACCGCCATTCCATCCCCAGACTCCCCACCCCCGTCGCGCACGCCAGCCCCACCACCAAATACCACGTCTGGACGATACTCCGATCGATTGCCCGGCGCGCCTCTGCCGCCTTGTCCGGAGATAACCCCGTCACGATCTGCGTCAACCCCATCCGATCTACCTCCGCCGAACTGAGCCCGGGCGACACACTCCCCAGATTCTGCGCCAGCTGGTTCACGAACAGCACCTGCGCGATCGCCACCGCCACCGCCGGCCCGAACGACTGCGCGAACAGCATCACCGACGTGCCCAGCGGGACGTCCTCCGGTGGCAGAACGGTTTGTACGGCGTTTTGTGGTCCGGAGAATCCGATGCCGTATCCTAGCCCCGAGAAAGCGGTGTAGATGAGCAGCTGCGCCAGGCTGGTGCTGACTTCGAACGTGGTGATCAGCCCCGCGGCGACGGGCATGATGATTGAGGCTGCAATCATAAACGGGGCGTAGTAGCCCAAGAGGCTGGTTCCGAAGCCGTGGACTAGTGCACCGACGGTCCCTGCGATGATGATGGGGAGCATCATGTACCCGCTCTGGGCGGGGGTGTAGCCCCGCACGACTTGGTAGTAGGTCGGCAGGTAGTATTCGAGGACGTTGCCGGTGCTGTTGCCGCACGCGATGAAGATGCTGCCGGCGATGATGCTGCGGTGTTTGAGGATCCGGAGGGGCAGGGCGGCGGTGGTGCCTTGGCGGTGTTGGTTGTAGATAAATGCGGTCATGAGGAGGGTAAAAGTGACGAGGGGTGCGATTACGGGGATGCTGGACCAGGGGTATTTGGTTCCGGCCCAGGAGAAGGCCAGGAAGAGGCTGGTTAGGGCGGGGATGAAGAGCAGGTTGCTGAGGAGGTCGAGTTGCGAGATCTTTTGCTTGAGGGTTAGGCGGGCGAGGTTGTCGGGCTTGGGCGGGTCAGAGAAGCAGCACATCGTTAAGAACAGAGTGACAGCGCCGATGGGCACGTTGAGGTAGAAGCACCAGCGCCAGCCGAGGGACTGCACGATTGCTCCGCCTAAGAGGGGTGCGGAGAGGGTGGCTAGTCCTTCGATGGCGCTCATTATCCCCGTGAACATGGGCCGTCTGCGGAAGGGTGTGGAGTGGACGAGGATCACGAAGCATCCAGATAGTAAGCCCGCCGTGCCGAGGCCGGTGACTGCCCTTCCCACGATCAGCATGGGTGAAGTTGCTGCCGCCCCGCAGAGCAGTGAGCCTGCTGTCGAGATGACATTGGCAAGCAGAAAGACACGCTTGATGGAGAAGAGCTGGTACGCTCTGCCAAAAACAAACTGGAAGGCGCACTGGCAGAGCCGGAAGGCGGAAGAATACCAGCCCACATCGGCAATGGTGTGGAAATGGTCGGTTATACCGGGGACGGCTGTGGCAACGATGTTCATGTCGATGCTGATCAGAATAAGCACCGCAGCCAGGGTGAGCATGAGCAGCCAGAATTTGGTGCCCGTTGGGTACTCGGTTTCCCCCTGCGCATTGGTCGGGTCAGATATTCCATCGAATGTGGTATGCTGTCTGCTGGGAGTATTGCCATTCCTGCTGCTGGTTATATTACCAGAGATTTGCGCCATCGTCTGTAGACTGCTGGATAGATCAAGTTCATTGCGACCCTTTGGCGGGGAACCCCTCGACGAGGCTTGATAGCCTTGGCGAGGGTGATTACTAACAATGCCTGCAGCCTTGAATTATAGTACGCTCAACTATAGTACGCTCAATCGTACCCAACTCACGGTATGTGGGTTCCAGAAACTCTTCATATTATAACTCATCATCAAAATTTGGCTTTCAAGACGAAGACAATTGTACAGTACACACGCCTTTACCCAGCATACCCATACCGAGACAACCCTTATCACGCTCCATCCAAAAGCCCAGCCAGCACGGCGCCAACCGCCGTGATTAGCGGTGCATACCCCCAGTGACCCCATTGTCCTTGTCCCCACGTCCAGCAAACCGCCCCGTCGGCATAGGCCACCGCGCTACCAGCCAGCAACGTCCACCCGAGCGACTTCCTGGTGCCGTAGAAGGAGGCGGCGTAGATGGCAAGACCCATGAATATATCGCGCACACCGTAGATGTGGACGAGGCTGTTGACCAGTTGTCGCTCGGGGAGAGTGGTGGGCGGTGCCCATTCAAAGAAGGTCAAGGCGTGCTCGGGGCGGAGGAGAGCGTTGACCCCGAATCCGATGAAGATGGTCCCGAAGGCGTTGGCGACGTGGGGGAGGGCGGTGTGTTGGGAGAGAGGCATTTTTGATACTTAACGGGTGGTGGTGTCGGATAATCTTGATGGCTCAGGTCTTGTTGGTTGGACAGCTTGTGGGATGATCAGTGGTTGTTCGGTAGATGCACGATAAGAATGGAGAAGGACAGTCGATGATGGAAAGGCTGAAAGAAACGTCCGGGCGGTGACCACCACAACTGCGTGATTATTGTCTGTGGCAGCCTTGCGGAAGTCTACTGGCCAAGGAGGCCAAGGAGCCAACGCATGCCAAAAATCTTTGACTTGTTGACAGGTCACAAAGATTCCCATTGACAATTTGACAGGCTTTACCATCTTCAAGTTGTATAGATCTCGACAATCGTCATCGTCAAGTTACTCCGCTCCACCTGACAGGAAAAGTGGGACTACCTACCCGTCCGGTCCAGTTTGTTATTATGGTCCGATCCACATTCTCCCGGTGCCCGTGCATGGGCACTATGGCTCTCTACTGCACACAGCATCCTGCAATCTCTCCAGCGGTAAAGGTCCCGACCGTATGGAAGCCACATTTTCCGGCCATTGAACTCTGGTCACATTCATCGGGTATGTTCTGGTCGATCCAGCCTTGTGACAACACTGGGAACTCTAAGAGGTGCAAGGCCAATCTTTGACGATGGGATGACAACATTATTCCAACGCTTCAGCGGGGTAATGTAAACCTTGCCCACGCCATCCCAGAACCACCCTCTCAGGACCCCAAGGATACCGCCGTGCATCTGCAGGAAATCAATAGTTCCTGCACCTCCTTATCAGCTCCTGCGCCAATTCTCCGAAAGCAATCACAGCGGGGATGGGCGTGTAACACGGCCGTTGATTGGGTTCCTGGTGACGCGAATGGGGAAGGCTTCACGGCTCCTAGGTAATTAATCCGCCATCCTCTTCCGTGGTGCAGTTGAAGACCCATTTCGGCGAGCTGCAGATGCAGGACGCCGTCGCTGTTGGCCTCATGTGGACCCCAACACCACATCCAGTGTCTTTGACCGGATTCGACCTAGTGCGGTGCTATCCCTAAGCAAGACGTCAGACCAGATGCCCGAAGGGTTAATTTCCCTCTGTCGAATCCACCAATAGCCACAAAAAGACGGTGTGGAACGTGCATAAGCGGCTGCAGCCATGCTGGAGACGGCACACGGCGGGCGCTTAAATGTATTTTTAACCCTCCTCCTCCGCCCATTGGGTTCCGTTCTCTCGGGCCCTCCACTGCTTGGATCTATTGGCTGTTGTCAGAGGGGATTTACTATCATTAGAATTCCGAAAATAACCCAATTTAGGGGAGATGAAGGGGGCCGCGTTGGTCTCCCTCCATCACCGGGCTTACCCCTCTTCTGAACCCTGACCAGCAACACCCAGGGTTATATTCCCTGGGTTGCCTGCACTCCTCAGGCCGTGATCTGCTTCTCTGCACAACTCTCAGTCTGGCCTGGAGTTGAAAGTGGTCCTACCTTACCACACTCACCGTTTTCATTCGACCTCTTTACTTTTGTTTGTGTCATCATGGTTGGCGTGCGTCTGCCTCGCCCAGCGGGCGTCTATGTGCCAGCCCGAAGTCTCAGTCCTGACATGATCTCGTCCCCTCTGTCGCCCAGTTTCAATTTCGACTCGGAAACCCTCACCCCCTCCATCATCCCCGCGCTCGAGTACATTTCCGCCAAGCTAGAACAGAAAATGATGCACGTCACGCTCCTGGTGGGCCGGGGCAAGCCCTACCCGACCGGCGAGCCCTCGGACCTCATCATCATCCCCGTCACCCCCCTCGACGCCATGACCTGGCCAATCGTTTACCGAATGGTAGCCAAAGCCGCCATTAAATTCTCCCTCGGGCAAAGCTGGATCGATGCGCTGAATCGGAGTCTGTACGAGAGCGCCGCCAACGACTACCTAAAGCAGCAATCCATCATGCAGAACGAGGTGATCTTCAGCCGCGAGGGGCTGACGCTGCTCAACGTCGACCGGATCTACACCTTCAAGCGGCGCCTGTGCATCCTCTCCAACCGCGGCGTGGCCCCCGAGGAATCCTACATCACGTCCTGCACGCAGCTCCTGCATCGCACCATCCAAGACTTCCACGGGCGCCCGTTCAGCAAGGCCTTCTTCCACCGCGTCTACGAGCAGCTGAACGTGTCGGACGAGCTCCTCACCCACGTGGCCAACGCCTACAAGAAGCAATACAACGACGACGGCATCATCTTGCCCCCGCAGCCAAAGGCCGAGCCCCCGCGGAAGATCGAGCAGCTTCGGAAGGGCGAGCAGCCTCGCAAGTCCCCGCGCTCGACCCGTGCCCTCCGTCAGCAGGGCCCTCCGCCCACCCGATACGTGATCCCCAGCAAGCGCGGGCCCAAAACGCCGTTGTCTGCGTCGGACGTCACGCCTATCACGCAGAACGAGTGGAACATGGTCATCGGGCCGGACTTTCCCCATCACACCAAGGCGACGGTCACCAAGTGGACGCCTTCTCCTACGGTTATGGCTGCGGCGTGATGGACTCGACTGTCCAAGATTTAACATCATGTCTTGTCGACTTCCACAGAACAGAAGTTGAAAGGCACAATCAAAAGCAGAACCTACCTGCTACACCCACGCAATACTCGCACCAGAACCAAGGTGAGTATCCTCGAGACGGTGTCGTGAAGAGTTTTATACTAACCATCTCCCGGCAGGAATTGGCAGTTGAAACACTCCACTTCCCACGGTCGCATCCAACCAACGAGACCGTTCATGCCTTGGTTTGGTGGAGCTACCCGAGCATGTCGGCAAACGCACCAACAGGCCATAGCTTTGTGGGGTAACTTCCCGCCGGAATCGCAGGGCCAGCATCCCGACTCCGAAAGGGTCGGGTTGATGAAGCAGGGGTGGGAAGAAGAAACTACTCTGGCTCAGGATCACCTGGGAATTCCGATAGATACGGGAAGTGTAGGGTCGCTTGAAGTCAAGAATCAGTGACTGCAGCCTTAGTCCATGCCAAGGACTGTCCTGTACATTAGAAGCTTGGCGGGGGAAAATATCGGCGCCCTCCGGCATGGCAATTGTTGCGATGGCTCCTGGCACAAGGATTTATTGTATGATTATCTTGAGAATGAACAACAACTTAGCATCAAATTGAAGAGTATCAAATAGAGCTTCCCCGTCCAACTTATCCCTGAAAACAAAACCAAACAAAATCGGCCCAGCGAACCCCTCCCGACCACCAGCGGACACCTCCGAAAGATCCCGCTCCGACACGCTGCGTGCGGAGAAAATCTTCCCAAGCTCCACTGCACAGAACTCAACGCAGCTCTTTGGAAAAACGTACTCAGTAACTAGCCAGTCATCACGAAGGCCATTCCTCGCGGATGGTCCACTATTTTCCAAGGTGTTGATGGGGTTGATAATTCCCCCATCTAAAAATTCTTATCGCACGCCTTATCAAAACCAGTTTTCCGGCATACTGCCCCTCCTCGCGAACATTCAAATCCTGCCTCCCCCGCACGTTGGCCACGGGCTCCCACCATCCTCCACCCCCAAACTCAACAACAACAATCAAGCTTCTTGAGCTCAAGAAGCCCTGTGGCTGCGACTTTCAACCATGCGGGACCCTTCCCCGGATCCCGTGGCTAACGTTACGGGCAGCGACAACCACCCCCCCGGGCGCAGCCCCAACAGCAAATGGAGCGCCAAGGCCCTCGTCAGGCAGGCCGAGAGATCGCACCGCCGACTGCCGGGCCTCCGCAAGATCCCTCTGCCGGCGATCGGGATTATTCTGTTTATTGCGTTGCTGAATGTGATTGTGTGGATTGCTGCGGCGATTGTGCTGGTACGTTTACTTCGTGCTGTGTCAAATCTGTCCCTAGCTTGAGAACTGAACTAATGACCGCGACAGCGATACCACCCGTAAGCCCTACCCAACACCAAGTCAGTGGTAGCAAGAGCAAAGATACTGACTCGAGGACTGGGGCGTAGGTCCCTCGTCTCCAACGCCGTGCTCTCCTACACCCTCGGCCTGAGACATGCCTTTGACGCCGACCATATCTCGGTACACCCCCCTCTGTCCACTGTATAAGAAGCATAATTAACAATAGACAGGCCATCGACCTCATGACCCGGCGTTTACTCGCGACAGGCCAAAAACCCGTGACCGTGGGGACGTTCTTCTCGCTGGGCCATTCCACGTACTCACCCCCATCCCTACCCCTCTGTATCATGACACTAATTCCCCGGCAGCATCGTCATCATAACCTCAATAGTAGTGGCCGCGACCGCAGCCGCCATCTCCTCGCGCTTCGACAGCTTCAGCACGATCGGCGGCATAATCGGCACCTCCGTCAGCGCCGCCTTTCTAATCCTGTTAGGCCTCATGAACGCCTACATCCTCTACAAGCTCTACCGCCAGATGCAGAAGGTGCTGAATCTCCCGGAAGACCGGGCGGACGAGATCTGGAAGATCGAGGGCGGCGGGGTGTTGTTCAACGTGCTGAAGCGGATGTTCAAATTGATTGATCGGTACTCTCCCCCAAGAGCCCTAGCCCTAGTCCCGGGACTGCTAGCATAGCAAACATCCAAAGACCAGAATTACTGATGGTTGATGACCAGGCCATGGAAAATGTACCCCCTGGGCGTGCTGTTCGGGCTGGGATTCGACACCTCGTCGGAGATCGCGCTGCTGGGGATCTCGTCGGTGGAAGCGGCCAAGGGGACGAATTTCTGGGTGATTTTGATCTTTCCGGCGTTGTTTACGGGTACGCCCCACACCCCCCCCCCTTCCCACATCGTCCACATACTGTGAACAGGGTGCTAATGCAGGGTCAAGCGGGGATGTGCCTCCTCGACACGACGGACGGCGCGCTGATGCTCTCGCTGTACGTGCAGCCGTCGGCCAACTTCCTGCCGCCGAAGAGCGATGCCGCGTCGGATGCGCCGCTCATCTCTGGGCCGGATGAAGGTCAAGAGCAGGAACTGGAGCACGGCGCAGAGCAAGAGCCGAAGAACCACCGCGACCCCGTCGCGTTCCTGTACTACTCGATCGTGCTAACCTGTCTGACGGTGATTGTGGCGATCGTGATCGGCGTGATCCAGGTGCTTACCCTTGTGCTTAATGTGGCGAACCCCACGGGGCGGTTCTGGGATGGCGTGCAGGTGGCTGGGGATTATTATGATGCCATCGGCGGGGGGATTTGTGGGTGTTTTTTGGTGATTGGGGGGTTGAGTGTGTTGGTTTATGGGCCGTGGCGGCGGTGGGTTGCTCGAAGGAAGGGGAGGGGGTTTGGGGTGGATGTTGAGGGGTCTTCTGGGGAGGGGGGGTATCGGGATGAGCCTGCTGAGGAGGTGGTATCTGGGTCTGGGGCTGGGGATAAGGGGGCTACGGCTTCGGTTGCGACTGTTGGGGGGCCTTCGTGCTGAGGTACTTGGTTTGGGGTTGAGGGTGCTGGGGAGCTGAAAGGAAGGGGGGGTCTGGGGGTTCTCCCCCAGATACTTATACTATTCCCACGATACGAATTGGATTTACTGGGGAGCTGAAAGAAAGGGGGGTCCGGGGGTTCTCCCCCGGGAACGCTTTGCAGCCAGTCTCTATGGGTGACGACGAGGATGATTATGATAGAGAAAAAGTTTTGAATATTATGATACATCGACACCTTAGGCATTAAGGTTCTCCGGTTTCCGGTATCGGCTGTCGGCCTGTCAGGTGAAAATGCCGGGTCCACTTGACCATCAACTGATGCCTGAGGCAGGGATATGACTGACGTCAGTCATCACAGCTGAAGCATACTCATGTGCATTCTTTGGTTGAAGATGGAGTAACACGAATATTCCCAATTTATCGATATATATCTCTTTTGTACATTCTATCGATCCCCAGCACGTAGGGTATTCTCGGAGCCATATAACCTGCACTATATAAAGCCATGACATAACCACCGGTGTACGGTACATATCCAGCATGTCCGAGACAGACTCTGGCGCAGAACACGACGACCCCGACCCCTCGACACCCGACTTCTCAGCCTGTCCACCAATCTTTGTCTTGCAGACGCACCTCACCATCGAGTCCCTGCACGCCATCGAGGAGGAGCTCGTCCGCCGCAACGCACGGCTCACCTACGACATCGACGAGCCCGCGCTCATCCTCGGCAAGCTCAGCCAAGCCAAGCGCGCAGCCCTGGAATTGCGCACGCTGGGCGTGTGGACTGAGCCAGCCCGAAAGTCGGACGAGCCTCCGCCGGCCAAACGCCGCCGAGGCAATGGCAATGCCCTAAGCAAAGAAGCGGAGGTCATCGACCTCAACACGGAGACGGAGGACGAAGAAGACGGGATGAGCAGCCATGCTTCCTCGACGCATCTCCGCCCTGCCAACCCGACTACAGAGACGCCCACCCTGACAGTAGTCAAACTGGACTGGCTGCACGCCTGCCTCCGCACCAACACCATCCTCCCAACAGACGAGTACACAGTCTACCACGCGCGACGCATCGAGCGTCCGCCAGCACCATCCCCCCCAACCCAGACCCTAAAGGCGCAAACGCAAACCTCCATTCTGGCCCGCGCCAAAGCAGACGCCTCAATGCAGCCCCCGGCCCCTCAACCCACACGCCCCTACCAGTCCTACCACCAGCGCCACCACCAAAAGGCGCACCCCCGCACGCAGCCCACGCAGTCCACGCACCCCCCCAAACTCCACCGCACCACCACCTCCGAAGCCGAAGACCTCGGCAACCTCCCACCACCCCCGGCCTGGGTCACCGCACCCCACAACGCCTACGCGTGCCTGCGCTCAACGCCGCTCCACCCGCCCAACGAACCCTTCATCAACGAACTCCTCACCATCCGACACATCCGGGAACTCACCCTCGACGAGATCGGCGTCCGCGCCTACAGCACCGCCATCGCAAGCATCGCCGCATACCCGTACCCGCTCCGCCGGCCCGCCGAAGTGGCAGGACTACCGGGGTGCGACGCCAAGATCGCGAACCTGTTTTACGAGTTCCAGCAACAGCAGTCCTCCGCATCCAGCTCGAGTGGCAACAGCACACCGGGTGCACCAGCCTCAGCACAAGACCAATCCCACCTCCACCCCCACCCCCAACCCCCACCCCGCGGAGTCCTCACCGCCACGCACCCGCTCACCACCGACCCGACGCTGCGCACCCTGCACACCTTCTACAACATCTGGGGCGTGGGCGCCAAAACGGCCCGGGAGTTCTATTTCACGCGCGGGTGGCGCTCGCTCGACGACATCATCGAGTACGGATGGGCCAGCCTGAGCCGCGTGCAGCAGATCGGGGTGAAGTTCTACGACGAATTCCAGGAAGGCATCCCCCGGGCCGAAGTCGAGGGGATTGCGGCGGTGGTGCGACGGCACGCTGATGCTGTGATCGCCTCCCGCCGCAACCCCCACGACCAGGGGTTTCGGGCAAAGGGGGTAGAGTGCATCATCACCGGCTCGCACCGCCGCGGCAAGCCGTTCTCCGGCGACGTGGACCTGATCCTCTCGCACCGCGACGAGGATGCCACGAAGGATTTGATCGGGGATGTGCTGCGCCGGCTGGAGGGGGAGGGGTGGATCACGCATACGCTGGCGCTGCATCAGGGCCATTCTGCGCGCGAGCAGGCTACTCTTCCTTTTCGGAACGACAGTGCGGTGCACCGGAAGATGTTTGATAGTTTGGATAAGGGGTTGGTTGTTTGGCAGCTCCCTCTGGGGTATTCTTATGGGGGCAAGGGGGATGAGCTGGCGAAGGGAGAGGGCGAGGGGAGTCCGCGCCCGCACCGCCGGGTGGACATTATTATCTCGCCGTGGCGGACGGTGGGGTGCGCGGTGCTGGGGTGGTCGGGGGATAAGACGTTCGAGCGGGATTTGCGGCGCTTTGTGAAGCAGGAGCGCGGGTGGAAGTTTGATTCGAGCGGGGTGCGCGAGCGGAGGAGTGGGGGGTTGGTGGTTGATTTGGAGGGGGCGGGGGAGACGTGGGAGGAAAGGGAGCGGTTGGTTATGGAGGGGTTGGGTATTGGGTTTCGGGGGCCGGGGGAGAGGTGTACTCGCTAGGTATTACTGCGTATATTCCGGAGAGTTGAAAGGCAGGGGGGTCTGGGGGTTCTCCCCCAGGAAGTTATATTCCAACTTGATATAGGATTAAGATTGAGGTTACTGGGAAGCTGAAAGAAAAGGGGGGTCTGGGGGTTCTCCCCCAGGAAGTTATATTCCAACTTGATAAAGGGCTGACATTGAGATTACTGGGACGCTGAAAGAAAAGCGGGTCTGGGGGTTCTCCCCCAGGAAGTTATATTCTATCCTGATTTAAGGGTGAGGGGTCAAACCATACCATATTTCACATTGTCTCATAGAGCTGTCTCCGAGTAAATACACGCAACAAAACACAAACACAGCCACATCAGGCGTCATCTTCATCATCTCCCCAAAATGAGACAAAAGTTAGACATACAAAGAAGGAAAATCAAAAGACCACAAAAACTAAGCAAAAACACAATCGTTACACTAGCGCTCGCGAGCTGGTCATTTCTCCATAGCGTCCTCTGCCTCTCGTGGTATCGTAAGCATTCACAACTCTCATCTGGCCGCCCTCGTCCGCCTGGCTGAACGCATAGCCGCGCTGCTTGCGCATGCGCTGCACCTGGCGCACCTTGCGGATCGCCTTTTGGAACTGCTCCATGCGCGGCCGATAGTCCTGCACATTGTACTTCTGGATCTCCTGCACGTGGTGGTAGTGCTGCGGGAAGTACATGCGCTTGGCGTACTTCCACGCGTAGTCGCGGAGCAGGCAGATGCAGGGCAGGATCACCACCAGCAGGTAGAAGGTGGGCGACTTGAACACCTCCGGGATCGTGCCGTAGTACTCGGTCGAGAAGCCGATCGCGGGGGCCGCGTAGCCGTAAGCCGGCAGGAAGATCAGCCAGATGATCATCGAGCCGGGGATCGCGATGAAGGTGTATTTCGTCCAGATATTCGTGATCAAGGCCGCCTTGCCCAGCACCGTCGCCAGCGCAGCCGTGTACAAGGCCTCGGCCCAGACCCAGTGGCCCGCGGTCTTGCCGTCGGCCTGGGCACCGTCCCAGATGAAGAAGAGCTGTCCGACGATGTACAGGAGCAGCGAGTGGTAGAACCCGTTGGCAATCCAGGACCAGAAGCTGTGTCGGCGGAAGAAGAGACTCTTCTGACCCATCTGGTACAGCTGCGGATACCGATCGAGCAGCCGCGCAGAGATAAACTGATCACAAATGCCCATGGCGAAAGGGGGGAGAACGGTGAAGAAGACGTTGTAGTACGACAGTGTCCACGACTCGTAGATAACCTCACCAGAGAACGCGTTTTGAAAAGAGTACTATGCATGGTCAGGAAAGGCAAAGGCCGACACGGTAATAAGAAGGGCTTACCCAGAACTGCGTCATACAGAGAGCGATATTCTTGTAGAACGAGTACAAGATCACTCGACTGATACGGTGGTAATTCCAGGCCCCGTGGACCAAAAGGAGCTTGCGCAGATAGCGGAACTGGGCGATCGACACGTCCGCCGACCGTGCAGCCTGCAAACCCTCGACGCCGCTGATACCAACACCGACATGGGCGGCCTGGATCATAGACACGTCGTTGGCGCCGTCGCCGATCGCCAGAAGCAGGGACTTGAGGTGGCGCTTGACCAGCTTGACCACAAGGGCCTTCTGCAGGGGGGACACACGACTTCTTGAATTAGCACAATCCGGAAAGAAGAAGAACAAGAAAAGAAAAGGGCAAAAAGCATAACGGGCAGACCTACCAGCAAACAACTGCCTTGCACAAAACCGCCAAGTCCAAGAACAACCTCTCCATGTCCTTCTCGAGAGCGAAGGTCAACGACCGGCCGTCGATAACCAATGCCATCGCTTCAGTCTCGCCCGAGGTACCCTGGCTCTGAACAGCCTGAAGCTTCTTAGTCAAATTATCCCTGGTAGCCTGGGCGTTTTCCTCGTTGACAATGAGCAGAGTCATATCCTCCGAAATAAGCTTGCACGACATTCCGATGTTGATAGCCGTTTCCTGTCTGTCGCCAGTCAAGACCCAGATCTTGATGCCGGCCGTCTGGAGGGTGTGGATAGTGTCCGGGACGCCATCCTGCAAGCGATCCTCAATGGCCGTGGCTCCGAGAAGGTAAAAGTCCTTTTCAATGAGTTCGGCGGCCTTGTCCAATTCATCCGCGCGGTTTCCGCTGACCGTAGTCGCGGCCTTGTCATAGATCTGGTACCACTGCTGGAACTCGGCTTCGGGAATCTCGCGCATGGCCAAACAAAGCGTACGTAGACCCTCCGATGCATATTCCTCCAGATGTTGCAGGGTCGCCTCAACCGTCGGGTTGTCCGGGTTCAACCGCTCGAGAATGACAGTGTCCGCACCCTTGGTGTAGATACGGACCTTGCCGTCTGGACAGCGGAAGATAGTAGACATACGCTTTCGTGTAGAGTTAAACTCGCAGACGGCCAGCAACTCATACTCGTAGTCCTGACCCTCCACCGTGAAAATCACGGATCTGGGCCGGCGGTTGGAAAAGCGATAGCCCAGAAGCGCAGCACCCTCGACCAGCGCACCTTCGTCCGGAGACGCCGCCTGGTACTTGATCTTGCCCGGCTCCTTCTCAGATCTTTCCGGAATGACGGTATGGCAAGTCGCAAGCAGAGTGAGGAAGTGGTGAATCACATCTGACGAAGGGTGGGAGCGGAGATTCTCCGCGAGCTTCTTGAAGTCATGAACACCAACTTCGACACCGTCTTCCACTGTCGCGCGGCGGTCCTCGGGGACATCCTCTCCATATTGAATACCGGCAATAGTGCATTGCTTGAACTCCATCATGTTACACGTCAAGGTGCCCGTCTTGTCGGAAAAGATATACTCGATCTGTCCCAACTCCTCAACTAGCGATGACGTCCGGCAGGTTGCAGGAGTGTCAGTCTTGTCGTAGTAGATGTCGAGATCCGCGTTGATCAAGAAGGCCTGCGCATACTTGATAATCTCAATGGTGACGAAAAGGGAGATCGGAACCAAGTTCGAGTACAAGACCCAGTAAGTGAAGATATCCAGAACAAACTGCTTGACGGCATTGGTGCGTCCGTAGTCGAGGTACGTGAGTTGACTGCCCTCAGTTTGCCGGATAACCAGATCACCAACGGAACTGATCACACTGAGCGCCACGAGAATACCGACCAACATGAGAATCTGGACGTTAACCATACGCTCAACAGCCGTTCGCTTGATCGGGGTCGCGGTCGCGTTTCGCATCAACTTCGTTTCGTGGCCGGTAAAGACAACGATTCCATGTACCCAGGGAGTGTTGCGCAGGGTCGCCCCTCGCAGGAGCAGTTGATCCGGGGCCAGCGGCAGTTCCTTCTCACCACCTCCCGCGTGCATAGTCAATGTTGCCTCGTACGTGTAAAGACTGCTGTTCGGCTGTTCCGATCGAACGCGCCCGGTCAACCGACTGAGATCTGCGGGACTGACCAAATGCGCCGTCTCCGGAATAGCTTGCTTGATCTTCAGGTTGGTTTCGCCGTCCAGATTTGCCGTTTCGATATAGCATAGACCCTCGGGTTCCGATGACGCAAGCAAGACCATGTCGGCGGGGAATGGCTGCTCAGACTCCACGCGAACAATATCACCCACAGCGACATCGATCCACTTGGTCTCATGGAAGCTCGAGCCTTTCAGCACCTGCGTCTTGGAGAAGTTCAACCCCTTATCAGACGATCTCCGCTTGTAGTCCTCCACAAGTTCTTTGATGGCCGACACCAACAACACAATCAACAGCGGACCGATCGTGGTGTACCGATTCGTGGGAGTGACGTTCGGGATCTGCTGAAGAACAGCGGTGAACAGGAAGAACAGGTTGGCATACTTGGAGAACTGCTCGAACAGGAACTTCGGGATGAAGGTGAAAATATTGTACTTGGCCGTCGAGACATGGTTGTCGACGAATTTGTGCACAGCGTTCGCGGGCGGATTGTTCAAAACGATCATTCGAGGCCCCAGAGTCGACGGATCGACCTTCCTGCGACCTAACCCAAACTTGAAGTCCGACTTCTTCGACTTCTTTCGAGCCCCGGCCGCAGCCGCCTCATCCGGGTCCGCACTGTCCAACCGAGCCGCACGACCGCCCGACTCCGTCAAGGGAAGATCCATCTCCGAGTACTCGGGCCCCATGCCCAGCATGTGCTTCGCTCGGCCCATCAGGCCACCTCCCAGACCCAGAATGCTGTTTCGCTCCTTCGCCTGGCGAACCCGGTTGTCGGGCTGCGAGTGGTGTACGTCGTCATCATCCAGATCGTAGTACCCGTGCAGCGACCGGCCGTCGTCGTATTCGTCGAGGGAGTAGCGGTTGTAGTTGCTCAGGCCGGAGGTATGGGAATAGGTGCGAGACACGTCGGCCCCCGTGTAAGGATCGGTGAGGTAGCCCCCGACTTGCGCCGGAGGGTGCGCTGAGGAAGTCGCATGGGCGCCTGAATGCGGTGGAGCCTGTCCGCCGACGAAGCTATCGTAGGAAACAGAGGGACGGGGTTGGGGTTGGGGTTGGTCGGAGTCGTCGATGTCGTACTGTCGCAGTAGGTTGTCATCGTTCACAGGTGGACGTTGACCCGTATTATACATGGGAGTGGACTCATCCAGCAGCAGTTCCTCGGCGTGGCCAGCGGCTGGATGAGGTCCGGGAGGCCTACCGCTGGCCATGACGCTGAAGGCGGGCAGACACCGTTACTGCGAGGTGGTGCCCCAGGAGCATGGATTGACGGGGATGGAAGGGGTAAAAGTCGCGCGCTGGGAGTAACGGAGGATGGCGGAAACACGTAGGATTAGGGAGGAGGTGGTCGAAATTGCGAGCGGGTGACAGTAAGCGGCGGGGGAGGGAGAGAAGTAACGCAGATTGGGAGAAATTCTGACTGCCTGGTGGTTTAGCTCAGATGCCGCGCAATTAGCGTTGGATCACCGCCCGTGGCTGGGGCCGGGAGATGGGGCGGGGCTTTCCCGGTCGAGACGATGAGTAAATTGAATTGTTGACTGGGAGACGTGCTAATTATAAGCCATGAGGGGGGAGAGGATATGATGTTTCAGAGTAGGAAGACGATTTGGCAGAGTCAACTCATTTCCACTGCCGCCGCGTGGTTGAAAGTGGATGATGGATTGGAGAAAGGGAGGCCAGGCCGCAGGCATGAACACCTGCTTCCGCTTCGGGTTAGCGCCGCCTGACCGATCGTCACGGCTTTCTACAATCAACAAACAACACTTCAATAACAGCAACAGGTTAGAAGCAGATATGAAGACGTTAACCACATTAACATCGAAACAACAACCCGCAAGCATGTAAATTGAGCAACAATCCGATTCCTCCCGCAACAAAAACAAAGCAGCCCAATGATTTCCGCTCTGGTTTACTCAGAAAAAAGCTACCATTCAATCAGCAAGCTCTTCTGCCCGTCTCAGAGCCAACTTGTCTCTCGTGCAGTCAATCCATGGGAAATCCACACTACAAATTCGCCTAGGTCTATGCCAACAGGTCCAGCTTCTGGGGCATCGCATAGAGTCACCGGTCATTGGGCGCAGCAGAATGTCATGAGCCCTCATTAGTTCTTGGAGGAAGTGAACATGGCTTCGGAAGTCCTTCCACGTCTCATCGGTCCAATTGTGACCATCGTTGAGCATCTGTAAGTATTCGCTCTCGACCCTTTGCATACGTGCCCAGATAGCGTAGTGAGGTCGAAACCCGATTGAGAAGGAGATCATGATCTTGGGAGCTACCGAGACTTTGAGGAGTTCGGCGCAATGTGCGTATTGCCATACGTCGAGAGGATGTTCCGAGAGACTTATTATAACCTTATGGCGCTCCTCTTTCACATTTTCCTTCAACCACATTGCAACATGTTCCGTGGCAAATTTCATTTCCTGGTAGCCGTAATAATGCTGAGGGAAAGTATAAAAGATATCGTTGGACCTCGCCATGGAAGTTCAAAGAAACATGAATAGTATGTAGAGCAGACAAGAAGAGCTGGGAGCTGATATCTGACTTCTATATTCTTCTGACCATGGAATTACAACAGCTATATAGACAGCAGTTTGCACACATCGCACAATTCCACGTATGCAATGAGCAATGGGATACGTAGAAGGCTGAGATTGTCTATGATGTCCTTTGACTTATATGAATATGTCTAGCAGGGTTTACCCAGTCACAGAGCAGTCGGCCTAGGCAAACATCAACCTGCACAGCCTGTCTTATAATGCATCGAATCTTGACCTGCATGTTGAGACAGGATGCCGAGCGTAGAGTTTGGGCGCTTCAGCCGTCAGGTCCTCAGTTTTGTTTTTCTGGACCATGACATCTATAACAGTTTGAACAATATCATTTGACACTTTTGCCACTAGGGACCAGCGTTCCCTGCCAGATCCTGTCGTTTGCGAAACTGAAGCCGAAGAGGAGGTAACGTCGTTGTAAACGTGTCCAGCGCGCTGTGCTCAAAGTCCTCGCCTGTCTCACCCGGCGCGAAACTTATGGAATATTGTAGAACCAATACAGATACAGTGATTTGAAGGCTGAGCAGAGCAAGATTCTTCCCAGGGCAACTGTAGTGACCTGGTGACGCAAGTTAGCAATGAAACTTATCCAATCACTTGAATTGTGATTCTAACCCGACGCTGCGGAAAAGTTGCGGTAGAGAACTGACCTATTGCAAATGGAATGAAAGGCGCCCCATCAGTGCGAAGCTCGTCTTTTCTTTCATTCCATCTCTCGGGAATAAAACTTTGGGCTTGTTTGTAGTACCTCTCGTCCGTTTGAATCAACTGAACCGGAACAAACACGTTGACATCCCCAGGAATGTACACCTCATCGATCTGGACGCCTTCCGCAGGGGTTACCCGGTAGCCACCTGTCATCACGGCTGGCCGGAGACGAAGAGATTCATTGATGATATCGTCAAGAAAAGAGACTGTCTTCACCTTGGCGTTGGACCAGTCCTCGACCCCACCAGGCATAGCCTCATCCAACAGCCGCTGAAGCTTGGCTAGGACATGCTGATATTTAGCTAAGTAGAAAAGGACAGTGGCCAAGGTAGTCGCTGTGGTTTCACTGCCGGCAATAATGACCACTCGAGAGTCTTCGTGCAAAGCAGCTTCAGAAGGAGAGGCTGCTGCGTCTTTGTCCACGTAGGCTTTCAGCAGCCATGAGACAATATCGTCGGGATACTTTCCAGCGTCCCAAATCTGCACACCGCATCAATGTCTCGGCCAAACGCCGAACCCGAACAAAGCAATTACGCACCTTTTGCTTCCTTTCTATCTCATCACCACACCACTTGAAGAAACCTGAGTAGGCTGCAGTAGCTCCTGGGAAACGGCTAGCGAGATTCAGAAACCAAGGAACATGGCCCAGAACGCCCAGGACGGCCATGTGATCGTGGATTCCTTTGATAGCTGGGTGTTCAACACCTGTTGTCAAGTTTCCAAAGTCTTTTCCAAAGCCCACGTCTCCCATTACATCGAAACTGACAAACATAGACCAGGCGGTAGCATCAATGGTATTTCCCAGGTTGGCTGTGATATGTGAGGCAAGTTGGTCGGCCTTTGCCTTGATCCGTGGTTCGTACAATCCGAGTGCTAGATACGCCTGGTCAATTTCGTCGGCATCTTCCAAGAAATGGCTTTGAGTAGAGAGCACACATTTCATACTGAATCCTCGATCCCATGCCTTTCGTCGTTTCCGGTGGTCTTCAAAATCTCGAGTGTGGTGGACAGAGCATTTTTTCGGGTTGGTAGAGGCCTGCGCGTAGTAGGTTGACTTGCGACACTTTGACTGAGGTCCGAAGAGAACTGGTAAAGCTGATTTGCGCACGATGCAGATTTCTCGGGGACCTATGATTGGAGCATGTTCAGTACTGGCGGTGAGCACTTGAGAGTGGTGAGATGACATGCCTGTTCTGATAAAGTCACCGTATCGCTTGTGGAGTTTCTCAATTTCCAAATTGTATTGCACATTCCTTCCGGCAAGATACGCATCATAGAATCGAGATACCCTGGATCCTAGCGGGCCTGGAAAGCGACGAAGACGATGGAAGAACAACCGATAGACCCCAATGCTCAATACCAGCCCCGTGTTGAAAGCGCCTGCAATCCAGCATACTCGGGCCAGACTCTGCGTCACCGAATAATCAATGGACGTAAGATAGGCGGCAAACACGGCAATCACGGTAACAATATAGATAATCAGAAGTTCATGAAGATGATCTTCCGTGGGAAAACTGGTGCGAAAGAGAGTGAGATGGAGGACAATCGCGAGTCCTGCCGCGGAACTTCCCAGGCTGAGCAGGTCCTTTCTGAGGAAGTCACTAAAGCCTGCGGACCAAAGCAATGATCTCGCTGAATCCATCGTGAGTGTGTTGTTGATTTCCTCAACCACCCATCGCTCTACCCACAGTCGTTCGAAGAAAAGGACAATCCCTCCTGACGGGGGCAGTGAAGTATTATTTAACATCCATTTGAGCCAGAACCTCCCTCAGCACCTTTGTCGGTTGCATGCTAAAGCGACGGCGTCATCATGGTCGACGACTGTGAATCTGTTATTGGCAGCAGCCTGCTGGTCAGTTTATTAACCCTTGTCTATACCCCACCTCGGCAATAGCAATAACACTCAGCCGATCACAAAAATGGGATAAAGACAAGCAAGACAGAAACCAGGACCCATCGTGCACGATGGTGAAACTCCGGTCCTCGTGCGGACAATACGCAGGACAAGCCCGTCATCCCCACCTTTTATCTCTGCTACTCGTGTTGGCCTGATCGCACGGCGGCCCTTCAGTGGTGGCTGAAAACCCCGATCCACCTCGCGAGACACTATAGGAGACTAGGAAGGGAGCAGCCGTCCGCTGTGGAGCTTATGCTGATGCCAGCTTTCGCGGATTGGCGGGAGGAGAGAAAGCAAAGAGCTTAGCGCACTGGATCTCATCTGCATCTAAAGCCTCCTAGCGATGGCGCTTGCAGGGATGGCTGGACTATCAACAGGATCGATGCACACAGCAGGATGGGCTGGATCGGAAGAGGGGGTGAAGAAAGACAAGGCTGGCTCCGAGCATTTAATTCTTGGCCCAATGGACTTTCGAGACTTTCCAGTATATATTCTCTCGGCCGGCTTGGCTCGCAGGTCATTTTCAACAGTGCACGAGCTTGCACGAGTGAGCTGTGTGCCTGGGCTTATGCGTTCGGCAAAATGGCTCTCGAGAATCTTCAGCCATTGACCTACGGGATTATCTCTGCTGCTTTCGCGATCGGAACTTGCTCCATCTTCCTGCGACTGTACTGTCGACTGCGTCATCAGAGTTTTGGTAGGGATGATGCAGTGGCTATTATTCTCCTGGTAGGGAACTGTCATTGAGGCCCTAGATAATGACCATCCAGTTAATCGCCGCACAGTTTGTCAACGGGATGCAGCAGATGATTCTGTACATATTTCTTCATTACGGATGTGGACTGTAAGAAACGAAAGCCAGGTAACAAGTATAACAAGGCCTGACCAGGTACCGTGGTAGGCACTCGAGTCAATTATCCTCGCACCAACAAGAACAAATAACCAAGGTACGCACCCAGCTTACTGGCACCACCTCGACTAACATATTTACAATCCAGTGGTTGTTCGTTGAAGAAGTCTTCTACATGTTCGTGCACTGGACTATCAAACAAGCGTTCCTGCTCTTCTACCTCCGACTCTCCCCAGATCAATGGTTCCAAATCAAAGTCTTCAGCACAATGGCCCTCAACACCTTGTTCACGATCACTAACTGGTTACTCGCCTTCCTACAATGCAGACCCCTTGGCGCCATATTCCACCCCGCTGAATATCCCAACGCGCAATGTCTGAGCACGTACGTGGTCATGATGGTACCGACCGGGCTGGTAAGAATAGTGAAAGTTCCTGGGATATCTATATACTAACATATTCTGAAACAATGGGAAGAACATCATCACGGATATCATCATCCTCGCCCTACCGATCCCGACCGTGATGCGATTGCAGATGAGCAACCAACGCAAGGTCGCCGTGCTCGGGGTCATGTGTTTCGGCGCCTTGTCGGTAGTGACGGCGCTCTGCCGCTTCGACGTGCAGAGACAACTCATCGCCGACCCAGATACGGCGTACGTGCTCGGCCGAATGATCATCGTCGCGGCAATTGAGATCGAGATTGCCGTGGTGGCAGTAAATCTTCCCGCGTTGAAGACCCTCTTCACCAAGCTCGTGGGCAGCTCAAGCGGCGACTCGGCCAATGGCGCCCACCGACTTTCCGATTACATCAAGCAGAGCTCGAACGTAGCAGGCCCTAAGAAGAACGAATCACGCTTATCGCGCGCTAGCCTCCAGATCCACGAGCTACTTGGTGGCAACTTGACGGGGTCTGAAGAAGAGCTCCTAAGACAGACCGGTGGGAAGGCGAACATCACAGTCACAACGAATGTGGACGTCGCGTCCGAGCGAGCGAACAGTGAGTATCTGGCGGACATCGGCTTTCCTCCCATCGTGAGCCAGCATCCGAAAAACCATGTCGAGGCATGATAACTTTCAAGAATTTCTCATTGAGCGAATTAAAACGCATTGTTATTGAACTAAAGTGTGGCTTGCCGGCTGTCAGATCGTAGTCGACCAAAAAAGCGAGTTCTCAAATCTGCTTGGTCAATGGGCTGCGGCAAATGTCCGAGAGACGCCTTGGTGGCGGGCCTGGCCTGAGTATAAGCGGCTTGAGCGGAGAATATCACCACCCGATCCATTATAGCTCCGTGGGCTAAAATTATCCACCACCGGTTTGAAAATGGATTCTTTATTTCCCATAGGACGCTAAGAGCACGCGAAAAGATAGTGACTGACATTTGATCTAGCCACAGGCCATCAATTACACACCTGGGTAATGCCAGAGTGATGTCTCGGACTCTTTTCACCGCCAAGTTGAATGGCATTCGGCCTGGTGTCCCTGCTACTTACTATATCTGAAGATATATTTTGGATGTCAACCACCACGAAACACACCAAGCCATATCGTAGCTTCTACAAATCTACAAAAACACACCCTCAAAAAAAAATCTGATTGCTCGTCTGTTAAAACCATTAGACTCCTGGTAATATGCATGACATCTCTAGAAAAACCCGCCAAAACCATCCAGACTTGCACGTAGTGATCACCGATCATTCTCCGCCCGCGACTCCTCGGCCATGCCCGTCTTCGCCCGCTTGGCCAGATCCGCCTGCAGCGCCTTGTCGATGATGGCGTTGATCTCCTTGACCTTGTCCAGGGCGACGGAGGTCTTGTTCACGAAGACCATGGCGTCGACGGGCGAGCCGGAGAACTTGGACATGAAGCAGACGTCGCCGGCGTTGTTGAGCCCGAAGACGACGTCGGCCTCGGCGGCCTGCTCCTCGCGGCGGGTGGCGTCGAGGATCACGCGCTTGCCCTCGTCGAAGGAGTGGAAGGTTACGGCCAGCGGCTTGTGCGTGATGTTCAGCGCGACGGGCACCCGCTCGTCCAGCCCGTAGACGATCACCTGGCCGTCCTTAACGACCGCGTCCGGGCGCCGGAAGTGCTGCAGCCCGGCCATGATGCCCGCGCACGCCGCATCGATCAGGTTGCCGTCGTAGGCGGTGATGTGCACGTCCGCCCGGATGCTCCAGCAGCTCACCCCCTTGACGATGCACAGGGATTCCGTGTCCAGCGCGTTCGAGTGGCGGATCACCCGGTCGAGGACGTTGGTCACGTACGTTTCGAGGTCGCCTTGTCTGTTTCCCGGTATGATCATTAGAAACCCGTCGTTGTTCCCCCATCCTCTGCTTTGGGGGGAAGGGGCAAGAGCATGTCCTACCGTCCATTATCCCAGGCGGGCGACCCCATCGCCGTCAGCTCCATCGCGATCGTGAAAAGCCCATCGAACGGCCGGTCGTCGTGCGGTTTCGTCACTTCGGCTGAGATGCGCGTCACTAGACTAACACGCACACCATAAAAATTAGCTTCGCGCGGTTGTGTTGTACCCCCCAAGAAAAGAAGCATACCTCGTCCGACCAAGCTGCACCTTCACATGCCCATACTCCTCCCCGAAGGTCACCTTCAACGGACGCAACTCATCCGCGGCGCGACCGTCCAGCCGTACATCCTCGCGCAGCGCATTGAGGATGAAGTCGCGCTCCGCGATCGAGAGCGGTGCTTCTTTATTCATAATGTGAATTTCGGGCGGAGGAAAGACGACAAAGGCGGAGGGAGGAGGGGCGGACTTGGCCGCCAGCGGCGGAGGGAAGACTTTCGTTTTCTCGCTCTTTAAATTTCATGCCGCGGGCGCGGGCGGTCTTCGTCATTGCAGTGTCTGGACGGGGTGGGCTTTAGTCCAATGGGAGGGGATTTTGGCTGGGCGGTGAGTGGAGCGCGCCTGAGGCTGACTTACCGCTCTCGCCGCGGGCGGAGGTTATTATCAGAGCCATCACCTTTCTTCTTCGGACAACAATTCTCGCAACTTTGAATTTACGCACAACGCAATATGACTACAGGTGAGGGGACTGTGATTTTGCATGGGAAGGGTGTTATGCTGACTTTTTCATTAGCACACAGACCCACGTTTGACCCTGTACGTAACCCGCTTTCCAGCTCAGACGGGGAGAAGCGCAAGAACTCATTCGAAACTAGGCACAAGGCAAAGAGGCCCTCCGTGGTCCGGCCTACCACCAGCGACTGCTTCCCGCACACAAGCTTCTGAAGACACGGTAGGCTGGCGATATCTGTTCAAGTTTTAGAAGAAAGGGACTCTGACAAATGCCAGTCAACTCGGCCAAGGCACCGAAGCGGAAGCCACACAGCGCGACCTCCGCGCCGAACTCCTCCAGGCTGAGGCCGCCTATTTCGCCAAGAAGAACGGAACCCCCCTTGATGAGCCCACGGTCGAGAGCGTGACGCCCAAGCGTCAGTTGGAAGGTGGTTCGCCGGGTGGAGATGCAGACACAGGAGAGCAGGAAGAAGATCTGGAAGCGAAACGGCGAAGGATATTAGAGGAGACGAGAGACATCGATGCGGATTCGGATGGGTCGGAGGAGGATAGTAGTGATGAGGATAGGTGAGGCGCTTTGCTAATGGAGCGATGCATAAGGGCAGGGCTGACTGGCTTAGTGATGACGAGGAGGATGAGGCTGCCGAGCTGATGCGCGAATTGGAGAAGATCAAGAAGGAGAGGCTGGAGCAGAAGGAAAAGGAGGTGGGTGTCTTCTTCCGGTCTGGGTCCAGGGCAAAATGCTGATGATGGTAGGAACGCGAGCGTGCGGCCGAAGAGGAGGAGAAACGAGAATACGACATTGCGCGCGGAAACCCCCTGCTTAACCCTCAGGACTTCAATCTCAAGCGACGATGGGACGACGACGTGGTTTTCAAGAACCAAGCGCGCGGCACGGAGGACAAACGGGGCAAGGAGTTTGTCAACGTAAGTTTGTTGGTCATGTTTGGGGATTGGTATTGACATGATGCAGGACTTGTTGCGATCGGACTTCCACAAGCGGTTCATGGTAAGTCGGCTCGGTTTCCGGATCTTTTTTCTCGGAGTGCGAATGCTAATGGATGCAGGGCAAATACGTTCGGTGAACACCATACCCTCCGCATGCTGAATTTAACGGCTGCCATGGCTCTTTGATTTCGCTCCCCGATCTCGCTGCATTGCAATCCATCCACAATAATAGAGGTATCACAACTCTCAGGACAGGATAAGCACCTACAGAAGGTCCGCAAGCTGGAGGGCGATGGAAACTCGGTTTTCGCGTCTTCAATTGGACACTCGCGAGCTCATGCGCTGGAGATGCACCACCTAGATAGCGATCGAGTATATCATCCATTATAGTCATAATATCCAAATCACTGCAACCAGACACACTCGTAGATTAGCTTCGTTATCTTAACCATAACCATAACCGGCAGTATCCGACCGCCTAGATCCCCGCCCAGAACAATCACAATCACAAGCACAACCCACCCACTCCCTCATTTGCATAATCTGATACACCCGATCAATCGCCTCAATTCTCCTCAATTTCCCAAAAATGGAGTCCCAACCCTCTTCCAAAACCCTGCACAGTCAGTATGCCATCTCCCACCCACCGCACCAGCCACTAACGCACCAAAACCAGACCGCATCAACACGAACATCTCCCAACTCCTCCAGCGCTTCGAGAACATCATGGCCACAGCCACGGTACGCCATGCCCACTGCCAACCACCCTTTCAGCCTTCTCCTAACATAGGATCCAGACCGAAAGCACAAGTCACACCTCGACGGCCGTCGAAACCTACCAACTCGACGTCGAATCCACTGCCTTGGTTCGTTGACCTCGACCTTCTCACGATAGCATCGGCTTGCTGATTTCGGTATGATAGGTCCGCGCAGCAGAAGATATCCTCGCGCTTACGCGGGTGATGAAGGAGACGTGGCTGTTCGGGAAGCTGGATACGTTGGGGGAGGACGAGGCGGAGGTGAAGCGGCGGGAGGAATTGGAGCGGGATGCGGGGGCGATTCAGCGGGCGATTGAGGAGGGGGGACTTTTGAAGGCTGCTAAATAGGGGGCTGGGGGATGGTTTGGTAAGGTATGGTGCATTGGGAGTTTGGGTGTTGGATGGGATGGGCGTTATCGGTGGTGGGATTTGATTCTTCTGGCAATGTCCATCCAATGCTACTGCTATGTAGTCGAAATGACTGTCTATATCACAATGTTTTCAGATATCATACAATGCATATTGAAGCAAGCGATGCGCTGCATGAATAAAAACTCAGAGGAATACACAAACTAACTCCAATAACCAAGCTGCACTAAGGCTAAGCTAGCTAATCTTATCGATAACCAAACCACCACCTCCGCCCCGACCATCCCGAACCAACCTCCGTCCGTCCACCAAATTTCCCTCCTCCACCCCTCTTCTCTCCTCACCTCTCTCTCGCCCCCAACAACAACCACCACCACCACCCAGAATGCCCCCCCGCCCAGCACCCCTAACTCTCATAGTCGCCACGACCCCAATCCCCACACCCCCCTCAACCACAACAACCGGCCACACCAATGGCCCCCTCCGCCTCGGCATCGGCCTAAACGGCACCCTCCCGTGGCCACGCATCAAAACCGACATGTCCTTCTTTGCGCGCACCACCTCGCGCGCACCCACTCCCAGCAGCACAAACGCCATCCTCATGGGCCGCAAAACCTACGACTCGATCCCGGCCTCCCTCCGCCCGCTCGGCAAACGCATCAACGCCGTGATCACGCGGTCCGTCGACGACGTCGCGCGCCGCGTGCAGCAGGATTTGGACTCAAAACAGCGGAAGGAAGAGGAGAAGATGCGCGCGGCTACACAGGGCCAGGGGCAAACGAAAACACCGCAAGGGCCGCAGACCGACGCGATCGTGTGCGCGGGGTTGGAGGAGTCCCTCACAAATCTGGAGGCGAGGTATGGCGCGGAGGACCGGCTGGGCCGGTTGTTTGTGATTGGCGGGGCGGAGATCTATGGTGCGGCGCTGCGGGTGACGACGCGCGGGGTGCGGATTGTGATGACGTTTGTGGAGAAGGTGGCGTTCCAGGAGGATCGGGGGCAGGTGTTTGAGTGTGATACTTTTTTCCCGCTGGATGAGGAATTGTTGCAAGAAAAGGGGTGGCGGAGGGTGAGTGCAAGGGAGGTGTCGGAGTGGGTCGGGGAGACGGTGACGGATGAGTGGATTGTGGAGGGGGAGGTGAGGGTCAGGATGGTGGGGTATGAGCGGGTGGATTGATCATCGATCGGTTCCTACGGAGGGGGGAAGAGGAAGTGACAATGTACAGTCTGTATGCAAGGTATGTACGGCGCCATTCGGGTGAATGGTCTCAGGCTCTAGATACAGGATACCACAAAAAACAAACGCTGATCCAACTCCGAGCTAATTTACAGCAACAAATCTAGATACCGCGAAAAAAAAAAACAATGCATAACACGTTTCCACCAGAAAGCAAGCTACTCGTTCTGCTTCATATACTTCACAAAGGCTTTCTTGTGTACCAGGCCGGCATAGTGTCCATTGTGCAGAACACACAGATACCGCAGGCCCAGCTTCGCGAAGCATTGATACACAAGATCAATCGGGGAATGGATATCCAGGGACATCGGGGACTAAAAGGATTAGCTTCGTGTCATGCAGTGAGATCACCCGACTTACAAAATCAATGTATTGAGTAAAGTCCACCCAGTCGGTGTTTTCCAGATCTTCACTGTCGGAAATAGCCGAGGACACATCCATCGTCATTAGACACAGAGTGTTCTCCTCGTCCTCAAGATTGTCGAGAGCGTATTCAAGGTCGGGCGCAGGGATCAACCCGGTCAGAATGTTGTGACGCAGAATCGGCAAGCCACTGTCCAGCTCACCGGCCATGAGCAAATTCTGGAGCTTCGACCGCAGCTCCGTCGCGGGCACAAAGGAGGACTCCGAAATGTCAATGACCCGGCTGGCCCGCAGGGGTCGAACGAGATCGCCAAGCTGTCCATCTGACAAGGGCTGGAGTTTATTGTCAAGGAACGGATACGCATTCATGTCCGTCAGAAGGTCCTGTGCACGTCAGTACCATGACTATGATTACAGGCTTCAGAATACTCACGTAAATACTGCGGGGTTCGATTGCATCTGCTGTCCACTTGGCACAGAGAACGGCCAGTGAAAATGGGAGCACGTGGTCCAAACTACCAGTCAGTTCAAATAAGATGACGGCCAGTGTCACTGACAGGCGTGTGACACCACACATGGTAGCACCGGCCGCAACCATGGCATAGACCCCCGGTGTCACGCAGGACTCCATACCAGCGACGGCCGGGCAAGACGACCCGAAAAGGAACGAGTTTGGATATTTAAGCACCAAGTATTGGGCCACATGGCCAACGATGCGGCCCATGAGACCACCGACAACCATGGATGGAACATAAATTCCAGCAGGCACCTTGATACCAAATGTGACAATGGTAAGCAGACTTTTGATGACGAGAGCGACCAGCAGGTAGCGAATAATATCGCCAATGCGGTCTTCGCTGGGACACAGCCCTGTGGGTGAAGACGACACATGCTCACACGGGCTGGCCAACTCAAACATTAACTCGGAAACGGGCAGCTTGGTGTATCGATTCCAGAATCCAACGAGTCCAGTCACCAAAGCCACAAGAACAACCTCAAGCATGGGATAGCGCTTGATAATCGGAATGCGTCGGAACGACCGCGCCCAGACGCTCGAGGCTTTGATGAACAGAGCCCCGGCTGCTCCTCCAAGGACACCCAATAAAATGAATATGACCATCTCGAACATCTCCCAATCACCAAGATAGCGAACCTGAAACAAGACGATCTTGCCGGTACCGTAGGGATTGAGGAATTTCAGAGACAGGGCTGCTGCAATGCAGCAGAAGAACGTCCTGAAGAGTGTCTTCGGAGGGAAATAATAGCTGACTTCCTCGAGGCTGAAAAGCACACCACCGATAGGCGCCCCGAAAGCTACCGCAACACCGCTGGCAGCGCTGGCACTCAGGACCTCACGCCTCTTGCCGTCGTTCAGGTTGTATTTCGCAAACAAGCGACAGCAAATGTTTCCTACGCAGGTTGCGATGTGCACATATGGACCCTCCTTGCCCAAGCTCAGGCCTGACGCGACACTAAAGACCAGAGCAACAGTCTTTACGACAAGAGTCTTAAAGCCTAGATATCCGTGCAAGACAAAACCGCTGTTGATGACCTTGACCTCGGCCACTCCACTCCCTGCCGCCGAGTAGTATGTCATAGCAGGGCGGGTAGGAATAACGGCACCCGGTGCCTGTAGACCACTTGGCGAGTCATGCGAGCTGGCATTCCCGGTCTTCCCTTTCGTACCGCGGGAGGACGCAGCTCCGAGGTTCTCGTCCAAAGTCGTCAACGAGATGGATGATGGTACCACCGTCTTGGTGAGTAAGGTGAGCGCACAAGAGATCACGGAGAGAAAGATCACCCAGAAGATGAACATGCCGTAATCGACCCACTGATTTTCGCTACCCGATGGGCTCAGAATATTTGACCAAGATCTCCACGCGGGACATTCTTGCCCTCCCGTGCAGCAGCTTTGGCGGCTATGGAACCAGTGTGTGCTGCAGAAACCCTCCTTCACGTCGAAAACGAACTTCTCCGTCACGTCGACAGAAAAGGCAATCGCCGCGGTTATGCAGCCAATCAAGGCTACCAACACCCAGCCCTGACTGCCATCGAACCATGCCAGGAGGCGACCCCGGATGTCTTTCCGCCTGCGCAACTCTCGTAGACGAGCACCGTCCGCTATGCTATCATGGACCCAATCGGTCGAGGTGAATTGATCGTACCAGCTCCGTTCATCCAGGAACGAGGCAGTCATGTCGTCCTTGGCTGACGGGGCGACACTCGCGGCGGGATCGCTGTCGCGACGGCTGAAACGCATCGCTTGCGAGTTAGCGCGGCTGTGATGGCGTGATCGCCGGAGGCTGCCCGCCAACAAGCTATGTCTGAAATTCAGATCGGGGCCTGAGTTGCCAGAAATGTTGGTGTAGGATCTCGGGAAATTGCGCCGGTGTTCGTGCCCTTTGCCTAGCAAGCTGGTCGTCTCCCCTACTTCCATAGGTGATTCTAGCGTTTCATAACCGGTGTGGGCTTCGGACAGGTGACTGTGACCGCGCCGAAAGGCGGACGGCGAGGGGGGGGCCGTTTGAGCGCTGGTTCTTCGGCCATCGGTTTCGATCGAAACGTGCTCAATGTCCGAAGGAGCCGAGGGAAATCTTTGGGGGACTGAACGAGGCATTTTCGACGATGCAAGGTGAAGCAAGGGCTACTTCCGACCTACTGATGGCTGTCTGAAAAGTCACGTTAACCCCGACTCCTGAAGAACTCCAAAATGCAGGGCAGGGGGGGGGGGGGGGGGGGGGCAAACGGAGGGGTAGGTAAAAGAAGATAAAGGTAACAAACATTTCGCGATAACGGACATATCCATCCGCGCATCAAGGCCGGGCAACTGCAGAGTGGAGACGCGGACGAAAGTTCGACTGTGTTTGGATGCAAACAAGAAGAAGCGGTCGACGGCGGTGAGACACGGAGATAAGGAAGTGAGTGCAGCCGAGAGGTCGATTGTTATGTTATGTCTAGCGGAACACGCCAAAACAGAGGGTCGGAGAGGATGAAGCTATACACAAAGCAAAGATATAATACAGATGAAAGGAAAGAAAGACTAAAATAAGAGGCTGAAAGGAAAAGGAGGGGGGAGGGGGAGGAGATGCAGGTGAATAGATAGTCTAACAGTCTAACTGTAGTGACAGACACAGACCAGGCGGCCAAAGGAATGGAGGTGGGGAGAATAGCAAAAGGAGAAACAGATGGACTCGGGGACCCATTCATGATCCGTCCGCGCTGATCGTCATCTGACTGCCTAAGCCTGTTTGGGGAATCACAAACTCGGGGACCAACACCCTCCAAGCAGCGGTCAGACACACACACTACGAGAGTGGAAGGGCAAGATGTCATCGGACATCTGGAAAAGGCACGTGTCCCTCCACCCGACAGTTATGCTTGTCAGCTTGTTGGTGTAACATGCCACCGATCCTCTTGGCAGCTGTACCCCAGACACCTGGGAATGCTGCATTACGTCAACCCATCCAAGATAACTATATGTTTAGCATATGTATATAATAATCTAAGGTTTATGTGATCTTGTTTTGGGCTTTAGTACCATCTCAGGAATAAGTGGCGTGATGCGTGTATAGATCCCCTATTGCCCGTCCTTTTTTGTTGTGTTTGCGCCTTTTGAATATATGGTAAACTAGGTGCAGCGTCAACGGACCACCAAGGCCTCTTCAGAGTCCTTCCTCTGTGCACCCACAACACGGTACTATCTATCCGATTCTCAGAGTCGAAGGATCTAGTGCCCATTCTTTTCAACACGTCTCTGCCGTGACAGCACTACGACGATCACCCTGATCAACAAGATCCCCCCACCAATCATTCTTCTGGCTCCTTCATCCGCCCCCGCGCAAACCCCTCTCCAATTGTCTCCAACTTCGCAACGAATACACACAGCAACGACGGCAGCACAAACCTCTTACCACAAGCACCTCAGAAGCTTGACGATGAGCAAGGCACCTTGGCTGAAAAATATCGAAACCGGAGAGCGGACTTAACACAACGTCAAGGAGAAGAGTGAGATCGTGCTTGAGAAGTGATAAGGTACGTCAAAAAAAGTACAAATGATAAGAGGTTAGTGGGAGGAAAGCAATACCCGACTGAAATGTCAATTTGAACGGCAGAAAGCCAAGGTATGAGACAGAGGCCGTGGTTCCTTTTCCAAAGAGTGAAACTGAGACCTCCAGACCGTGATTGCTACTACTAGAATGTCACTTTAGTGTAAGGTGTTATTGCTGAAGCTCATAACAGGGCGAGGGACGGATCGAGATGTTGACTGTGCGCCTCCCCGAGACGTATCAAGTAACATATAGCAATGGACTTCTGGGTTTCAATTCCCTACTGCAGACACCGTCTCTATACAACACTAATCTGAAGCCCATCCAAGTCACCAGCATCCCGCCACTCCCCCAAAACGTCCATCCAATCGTTCATCCCGTGTGGCCACCGTGCAGAAGCTGCCAACTTCATTCTTTCCTCCACCGACACGTCTTCTAGGCTTCCTTCCGCGTTCAGATACGACGGGGTGCAACCCGCCATGGCTGCCAGGGCCGGAGCACCGGCCTGAACTCGCTGCGCCCAGACCGTTTCTGCATTCTGAGTAACTTCAATAGTCGTCTTGCCGCTGCCCTGCCGCTTGATACCTTCGGAAATGATGAAGGCCACATGCTTGGCACAGGTATCCAGCGTCGCCGTGTACGAAGGGAAAAAGCTCGTTTGGCCAACGCCCGAGAAGAACATGTTGGGGAAGCCATTGGTGGCGACACCGTGAAGCGTCAAGGGCCTCTGCGCCCATTTCTCGTCCATGCTGCGACCCGCACGTCCGAAGACCGAGACCCTCGCTCGCGCCCCGGGGTTTTCGAGCGCTTGTACCTCGTATCCCATGGCGAGGATCAGGACGTCCACATCGAACTGTTCATCATTGGCCACCACTCCGGTGGGTGTGATGGTTTGCACTCCTTTGCCGTTGGTATCGACCAGTCGCACGTGCGGCTGATTGAACGTTGGCAGGTAGTCGTCGTGGAAGCAGGGTCGCTTGCACCAGCTGGGATACCACGCTTTCAGCTGTTCGGCGACCGTCCGATCGTGAACTATCTCGTCGACGCGGGCCCGGATGCGCTCGGAACGAGGTAGATCAAAAGCGTGCATCTTCGTGATATGAGCGGGGATATCCTCCATGCTGACCGGACTGCCTCCGCCTCCGAGGACCTGCAAAGAACGAAAGCTGGTCCATCCATCTGCCACCATATCGACCTGGGGCGGAGGCTGCGTGTCACACGTAAAGGAGACGAAGTTGCGGAATCGCGCCATTTGCCAGCCAGGTCCCGTGGCGACTTTCTTAGCCCACTCCTCTAGGTCCGTGGAGCGTTGGCCTCGCACACCAACCTGCGCGGGTGTCCGCTGGAAAACATACAACTGTTGACACGATTTGGCCAATTCAGGAACAATCTGAATGCCAGTTGCGCCGGTCCCGATGATCCCAACGCGCTTACCCTCCAATTTACTCAAGACAGGAGCCTCGGGACTACCCCCAGTAACATTATAATTCCACCGCGAGGCCAGAAAACGGGAGCCCTGGAAAGAATCGAAGCCAGCAAGATCAGACACCTTGGGTCTATTTAGTGGCCCAGGTGCGAGAATCACAAAGTCTGCATGGACGGTCGCTGAGAAAGGATCGGCCTTAATTGCATCACCGTGCAAGGGAGGCGGGAATTGAGTCATCTCGAGCGTCCATTCCGCCGCTTCATCACTCCAGGAACACTGATTCACCTGCGTTCGCCACATGGCGCGGTGCTCTAGCGACCAGTGCGCAGCAATGCGCTGCGCATGCTCGCGGATCTCCTCCCCCGAAGCGTACTTCCGCTTGGGAATGTATCCCGTCTCCTCGAGCAGGGGCAAGTAGATGTAGCTTTCAATGTCACACATCAGTCCCGGGTATCGGTTCCAGTACCACGTGCCCCCGAAGCCCGCCGTCGCATCGACGAGGACAATCTCCTCCGGGCGGAAGCAGCCGGTTTGGAGGAGTCGGACGGCGAACAGGAGCCCGCCGAATCCAGCGCCCATGATGACGACCTTGAAGCATGCGCCTTCTTTCAGGGTCACAGAGGGAGCGGTCCCATCGTCCCACGGATCATGCAGGAGACGTTTCAGTTGAGGGTCCTCGGTCGAGGCCAGGCTGATGTACTGCGATAGGCCCTCGGGACGCCGACGCTTGTTGCGCTCTTCGGCGTACCGTTGCTGGATCTTTTGCATATCGGATGGAGAGATGTCCGGAAGGATGGGGGGAGGAGCACTATCCTTCCCTGTAGTAGGAGGAACCGTGACGGAAGTAGTTTCAATCATTTCTGAGGCTGCAATGTTGTGCTTGCACTTGATGGCAGAAAGTTAAGATCGTTACCTCGACCACTGCAGCAGAGGCTTTCGCTGCTTTTATAGATATATCTTCGCGTTAATCCATCCAAGTCCAAAACCCACCACTAAGCCACGAAAGGCATAAGCTCTTTGACTTGTTGTATTAGGGCTGAGTCAGAATGGCCTGGTAAGTTTACAACTAAATGAAGGTGTTCAGCTTTCCTCGATGTCAGCAAATAGTCGCCAATTCTTTTCCGGTCCACCCGGAAGGGAACAGTATGATACTCAAGCGATGTCACACAGCTCCATATCCCTGGAACTTTACCGGTGCTTGATTAGCAGCAAGGCCCACGGAGCTTGTTGGTGGGATCAACAAAGAACAGCTCAGCTGAAATAAGCACTAAGCGCTTGTCTTACACCCCTTTCATGAGGTGGGGCTGTACCCTAAAAATCAGGGTATGGTTGGAGCTCTCGTCTATCAGGTAAGCGCTTACGGAGCGGAGAGAGCGCCAAGTGCCAACTAGATCATCACAGTCACATATTGTGAAGCTGAATCAACGAGGGAAAATTGACGTGCCGCGATTCTGTGTTGTCAAATGTCTTTCTTTGTGCCTCTAGGTCCGTCAGGGACTGATACTTTGAGTTTGGCTTGATAAAGGATAACACCCCAAATGTGGTGCCTTTACCGGGGCAAATAGTAAAGCGAGGAGGAGTAGGGTAGCTTTCTGGCGGGTGAGAGCACAGCTTCCCCAAGCAAGAAAAGCAGAAGTGAAGTAAATCAAGTATGGGGGGGGCGTGAGTAGCTGAGCATACTGCTTGACTCTACGGATGGTATAACTCGTCATTCATCCCACTTAAAACCCTCACAGAGCTAATGGATCTCATACCAGTTGATCATTGTAACCTCAACAGCACCCTTCGATGTAGTGACTTCCCATTCGGACAGTGTATACAAACCAGAGTCGACGAAGGTGGAATCGATCTGATGCTCGAAGTACAAGAAACCAGGTCTTATCGAGCGAGGACTGATGAACTGACGAGAGAGGCGAAGAAAGTGCATTCCAGCTATCTAATGGCATTGTTGACATGATGACAGGACCAAGCAAATGAATCACGGGGCTCCGGCCTCTTACAAGCCAAATTGAAACAAGCAAGCAGCAAATGCAATGCAATGCAATGCGATGCAACATCAGCTACTCAGCTAGCAACTCCGACCAAGTCCCAAAAACGCTCAAACTCTCGACCATTCCCAAAACGAGGTATCATCCTTCCAGTAACTATCATACGATACTTTTGCCCGATGTCGACGCTGTTTCCGTCACTATTTATCCGGAGGCCACTGTAATCCTCCTAAATTCCTGAGCACGTGAATGTTTCGTCCCTCATCCCGGAACCGATGTTTACCTGTCTCCGTGAACACAGAGTTACAGAATAAGCAACTCGTTTCCCGGGACGTTTTACTGAAGGCAAAGTATAGCAAACTTCGATGCGGACATGCAAAATAGGGCACCATCGCGTCCGGGCGGGCCGGGGACCATAAATCGACGTAGTAAGCCGTAGAAGCGTATAAGCTCATGATTCCGTTGTGATTTGGATACAGATAGAGAGCGACTGCGGCGCGGGGACTTTTTCTCAAGAAATACAGCGTGAGAATCGAATCATATGAGTCTTAGACACTTAGGATGGGTTTCGTCTGTGAGGTTGCTCGGATTTTGCTCACTTTCACTGGTCTGGTGGAGGTCTGGACTGGACGGTGATGAATGACAATCCCCGTTTGATGCTAATTGCCTTAACAGAATCATAATCAATAACCATGCAGATCGGCATACCATGACAGTAGAAAGCAGACTTCAGACATCAATAGAGCATGAGATGGTCGATGCATCCCATAGAGTGAAACACGATATTGGATAAACCACAGTGGTGAGTGGTGGTATATATGGGGACTAGCGAGGTCAGCTGATCTGGCTGGCTAGTACTAAGTAATGTTTCACCTCGATTCCCACCGGTTACACCCACTTCTCTACAGCAACCGCCTTTAAAAACCTCTACGGCTTCAACAGCCTTCTCCACCCATAATACTCGTCTGCTCCTCTCCTTCCTTTCTCACAACTCCCTATGTACACTACCCTGATAGTCCTTGACCTCTAGCTGGACCACCACCCGCTTGAGTACTATCCATAACCCGAACACACTCCCAACGAAGAGAAACACTTTGACAAGGATGACCAAGCTTCCTGTCTTGGCTGCTTTACAACTCCTTGGCTTCTCCCACATTGACCCCTCGCCGTTCAGGCGAAACAGCATATCCTCTTCTTCTCGAGTGGCGAGACGCTTGCGAAATACCTGCGCAATCTCCCTGCCAAGCCCAGGCAGCTCACTAAGTACCTTCAACGCCTCGACATTCTTTCGATCCTCCCAGAGAAATCCACCAACTCTACCAATCGACCATTCCGGGTTGATGCGGCGTATCAATCGGATACGGTCACCAGCTTGTATGAAACCAGGCTTCAAGACGCGCAAATACCACCCGGTTCGCCTGGTCGTTTGCGTTCGGATTGAAGCTTGCGGAAACTCAAAGCGTCTATTCAGCTTGAAACATGGCTGTCGGGGCTCACTGACTTGGACTATAACGCCTTCGGAGCCGATCTCAAGGATATCGCCGATGCAGGTGTTGGTCTCATCAAAGGAATGAGCCGAGATATTCTCTCCGTATCCGCCGATGCTGAACAAATGTGCTCGTTCGGGAACCTCGCGTCTCCAGGCCTCGTAGTGACGAGAGCAGTATTGATGCAAAGCTTTATCGGTTCCACCATGGTGTTCGTAGGCCAGTTCATCACCAGTTATACCCTGTTTAGTGACACAAACCCTGCCCACACATGGTGACTTCTCGATGGCTGAAGTCACAGACCCTGGTCCCAACCGTTTGACTTTTCCAATCCGCACACATGACAGAACATCGTCTGCAGGCAGTGGAGCCACAGAAGTGGCTTTTTCTAAGAGATCAGACATTATGGATGACCTTCTCTGGAGACATGAACTTTCCAGCGCAACTCGTGGCCAAGGCCGTCTTTTAACAGGCTTGAAGAATTATTACCTAAACTATGCTTGGTCCGCCTCTAATCTCAGCTTGCATGATACGCGAACAAGGCAATTGCTTTGCCAAGCGCAAAACCACAGTTGCATGTCTGAAAATCAAGGCTGGGGCAAACAGACACGCACAACCCCCTAAGGAATCAACCTAAGGCGAGGAACCATGACCTCTCACTATCCATACACACGTCATCGTACTTGAATATAGGATGCATTCCCAGGATGTCAAACTATTACATCACATCGCATTACGAATTATGATCCTGTGATCTCAGCCTGCATGCCCATCAAACTCTGTCAGAAACCAAGATGCGCCAGTGTATGTGCATCGCTTGCCAACCATGGGTGGCCGTCCTGGGCACCACGGATCAATGCCTCACATTGTGGACTCCGCGCCCGAACCCGAAAGTCAAATGGCGCTGGGTGACTGATAACCCCTGGCTGGAACTCCGGGGTCACTTGCTTGTGGTTCTCATCCTGGCTCTTTTGCCTTGTTTTGACTTCGAATACAGCCAGAAACTGCGCAACAATGATGAAGATTGACGATTCTGCCAGTATGCGTCCGGGGCAAAGCCGTCGCCCGAAGCCGAATACCATTTTCCGCGGATCAAGCTCCGGGCTTTGACCCTCCAAGAATAGAAAGCGCTCGGGCATGAATGTCATCGGGTCATGGTAAGTGCTTGGATCATGCATGAACGCCCTTTCAGTGGGTGAGCGCAGGAGCTTGTAATACTTGGAAGGAAGCTTACCAAACGTTCGGCAGAATGATCGAGTCTTTCGGGATAAAGTACCCATGAAAGACATCGCTCTCCACATTGGTATGCGGCAATGCCATTGGAGTGACCGGATGCCATCGAAGGACTTCTTTTACGAGCGCATTGATGTAGGGTAGATCTGAGCGATCATTGAAAATTGGAAGCCTGTTTTCGCCGATCACCTCGGCGATCTCAGCTTGCGCCTTTCTTTGGACATGAGGATACAAAGTCATTGCAAGAATAAAGGTTGAAAGAGCTGATACAGTCTGCAGCGTGTCAGCAATACTTCTACCCAGTCGTGTGAAGTGGGGCGACGTGCAGTGTCAGCTCCTGCGCTGTATAACGACAAGGCCGTCCATTTGTGGCTAGACTCGTCTTCTGCTGCACGTAACAATTGCGATAGGAAGCAATCTGAGTGTTTTTGCGTTTCCATCTTATGCCGCACAAACGCGTAAGGAATCTCAGTCATTCTCGTCAGATTTTGTTGCCAGTCCCTTGCAACTCTCTTGAATTTCATTCCCGGTACCCAGTCCGGAACAAGTCGCACTGATCCTGATTAGTTTCTCTTACCAAGAAAGACGGAGTACGTACACCATGGTATCAGATCTACCAAGTACTCCCCAGGAAGAGAGGCCTGTGCGAACTCCTCCATTACCTTATGCGCTAACTCAACCAGAGGATCTGAACCTTGTTTGTTTGTCTTGTATCCGTAAACCAGGTTGAGAATGAATGATCCTGCTTCGCTTGGACAAGAATATTTGTCAGTCTATTCCTGTTTGCAGGATGTTCATGCAAGATGACGAACCTTCGAATATGTTCTACTAAGTCATCGGGACTTTCCAGTATGCGGGCGAGAAAATGAGCGGCCTCTTTCTCCTGCATTGGTTCAAATCGAGACGCTGCGGTTGGAGAACCAAAGACACGCATTGTACTCTTCCTATGAATGCGCAACCGTTCCGAGTAAGGCGAAAGAGCGACAGATTGGCTCCATCCAACCCTAAAAAGGTCCGGTCATTGGTTCAGTCGCCGTCCCTGTGGGATATGCAATGGAGAAGGGGAAGTACATGTCACCACAAAACACTTGCCGTGGCCTGGAAGAATAGATGGCTCCTCGTGTTTCGAGCATCTCAAAGGCCAAACTAACATCGTTCAGTATCACAAATGTTTGGCCCATGACCGTGACTGAGCTAATTGGGCCTTTGCCAGCATGCACGTCAACTCCACACGCCATACGCTCTTCACGGATATCCTGTCGTTGGGCTGTAAACTTACCGTACAGATCACGATGGCGAAGCCAGTGAAGGTATTCTTTCTGACCAATTCTCGGTAGAGCATCAAGATTGCCAATCCAGGGAATCATGCTCTTAGGTCCGGGTGGAAGAGGGGGCCTGTTGCGCCAGCGTCCCGCTAGAACCACAAAGAAGTAGAGATAGAGGGCGGGAAACAAAATAAACAGGCCTATCATATGGAACATTGCGACGATCGGTTTTGGCAATTAGATGCAAAGTCGGAAAATATCTTGCAGTCGGTGTATGCCACCGATACTATCTACATTATGCGCCAGGTCCTTTTATAGCCATATCCACGAGATTCTTCGGTATCGCGACCAAGGCAGCTAGCTGATCGACACCCGGTTTCTGAGCCCAGCCAGAGAGGTTTCTTTCCGATTGCGAGGCGCTTTGGTCGCTTTGCATACAAGCCTGCAGAAGTTGACTTTAGCCGCTGCCGCGGGGAGGGAGCGGAACTGCATTGGGCAGAAATCCTGGCCCAGAAAACCCTGAAATCACACGTGCAGCTCGACCAACAATTTCTTGAAGAAAGGTTATCCGCAGTGTAACTGCAGCGTAAGAAGCATTTTCAACGACGACATGAAGACCTGTCAAGCGGAATCAGTTGACAACAATAGAGATAGAGTCCCGCAAACTGGGAACACGCCACGCCGAGTGAACAAGCGCCAGTTTGACCATCTCCAACCGTTCATGGTGTGTGATAAAGTTTATCATCGAAGGGAAGAGGGTCAAGGTTCTGAAGAACGTGTTGTCATGGTGCATGAAGCTACTGTAAGGAAACTGTTTCGGCTGTCAAGTGGTTGCGAATATTGAATATCTATAGGCGGCTGCAGTCGTGAAAAAACTCTATTTAACGGCCACAAAGCTCGTTGGCGGAGTCTTCATCCGTGATGTGAACCTGCCAGCCCTGAAGACATCTGTAAATCTCGCACTTTGACTACGGTCTAGGCTCGGAGTCTGCTTTCGGGGTTGAGAGCACCATATCCCGTGAGCTGGGCACGCACGGACTCGAGGTCGAAAGCTTTGGCCGTCCCATGGTCCGATATCATGATTTAGTTCACAATGGGCGATCCCTACATTGAGAAATGCTCCACACTCAGGCTCAAAGTCATTCAATCGTACTGCTGTGGGCCTTGAGAGTTGGCTCGGGTCACTGTCTGCGAAGTCTGAAGTATGCCTCGTCGCCTCGTGACAGGAATGAGCCCTCCCATAGCCCTGCTCTTTCGATGTGTCTGCTTGCCTTCTGATGCTAAGTATCAGGTTCTTGAGAACATATACAGGACAATTAACCAGTGTCGTGTCGCCATTGTGACTTCATCCGAGAAATTCAGAAGTATCATCCAGAGCTAAATGCACCAGCATCCGTTGCAACTTCGACCTTATTCGTCGGCTGAGCAGTATCGAACAGCGAGAACCTGATCTGCGCAGGCCATAACCTGGTATAACCTGATTTGCGCGGAATGAGACTTGATTTCCATGAAGTCTCCGTCTGAAGCAGGTATGATGAAATGAGGATAGGTGCAACAAAGCACTTCTGCTGGGAGGGATAAGAAGCAACGAGGTTGTACGATAAGCCCATTGATTCCTTAAGCAAGCTTATCGATTTTGATACATCTCACATTGAGGGAAATCATGGCAGAAATGAATGATATGGTGGTCATTGGCGCTGGTAAGCCGCACGTTGTCACCGATAAACCTATGCTCCACTAATCAGCTGTTGTGATATGCATCAGGTCTATATGGCCTCATGGCTGCGAAGACATACTTGGATGTTAACCCCACTTCTACCGTGGAGATCCTTGAAGCGAGTCGTTCTGTGGGAGGAGTGTGGGGTCGGGATAGGCTCTGCCGCGGCGTCAAGACCAACAGTATCGCGGGCAGCTATGCGTATAGCGACTTCCCCATGTCTGAGGCACGCTTCGGTGTGAAGTGGCACCAACATGTACCAGGTGAGGTGGTCTACAAGTACTTCGAGGCCTTCGCGACTCAGTATGATCTCCACCGCCGTATCCGTCTCTCGTGCCGTGTGGAAACTGTGGAGAAATGTTCTGATGGATCCTGGTCCATCTCAGCCATTGAAGACAATCGACCCATCACGCTCAATACACGTCGTCTGATCGTCGCAACGGGCCTGGCCTCCGAACCTGTTATGCCCCAGTATCCCGGCTTCTCATCCTTCGAGCGTCCCTTACTCCACTGCAAAGACCTCGCTAGTCACCACGAGCTATACAACACCGCGAAGACCGTGGCAGTCGTGGGAGGCTCTAAATCCGCCTGGGACACCGCCTACCAGTTCGCCTCCCTCGGCACCCGGGTGCACTGGATCCTACGCAAGTCCGGCCACGGGCCCGCGCGCCTCCTACCCGCGCAAGCCACGCCCTTCCGCCTCTGGATGGAGAAGATCGTGACCACGCGGTTTATGACATGGCTGAGCCCCTGCCCCTGGGGCGACACGGATGGCAACGGCGGCGGCTGGATGCCGCGCTTCCTGCAGGGCACGACCATGGGCCAGTGGATCTCACGACACCTCTGGGCCTGGTTCAGCACCACGTGCCTGCAGGACCCAGCCCTCGTCCGCAACGCCGAAACCCGCAAGCTCCAACCCCAGGCCATCAAGCCGTTTACCCCGGCCGGCGGTTTCAGTGCCCGCAACTATCCGCCCGACTTCTTCCAGTACATCGACAGCGGCATGATCCAGATCCACACAGCCGACATCGACGGTCTCGCTGCCCCGGGCTCTGTTCACCTCCGCGATGGACCGTCCCTCGAGGTCGACGCCCTCATCGTCTCCGGTGGCTGGCAACACTGGCCCACCATCAAATTCCTCCCCGCCGAAGTCCACGAGCAGATGGGCTTCCCGCGCACCCAGGGCGCGCGCAACCCGCAGGCCGAGCGCATCGATCGCGAGATCCTCCGCCAATTCCAGTTCCTCAACAACGGTATTATGGATAAAGACGCTGCTGCTGCTGCCGCCGCCGCCGCCGCCGCCGCCGCCGCCACGGCAGCCGACACAAAAGTCCCCCACCGCGACGACGCCCCCTGGCGCCTCTACCGCTTCATGGTACCCCCGGCCTTCATCAACGACCGCAGCATCGGCTTCGCCGGCTTCGTAGCGACAACCCTTAACGCCGTCTGCGCGCAGACGCAAGCCCTCTGGCTCGCAGCGTATTTCAGCAGCAGTAGTAGTGACGATAACCACTCACCTGATTTCAACCACTCCATTACATCATTACCAATAGGTCGGGGCACACCCGACCAGATCTGGCGGGACACGCTGGTGCATTCGCAGTTCTCGCAGTGGCGGTACCCGGGGAGCTTCGGGCACCGGTTCCCGATCGCCTTCTACGAGGGCCTGCCGTATGTGGATCTGTTGATGAAGGATCTGGGGCTGCGGGTGCGCCGGAAGGACGGGGTGCTGCGCGAGTGGTTCGAGAGTTATGGCCCCGAGGATTATTGTGGGATCGTGGGAGAGTGGTTGGCGTTATGGCGGGGGAACGGTGGTAAAGTTGAGTGAAGGACTGAGATGCATTGATGAGGTACAGTTACTATAGTTGGGTACATACAGTACATGGATAACAGCTTTTATTATTGATTTATACTTAATAAGTATAAAAAGTATAATAATCAAGATGCAACTGAGAAGCAAGGGCAGAAGACCCAGAAAAGTATTGAGAATATTACAAAAGATTTGCTGAGTAATATTAAACTAATACAGCTCTATACTAAAAAAAGTCTTAGCTGCCCTAGATATCTTTAAACAGCCTATAAGTAGAGAAAGAATATACTTGTAGACTTTAGAACTAGTATAACCACTATTCTTAATATAGATCTGGAAAGTATTAACAACTTACAAAATAAAGTTAACTTACAGCTTACAGGTATTGCGGCCGACTAGAAAATCATTAATTGAGATTAGTCCAAAAAACAAACCTGTCTAAACTCTTTACTTAAGTTGTTGACTTAAAGACTTTTAGATTACTATAATATAAAAAATAACTGCGGTATATATTTAGATGTAAACTTTGGTTACTTATTTGATTATTAGATAGCATTTTATACGCCCTCCACCCGCCCAACTAACCTGTTGGCTATAGCCCTATCATCAGAATGATTGCTGCCCCAAAAAGGCTAATTAGCTTTGAGTAGGATAAGACTGCCCTGCGTCAGCAACTATAAGGCCATATCACTGTAATATCGGTAAGCTTACTATTCCCCGATTGCTTAATAAATGATCTTAGAGTTTATTTAAAAACAGTACCAGGACCTGAAAGAACTTATTGGTCCGGCTAAAAAAAAGCCAAAAATCAATAGGAGATACAATTTAATTAGTCTACAATACTGCAGCAAAGTTTAAAAATAAAATCCCTAGTGTGGACTTTGTAACTTACCAGCTCCAAGATCTTTTCCCTATACCCTTCTTATACTCTACATGTGTTCTTTGCTAATACAATAATACAATCCTTAGTTAGGGAGTATATTAAAACAGCCCCAGTAGTCCTGATAAGTAATGTTATTAGAGTTACTAACCACCATATTCAGATTAAGTTTTGTTTTACTTTGTGATGCGGGATGGTTCGATGGTGCATACTTTGGGATGACTGGATGCTCCTGAAAATCTTACTCAGCAGCTTTGTGAGCACAGCATCACTGCTCGTATCCTTGGTGTCAACGTGGTAGCCATCCGTTGTATAGTTGCATTATCCCTCTTGTCTTTTCTGTTGAACAGGCCCAGACACATAAAGACTAGCACATACGACCACAGGGTGTGGAAAATAGGGCTTCCCGTCCGCTCAGCCGTACTCAAGCCACACGCCGGGAGGTTAGTAGTTGGGTGGGTGACCACCAGCGAATCCCTTCTGTTGTATGTTTTTCTTTTTGTATCCTTCCTCAAAGCCCAGGGAAGACGCTTATTCCAACCAAAGTGTCCAGCATTCCTAGATGTGAGGTGTTGCTTAAGTTCTTGATTTACTGTTCGGGAATAGGTACCATATGTCTACATATGTATCTATAGTGGTGTCTATCTGAGGTAGTTGTAGATGATGTGAATGCAGTTAAAGCCTATACTCCAGGTACAGCAGTTCAGCTCGAGTATCCTATCTCAGGACCCTTATTCAAGTAAATATACGTGATGTATAAAATACTAGTATAGGTTTACCTAGTGTCAGCACTAAATATTCATTCCTTCTTACTCAGTTCCAGAAATTACCTAATAACCACCACAGCAGCCCTCTAACGACCGTTTTTATTCTTTCTCGAGGATCGTGTACTATCCTTTCGGGTCTCCCCTGAGCCATGCTTACGGTCTTTAGTCTGCGGACCTTTCTTCCGATCTGCACGCTTCCGCGACTCCCGCAATGAGGGTTCTTCATCTGAGCTGGAAGGCCCCTCTGCCTCTTTTCGCTCCCACTCGCCCTCTGAGCCATCATCGCTTTCCGGCTTCCGACGAAGTATGCTGATGGGTCTCTGCCTCGCTGAATTCTGTCATCGAAGTCTCCGAGGATTGTTCTACCTTTCGCCGGCGGGAGTCGGCAGCGCGACTGGGCTGATACTTCAGACTGTCCCGGCGGTCGCGGCTTTCCTCCCAATCATCCCTGCGGGCTGTGCCCTGCTTCGCCAAATCCTGCTGACCTATGCCGTGGACGGTGTGCAGGTAGTCGTCGAACCGCGCCGAGGCCGCTTCCACTCCCGGGCGAAGTCGCGGATCTCGTCCCGGTTGACTCGGATCACGTTCTTGTCACGCTTCTCGACTAGGTTCATGTTCTCGGCGAAGATCTTCTGCGTGGATCGCTTGTCAAGCGGGGGGTAGTAGAGGCTGATGTGGACGCGGGAACGGAAGGCTTCGTCAATCTTGCCGACGCGATTCGTGGTGAGAAAGAGGATGCGCTGGTAATACTCGAGAACGCGGAGGAAGACCGCAACCAGGCTGTTGTGCTTCACATTGTTCTCTCTCTGGCTCAGGAAGACATCGGCCTGTTAGTCTGGGTATTAGTTCCGACGCCTAGTGCATTTGTTCTCCTTGTGTTCTAAAACTCGCCTCGTCTAATCGGAGAACACATTTCCACTTCTGCGCTTGAGTGAAGATATGCTCAAGCGAGGTTCTTCACTCTGAGCCGACCAGAATATGGTTGGACGTTGAAAGTGTGCGTGACCGGACCAAACTTTTCCCCATCGAACTGTATCTGATAGCAATGGACAAGCAGGTCACTCTCTTTTGCTGGGACCTTGTACCCAACCCCGGAATCACCGTCTTCCAACTGCGGGGGAGACAAATATGGGCGACCGGCAGTGGCACGAAGCACCCAGTAGGCATGAACTGGCTCTTGTCTGGTTACCACTACTTGTCCTGGTTTGAAAATATGCCAGAGGTCTGAGTAGTAGATTCTCTCGACAGAGCCCTTATTCAGTGCCTTGAGAGGAGCCAGTTCGTGGTCCATAAAGTCGATCAAACAACACAATTCTTTATAGGCTTGCTCTGAGCCGTATTCTTCCAACAGTCTCTCTTCGTCATCGTTTCGAGAGCTTCCGCCTTGGTCCCACTGGTGAGAGCTGCTGGTATTCTGGCTCGAATCCGAGGTCGGAGACGGTTCTCCGATGGGAATCGCACCAAATTTCCTTCGCAAGTGAGCGTGGACATCACGGATTGTCTCTTCGTGCTGTACAAGAATTTTATATAGTTTGAGCAAGACAATCGGCGAGTTCTTCTTATAGAGCTCCAATTCCAGAACTTTCTCTAGTAGTTTTTGTAGAGACGCTCCGTTGATGCGAATCCGATCCGGCATTGGCGAATAATCCCCCGCGGCCAGTTGCGACGCGTTGGCTGGGATCGGAGCATCCCTCAGAGTTTCTTTATCGTCTTGAAAGCGCACCAAAACCTTGCAAGAACCAGGACCGATGTACTTCTTCTGCGCTCTGCTGGTCGAGAGCCTGCAGAGCCTTGAGCCCATCATCGTCCTGCACCATTTCTGCGGGTTGCACCCGCCGTCCGACCACCACGACGGGACTGCGAGCTCCGTCTTGATGCCCCTGCTTCTGTATCAGCTCCTGCGGCAGTGGACGTTCGGCGAATTGGAATGTCTCAGCGCCGACGACGCCCAGGCGTTCAAGGGTTCCGTATCGAACGTGACGCCGGATTTTCTCGTCGCGATTTTGCGCAAATTGATCAAAGCCCTTCCGCGCCGACAGCCAGTCTTTCTGATCCTCGACGGGATAAATTACTACGAGACGCGCGAACCCAGCTGGGAGACGAAGCGCCTCGTCAAGAAGCTCGTCAAGCTGATGGGGGCTGGAGGAGCGCTGTACAAATTGCTGATCACGAGTACCAGCCGCGTTCTCGACATCGACGAGTATTTTGAGAATGACGAGAAACTATATGTGCCCGTGGAGCCGACTCCGCGGGGGGGGGGGGGGGGGACTGCGAACCAACAGCTGAAACGGAGATTCACTTTTGGGCGGTCGACCAAGAGTCAATAAGAAGAGCACAAGCACGTATTCGGAAATCACAGTAGAATCATGCTGGGAAGGAGCCTAATCACACTATAATGAGCATCATTTTGATTTATATGAAGATGATCTAGGGTCGGGGAAGACGGAAGGACAAGGTGTTTACCCAACAATATGCTAACAGAGTGCCTACAGCAAGTTTCATAGTGACCAGTGTTACTTATGCTGTTGGTTGCTTTTGTCTTTTCTTAGGGTTCATATGCTTACTGTGGCTGCTGGGGAGTATAGTACGCATGTACAGTACTCGGCTCGGTCCGCACCTGGTCAGACAGTGGGAGGTAGATGGACCCTTCATCGATGCCTAACTCAGACAATGCATGCACCAGACAAGTCTTACAGGTTCAGATGCGGAATCCATCGAAAAGACGCATCCAAGCGATGTGCCATGTCTTCAGGGCAAATGTGCAGATGACTCGCACTGTCGTGGCAGCCAAGCCATTGAAACCTGCCCGCCGTCGGAGGCAATCCCGCTTATCCGTCGTCCATGGTTAATTTGACGCACGTCCGGCAATTTAGCCATGCCCGGGGAAAGTGATCTGCAGGTACACTTTATATGTACTTCTCGGTGCATGAAGTACTTAGTCTCACTGATTTGTTTTTCTTGAGTGGTTGATATGTGTTGGTGCGAATAGAGGACCAACGCTTGCTGTAGTTAACTTCTCTTCGCGCAGTCCTTGATACCTCCTGTGGACCTCCGGCCGCAGAGAAGAGATGCTCGTCGTATAAAGACTAGGTGAGTCTTCTTAGTACAAACACAATGGCATACATGTATATGGCGGAGCTTTCCATTCTCGAAGCGGACCGGAGATCTGTCTTGGCCGAAGCGCCATACGACCGAGCGGCTTCTCCCCGTGGGGAATCAAGCTTAGTTCTGATGGACATTTCAGTAATGAAGAGCAGCCTACATGAACTCAGCCGCATCTCCAAGCATGCACTGATCTCGTCAACGTGAAAGTGCTGCACGTTCTTGCATCAACTACCCCAACTTTCTTCTTGGCTGGCCATGTAATTCTGCCATTCAAGAGCGGAGATGATATTCCAAGACCTTGGCTACTGAGTCGCAAGACGAGACTTTGAAGCCATCCTTGCTGATGTATCGCTTGTCGCCCGTATTCTCGACGAAACGATCCCGTTCTTGGTTCTCAGTCAGCGGGATACACGTAGCTCTTGGCTCTACAGGTCGCACGACGCGGACTCTTTGCGGGGGAAGCTCCGTGGGTCGAACTCTGGCGAAGAGGAATGGGTGTAGTTGAGGTTACTGAGGTGGATGAAGATATAAAGGTCCTGCTCGTCATGGTGAAGACAGTTGAATCGCTAGCCTCATCTATAACAAGCTCGTGTTAGCATTGATCCGACGAACAACTTGAATAACATCAACATGCTTGTCAAACTCATCTCCTTTCTCTCAGCTGCTACCAGCGTAGCTGCTCATGGTCATGTGTCAAACATTGTGATCAACGGGGTGTCTTACCGTGGATGGGACATCAATTCGGACCCTTACAACTCCAACCCTCCGGTGGTGGTTGCATGGCAAACACCCAACACAGCCAACGGCTTCATCACCCCCGACGCATACGACACGGATGATGTGATTTGTCATCTGAGCGCTACGAATGCCCGAGGCCACGCAGTCGTCGCTGCTGGTGACAAGATCAGCCTCCAATGGACGCCCTGGCCTGACAGCCACCATGGCCCTGTCATCAGCTATCTAGCCAACTGCGGTTCCAGTTGCGAGACAGTTGATAAGACTACCCTCGAGTTCTTCAAGATCGATGGTGTTGGGTTGGTGGATGAGAGCAATCCGCCTGGTATCTGGGGAGACGATGAGCTCATCGCCAACAACAACTCCTGGCTGGTGGAGATTCCAGCAAGTATCGCTCCAGGATACTATGTGCTGCGTCACGAGTTGATCGCTCTGCATGGAGCAGGAAGTGAGAATGGAGCCCAGAATTATATGCAATGTTTCAACCTTCAAATTACTGGAACCGGCACGGTCCAGCCTTCCGGAGTTTTGGGCACGGAGCTGTACAAACCCACGGACGCTGGGATTCTTGTCAATATCTACCAGTCGCTCTCGACCTATGTTGTTCCTGGTCCGACCCTGATCCCCCAGGCAGTCTCCCTCGTTCAATCGAGCTCCACCATTACCGCCTCGGGCACGGCAGTGACAACCACGGCTTGAGCGGCGACTGGGAGCGTTTGACAGCCGTCGTGTCTAGCAAAGTTACAGTTGACGAGATCGCTGCGAGATTGTCGCTGGGCGAGGAGATGAATTGTAGCTGTTTCTGGCGCGCGTGAATGAGTTCTGTTTCTCTTTGGCCGATCAGTGAGATTTATTGTTGCCAATATTTCTACCACCACTCGTTCATACAGATAGTTGCCAGTAGTGGGTGCTGATATACTGCAGTCAATGAAAGTAAATGCACCAAGTTTGATGCGAATTGCGCAATAAATCACTTCGATTCTATGAAAAGCTCAGTAGACTTTTGCGGGGGTCTGTCCGCCGTGTGTTGCTGGAAGGAGGCGGTCGGGCAGTGGATAAGCCTCACAGAATTTGCCGAACAATGGCTCATAGCGGGATTCGTCAGCTTATCACGGATTGAAGCTACGCTCGAGGTCTCGATTGCTCCAACATCTTACTGAACCAGGCCCTTATCAACCGCGCGGCACGGGCGGTCGGAAAAGTGACCCACAAGCTGCCAGAGTTCTCTACTACAATCCAACAGTATCTTTCTGAGAGTCGTTGTCAGGAGGTAACCTGCTGTCATACTGACAGATGTGGTGCAAGCAAATGCAATGGGGTCAAGAAGGGGGTCCGACCGCTCGTGGAGTGTACTAAACCAGCATTGATTAGTCTTGCATTGTTGTCTGCTTATCAACTATATTAAAGGTTGAATCCACGTTCAACACCGACAGACCCTGCTTCGAGATGCAGCTGAGCTAAGAGCTGACCGACTAGGTGCTGTGTGGGGAAAGCCACGGGTTTGGGACTCACATTGCCACCGATTCCCGACTATCTCGTTGCAGACGTCAGCTGGGCTTGTCTTGACCGGTGCCTCAAGAAGCCAAGCGCCACATTCCTTCGCACTCACTCGCCCTGACTCCCGTTGAAAAAAACTCCGCTGCTGCGAATCACGTTCCCGTCAAGCTTTGTGGGGACCGGAGAATGCGAGGCTTAGCACCTCGGAGATAGAATGCAAAGAGGTACGCCGTCCGTGGAATGGACAATCGCTGAAATCATGAAGTTGGCATCTTTCCTTCAAGTTGATGTGAGTCATTTTGCTGTCTCATCGTATAAGCTATTTTCTAAGCAAGCAGTGCAGTCGACGAGGAGGAAAGGGCAGTTTCGGCCTTCCCCACAGATCCGGGGTTGTGAGGAGCCTATGAGGGAGAGAAGACCCAAGTGGGTCAAACCGCCCGGTCGTCCGGGGGAGATTGACTAAAAGGGCAAGACCCGAGTAATTCTTCCAGCACGCTTAATTCCGTCTTTTCTGGTCGCTTCAGCCATCGCCACCTTCCGCATCACATTGAACATTGATTGGGCAAGCGAGGGGTTGAGAATGTTGTTTGTGGGGATCTCACCCATCCCCACGCTCCTCTCCACGCTCCTCTCCACACTCCATGTCCAGCTATCGCCTCCTCTCACTGGCCGATGGCCCACCCCCAGACATACGTACGCAAGCCCCGGACCTCGCTCAACTCTGCAATCTAGATGCATTGCCCGTCAGAGCAATTAGCGCTTGCTCAACCTGGCTCTAGCTGCGGAATATGCGGAGAAGGACCGTGAGCAATGGCCGTTTCGCTTATAACCCTGGACGGCCCTTATCTGGGGTCTAGTTTTCTACACCCCCCTTCTCTGCACTCGAGAAATCTTTTGTCAAGTCGTCCAACGGCCGTCGTGCCTGCCAGCAATAACCTTCCCAACATCACTACCACAATCAACCGATAACTTCTGCTCAACAAGAGGAGTTATGCCCTCCATCGAAATGACGGAGGACGTCCGTCCTTCTTCCTCACCCAAGACCCACGAAGAAACAAAGATTGAGAAAGATAGCAGCGAATACTTTGAGAAAGTTGAAGAGGGGCCCTCCTCCTATGCCGAGATTGCCGCCGCTTCTCTATCACAATCACATAAAGACTATCTTATCCAGCGCCATGGAACCCTAGATTTGGATCCTATCCCCAGTCCGTCGGCCGCGGATCCATACAACTGGCCCTTGTGGAAGGTAAACACCCATGCATCGTTTTTGGAGGTATAGCATACTAAGCATGCTGCTTCTCATAGAAACTCTCCAACCTGATCCTCGTTGCCTTCCATGCCTGCATGGCCACCTTCACAGCGTCCATCATCCCCGCCTACTCCAGTATCGCAGAAGACTTCGGCGTATCAATGCAAAGAGCCAGTTACCTTACCTCACTACAGATCGCTATTCTAGGAGGTGCACCTTTGTTCTGGAAACCGCTGTCCAACCGCTACGGACGCCGACCAATCTTTCTTCTATCACTCATTTGCAGTCTGGTGTGCAATATCGGCTGTGCGAAAAGCCCTGACTACGCATCTTTGGCCGCGTGCAGAGCCCTTACGGCCTTTTTCATTTCTCCTGCAGCGGCGATCGGAAGCGCCGTCGTTACCGAAACATTCTTCAAGAAGGAACGCGGCCGATACCTTGGTGTCTGGACCTTGATGGTGACGCTCGGTGTTCCAGTTGGTAAGTCTTTCCCGCGACCGATTATAAGCCCATTGCTAACGTTTTCTTTCAGGGCCCTTGATTTACGGCTTCATCACATATAGAGTCGGATGGCGGTGGATGTTCTGGGTTTTGGCTATCGTCAACGGCGTCCAATTCGTCTTGTACCTCTTTTTCGGCCCTGAAACCCGATATGTTGGCGGCAGCGCAGAGGGTATCTCCGATTTCAAAGCGCAATATCTTTCTTTTCGGCGGATCGACCCGACTCCCCTGACTTTCCGCGAGTTCCTTCATCCTCTGTCTATGGTCAAACGACCGAGTGTGATGATTCCCGCATGCGCGTACGCCATGGTTTTCTTGTTCGGCAGTGTCATGATCACAGTGGAAGTGCCCCAACTCGTGCAAGTCAAGTTCGGACTCAACGCCGAACAGCTCGGCCTCCAGTTCATCGGCGTCATTATTGGTACCGTTCTGGGTGAACAGATTGGGGGCACTATGTCTGATATCTGGATGAGCCGCCGGGCACGCAAGACTCAACACCCACCTGAGCCCGAGTACCGCCTCTGGCTCGGCTACCCCGGTGTCATTTTGACAATTGTCGGCGTGATTGTTTTCTTGGTGACTATTCAACAAGCCAAGGCAGACCACTGGATTGTTTCTCCCCTGGTCGGCACCGCCATTGCTGCCTTTGGTAATCAGCTGGTGACGACTGTCATGGTCACCTACGCCGTCGACTGCTACCCTGAGGATTCAGGCAGTGTCGGTGTCTTCATAACCTTTGTCCGTCAGATGTGGGGCTTCATCGGTCCATTCTGGTAAGCTCACTCTCGATGCCGTTTTACCAGTGAACTGTGTGTTAACATCAAGCAGGTTCCCCGACATGTTTGACAACGTTGGAATTGCCGCCAGCTCAGGAGTTGGAAGTGCCTTGATGTTCCTTGTCAGCTTCTTGCCTATAATTGCGGTGCAGACCTATGGCAAGAAGTGGCGTCAGGCTTCTTAGATATAGTTTATGATATTTACGGTTCAATCACAATCCAACTTATTTGTACTCGAGTACCCAAGGCCGTAGGCATCTTGACAATGTAAAGTACTCAACAGGGACATCCACGTCAATATCTGCTTCCAGAGCCATGTATTCTGCATAGTCTATTTACCCCCTCTTTCTCGTACCTTGAGCCCCGTATCCCTCCACGTGGCAGTACGAAACCAATTAAGGCAGCTAAACACAAATTCCAGTTCACTCATGACTACAGTAGACAGCAGGCCCCCGCTAATTGCTACTTTTGATTGTGTTCCATGAGTCCGAGCCAATCCAGTAGACTGTGGGGGCTGCGTGGGTTCTCCACATAAGTGAGCCCAGAGACTCTTTCCCTGCATCAATCCCACATCTGCCTAAGATTAGAAATCATGTGCTGTACGTTGGTAAAGTACTTGGAGCCTGAGCATCACGCATGGCCAGCCAAGCGCTATCCTCCACAATAGCATTTAACAGTTTCCCAACACATCTCCCACCACATCTATGTCTGAACAAATTGAGTTTACGACCTTGGCAAAGACGGTGTAATATCCGAACATCCTCGGCCGTACCTCACGAATGCGTAATCCAGCGCCCTGCCCAGCTTTCTCCCCAAGAGGCATGGCAAAGCTTACACATTTCTCGTATCCTGTAGCCCCTATCTCGTGAGCCATGCTCCGCGATATGGAGATACTATCTTGCTGCTTTTCACTGAATCTTTGACTTATTGTCATAAGCTCATAGACCTGAGATTCATCGATTGGTCACAGAGTCCTCAGATAAAGCACAATCCCGTCCGTATCTCTTGCAAGTAAGAGTAAAGTGAGTAGAAGCAAGCTCCGCTCCAGCTCCATCCCATCCTCCAGCCGAGGGGCCCTCACCTTCATCCTCATTTGAGTTCCACAGCTCAGCGCTGTGGAGCAAACGCCCAGGACGCCACCACAATCCCACACCTCCCGCTCTGCTTGTCCTAGGAAGCCCTCCCCTTCCCTCCCCTCCCCTCCCTGGACTTTGACCCGTCCACATCTTCCTCTCTCCACAGCGCCACGCATCCCCACAGTCCTCTCCACAGCGCTCACATCAGCTCTCCTCAATCATTCTGGACGGTGGATGCCTCCACAGCTGTCTATAGCTCCATCATTGCTCGGACAAATGGGTGTGAGTTGTGGGGACTGGCAGGGGCGGAAGCCCTCCGAGTATACGGATAGACTATAGCAGCAGCCTTGCTCGGATCCCCGCGGATGTGTTCATTCCTGGTGTCTCCGGTAATGCTCACGTCCAGGTGAGGATTAGCCGTGCTTGGTGTAATGGCAGGTGGGTTCTAGGTACGGTTGAGCGGTCTGTGGGAGTATAAGATACAGACTTGGATTCACAGGCCTGCATGTAAGCCCCCACCCCATACCAACCTGGATGCAGCCCCACACCTAACTTACTTCTATCTAGTGTTTCTGGTTCCCATAGGGCATACTGGGCGATTGCTGTTCTTGATGAGTTTACTGTATGGAAGTGGGTTGAGGTTCGGCTGTGGCTGTTGAGGCAATAAATGTCTGACCTGAGAGAGGAAGGGGATCTGACAGCTCTAGGGTTGGTTCTGGCGGAACGGCAATCGAGGCTGGGACAAAGAGTAATGTCGTCTTCTACAGTACTAATCAGTCTGAACCAGACACAGGTGTATTACAATCATTATATTATTCCGTATCTCAAACCTCATCAAGACCGTACGCTAGACCGCAGAAAATGCCATTGAACCGGATGGCGTACTTTGTGTCGTTGGGAGGAACCGACACGTTCCTACAGAAGAACCGTATCTCAGGCCGATGGGCCGCCGGCTTCGCTGTGCGCAAGTTCAGCACTTTTGCCTCCCCGTCGACAGTCACCTTGCATTCGGGCTTGGATTGTCTCTTCCGGTATGCTCTGTAGATACCACCGGCTTCTAGAACATTGTTTGTTGCCTTGTGCTGGCACTCCGTACATGTATGATTATCGCCTTGTGATTCAGAGCTGAGACCAGTGCACTCCCGGTGGTACCATCTATAACAGGTTGAGCAGGAAACGCCGCCTCCGTTGATTTTGCGTCGTTCTCCACAGCATGGGATTGAGAGATCGAAATTCCGCACAAGAACCCCGTCCAATTGAGGGAGAGATGAATAATACCATCTATCCAATGCGGAGGATGCTCGCGCAAATGCAATCACATCCGTAGGTGCCATGGCCACAATTATTCTATCGAGAATTTCAGTAGGTATGGTGATCCCGCATCTTTCCTTGTGGGTTATTTTCCAAGAGTGTGAAGATAGAACAGAAGTTAGAGCTCGAAATCCAGGTGAGGGTTGTGAGGCCGAAGTGTTGATGACGAGAGGTATAGTCGGCGAGTACTGTACCCCTGTATCAATTATTTCGACGAAAGTAACATAACCTAAAGAGATTAGAATAACATCTATAACAGGCTTTCTACGCTGATTCTTATCCAGATATCTATGAGTATCTTGGACTGCCTTCTCCAGCGTGTCTGAAGCACTGTACACAGTGACTAAAAGCTCATGAAACCAAAAAGTGTTCTCGGACGGAGCCGACCACCTTGGGACAGAGAGGTGCCCGATTGGAATCTCTTCTATAATCTCGTTTGGGATCCCTTCGGTGTCTGTGTCGGATATTATTTCGAAATCCCACGCAGCAATACGCAGAAGGCCAATGGCAAGGGTCTTTCGAAGAAGCGCGTCATGTGACCAAGCCGGTAGGTCATCAAAATAAAACCGCCACAGAAAAACGAAGTCTGTAACAGACGAAGTTGGAGCTCGGTCAAAGAAGTGGGCTTTGCGATGTTTATCTTGAGCGTTGGTGATATTGTTAGTCCCGCTTCAGTATACTGTGTGCGATGCTGCTTAGAGATATCTTCGTTATCAACAAGAATACCATCTAGCGTGCTGATTGAGGGATCTTCAATTGCAGCAAGCTTTGCCTGTCGGATCAACCGGTAAAGTGCACCGCTGATGGCCGTCCATTGAGTCACCGTCAAGAGTCCTAGGTCCTTATCGATGGTGTATACATAATCTATGTTGATGTGGAGTGGTGAGGGAAATGGTATTGATTCGCAGTTCTCGATGGCAGTCTCCGAGACAATCTTTCTAATGGTTTGCAGAGTAGAATGTGCGTCTGGAGAAGTTATACGCCCCGTTGGTTTGTAATACAAGCGGTACCACTTCCCTATACAGGGGTCAATTCGGCACACAGCCATCGTCCCATTCCCAGGCTTACCATCGACATGGACATTCCATAAACCCCGAGTTCCCATGTTGGTGGTGACTATTCGTGAGCCTTGGAATATTGTCGAGTTTATGTTCTTGATGGAGATTGATAAGAGCTAAGTTGAGCAAGCGACAGGGGGGATGCGCGACGGAAGGGATGCGCTGGAGCCCAGGGATTATCTATCCGCTCCGTTGTCGTCAATTGGCAAGTCACTTAGCTGGCTTATAAGAACATGACTTCCATGCTACTACAGTAGAAAAGCTCGTAACAAGCGATCAACGAGGGCGGTTTTCGGAAAGCATAGAGTTGAAATTACACGTATCTAGTCATTGGGGAACAATCGATGGCCCTACTAAGTACCAGTAGCTTCCATTCTGCGAGGTTGATCATGTATGCTAGACTGAAGTATATATTGGAAGGCAGGCAGTCGAGTAGTTTATACATGATTTATATATTACGCTTAGTTTATCCCGTGCGGTAGTGTGGGTAGCTGTGACGAACCTGCGAAGAGAAGATTGTATTCCTAAAATAGAAATTGAATAACAAGTCTTCGTATCCGCACTTTAAGACTCTCCCTGACTATCTATATACTGACCGTGACCCATTGATATTTCCTCCCAAATCCAATACTTTGATATCTTTGGAGATGAAGGCATGCGACGTGTTCTTGTCGCAGTTGTTCCCAAGACTCGGGCACCTCCGCGGACGCTCGTTGGTGGAGAAACTTCGGGAAAAGAGTCCCTCATCCCCAATGAATTCCAGCGTTGGCCTCGCCGGATCCTTCGGTGCCTGTCGCGATTATGGAATCGATATATAGGCATCTTCTCACTTTCAGGGACGCAGTTGTCCATAGCTTTGCAACAGCAACGTTAGGCAAGTTTAGTCCCGGTCAAACTCCAGTTTTGTCAAATTGCTTAGTAGCTGCATCGGTCTTCGTTATCGATCGACAATTTAGATTGGCCGTAAGCGCTAATACCCCCCTCCCCACTAAGCAGCTCGAAATAAACGCTTCGTCTCGTCAAACTAGGTTCCAATTATCCTCAATTCCCTTCCATCATTTGCATGCACTCTTGTACTACAACAACATGGCAAACGGAGTCTCAGCAAATGGGCAGGAGCAGCCCTACAAGCCGTACGATCAGATCCTTCTGTTCGGCGACTCTATCACCGAGTTTGGTAGCAACCAGGATATGGGCTTCGGCTTTCACGCCGCATTGCAGCATGGTGAGTGAATCTCCCTCACCCTCAAACTTAGATATTGACTCGTCTGTAGCATACAGTCGCCGCTTCGACGTGGTGAACCGTGGCTTAGCGTGAGAACCCATGTGTCACACTACATCCACCGCCCAAAACTAACCCTTCACTACTCGGACTACAGCGGTTATGCCACCTGCCACGCCATCAAAGTGGTATCGCAATGCATTCCTCCCCCGGAGAGATCCAATGTGCGACTCATGGTAAGCCACGATTAAAGCCTCCTTCGTGAGACAAAACACCTGGCTAACACTGACACAAGACCCTCTGGTTCGGCGCCAATGATTCTTGTCTCCCTGCTTTCAATCAGTACGTTCCCTTGGAGCAGTACAAGGAGAACCTCAAACGCATCATCCAACACCCCGCCACGGTCGCGCAGAACCCGCGCATCCTCATCATTACCCCGCCCCCGATCAACGAATACCAGCTGGAGTTCTTCGACAAGGGCAAGGGGAACCCGCATCCGACGCGCACGAACCAGAACGCCAAACTCTACGCCGAGGGCGCCCGCGACCTCGCCGCTTCCCTGGGGATCCCCGTCGTGGACGTCTGGACCGCGTTCATGACGGCGGTGGGATGGAAAGAGGGTCAGCCGTTGGTGGGGTCGAGGGAGTTGCCGAACGATGAGAAGTTCGCCAGCTTGTTCACGGATGGACTACATTTGACCGGGGAAGGGTACCGCATCGTGTACGATGTCTTGATGAAGACGATTGAGGTCAACTGGCCGGATATGCTGCCGCAGAATATTCCGATGATTTTCCCTCCCTGGCCTCAGGCTCCGCGGTGAAGAGTCGGCTGTGGCTGTGGAGTGCGGGATTGTATATAGATTAGAGCCTAAGTCAACTGAGAGATCTCTGTCGGCTCTGGACTGCCGTTGCTACAGTAAGAACGTAGAGGTCATGATACTTGGTCACTGTACTTCAATACAGGTACTTGTGAGACGAAAGAATAATGTCAAATGATGCACCACGGTAGAATTAAGAATGGACTCGAGGAAGGTCAAAGAACTGGCGATGATGAAAGCGGTCTAGATTCAGCCGAGGGCGGTTGCCGCCGGCGGTTCAAGGTTGGTTTCCAGGCTGTCGAATTGGGATCCCCTCATGATTTCCAATCCAACGGCACTTCACAACCTCCTCACTCTTCCCAGCCTTCCTTCGCTTTTTATCTCAGTATTACTCCGATCTACCCAGCTCTCTCACTTACTCGCCATATAACTCGCATTGATCCTTTTTCTCAACTATTTCCTGTCCGCCCGCTCACGCCTTCGTTTCCTTGACCGTCGGAAAGAAACCAGCGCCCATCCACGCCTTTCTTCAAGCCCACTCACGCCAGGAATACCTCGCGTGCTCTACTGCTCTAGGAAATATCGATAGATATTCGTGCCCATAACTACTTCTTGCCCGATTCTCAGACCCTCAACCGGTGAACTGGTCGTTCTCTACGCTGCATCCGCTCAACCTCTGCTCCGACGTTTCATCCGTCCATCCGCATATCAGCCTCCCGCCTCTTCCTCTCCACTCTTATCGTTCATCGTCCGGCACGCTTTATCAGCCACGCCCTTCGTATCTCGGCGACCAAGTGCTTGTATATGCCTCTAGATCACTCCACGGATATTCGCATTTAGCAGACCGGGTGGACGGCCGTAGGGCCGTCTCACAGTGTACGAGGGAGGAGGAGTTTCGGAGGAACAGCGGACCGTTGGAATCAGCAAGCGGGCCTGACCAGATCACCGAGGACTGGACGATAACGGCACTCTATACAAAGCCTGTGTTGTATGTTTGATAATCCTGGAAAATTGCGCCGTCCATATTCTGTCTGAAGGTTTTTGGGTCTGCCGCCCCATCACTCCGCTTTGCACACCTGGACATGGATGCACAGTTTCCATTTGCCTCACGCGACGACATCTGGCGCGTCTTCGAAGAGATCAAGGAGCTTCACGCTGCCCAGTTCGAGCAGGCAGAGCGGATAGCACGACTAGAGCGGCGCAAAGACGAGGATGCAAGGCTGAGAAGCGTGTGGGGTCCTTTATCGCCATTTCCCACCTCTGTTGGGGGCACAATCCCCTCGGGTATGTGTATTCCTTGTGCCTTGTCTCGGGAGTTGGGCTAAGATGTCATCTGTCTACAGAGTCGGTCTTCCATACTCCCTCCGACGCGTTCAGGGGTTTCGATCAGGGAAATCATCACACGGTGGTCAATACAATGGGTCTGGAAACCGAGGAGGAACCTAGGCGTGGGACCTCACGGGCGAACAGCGTTCGGTTCGACGAGAGTGCCATCCACGGCTACTATGGACAAGCCAGTCGATCAACTAGCGAGCTACCGTTGAGGACGGGAAGTGGCCTAGGCAGTCACCCTATGACTGAGCGGTCGCTATCGCATCGGTCCGACGGACGACAAAGCTCTTCGGGCCACTCGCACCACTCGGCTCGAACGAATAGTCTAGGCTTAGAGACAACCAGCAGAATGATGGCTTCTTCCGCTGTGGGATCGCCGCTCATTCCCCCGCCCGGCTTTTTCCTTCTTGGACCAGTGCCGTGCATCATCCGATGCTGGTTGACAACCAACTTTTCCAACGAGTCCCTGTTGTATGCGGCCGTCTGCACTGGCTCCTATACCTCTTCACTGGGGTATCCGATGGTCCGAAGATTCGGCTGGGAAGATCAGCTGGTCCAGGACGGTGAGGTGCAGTACATCAAGCTTCCTATGTACCTTCCCGAGGCTAGTGTGCACCAATCCTCCTCGCGGTCCAGTAGTCCTGCTCCCCAGGTTCCTACTTTGACTGTTCGGTTCCTGGTTCGAGAGATCGACCCCAGGGACTCGTCCGTGCAGATTGTCATTGGCAGTGATGTGCTCCGCTCCCACAACGCCGACGTGCTGTTTTCTCAAGACAAGATCATCATGGTCGATGACGAGCGTAATAAGATATCCATCCCTCTTGTCCGCCCCGAGGACGACGCTGTCTTCAAGTCACTATGTACGGCTTCGGATGTTTCACGCGCGGGCTGGAAGGAGCAACAAGCCTCCCCAGTCGATGCCCCGACGGACATGAATGGCCACGCGCCTGTGGGTGTCATCGGACGCCCTGCCAGTGCATCTCGACGAGCGGCGTCAACCAGCGACTCAACGCAAGATCTCACGGAAGACTCCGAGGATAGTCGAAAGGCGCATCTCTCGGAGACACCGGAGACTCTCGCCGACCAGGAGCCGGTTCAAGGACAGGAGAAGCCTGCCGGGATCGTGTCGAGTGGGCCGGCTCGTGCAGAAGCGTCCGGAGTTTGGGGCTCGTGGAAACGCGATGCCAAAAGCGATCCGAACGCCTCCGCGGCGACGGGCAAGCCTCCTCGGGGCCGTACTATGAAAGTGCTGCGGCCTAGCAAGGCGCCATCTCGAACGGTGACGATGACCACCGGCCCGGGCAGCAGCTCACCGGCCGATGTTGTGCAGCCAACCTCGACTCGCACCTCGCCCGACGGTGGTGTGCGCACTGCTAAGCCCTGGGCATCCAATCCGGTTGGCGGGGCGTCAGCGTTTGGATGGCTTAATACGGCGTCTCAACCATCCACTGCGCCTCGTAGTATGATGACTGGCACTGGCTCTAAATGAAATAAATTAGGGCGCAGGGTCTACGGCGTTATTTTCCCTCCTATTACTTCTGTGTCTGTCTGAAGTGTCCAGTAATGACCATAAACGAAGCAATGTTATAGGCAGTAACGGTTGCATATTCCTCTCCTATACTCGGCATATTCCATATAGTAAGATAACCTGTCTACGGACTACCTCAAGCTCCACCCTCATCAACCCTCCATTCCCATCCCCCTTCCCCCAAGAGAAAAGACTTAAATCCTCGCCAAAGCCTCCAACGCCCCCCTCGTCTCCTCCTTCATCTCCTTCACCACCCCACTAACGCCTTTAAAGGCCGCATGCCCCGCATCCCCCAGCATCTCAAATAACACCCCCTCGCTCGTCGTCACCGTCGCCCCGGCATCCCGTAGCCGCTGCAGCGCCACCCCGCGCTCCTCCGCGTGCGCGCTGCTCACCCCATCCACGATCACATACACCCGGTGCCCGCGACCCAGCAGGTCCAGCGTCGTCTGCGTCACGCAGATGTGCGTCTCGATCCCCACCAGGATCGCGTCCAGGGGCGTTTCGCCGTGTTGGGGGTTGGGTAGGAGGCTGTCGAGCTCGGGCGTGATCATTGAGAAGAGCGTTTTGTCGATGTCGGCGCGGAGGCGGGTGCTGCTGGCGGTGGAGGTGGGGGGTTGGGCCGCGTGCAGGTACGGGCTCAGTTCGGAGACGGTGTCGCCGAGGCGAGCGCGGTTTTGGGTCGTCACGTAGATTGGGGTGTTGAGGGGTTGCGTGGCACGGAGGAGTTTGGTGGTGGTTGTTATTCTGGGGGGTGTTAGGTTGGTTTGGTGGGGGGACTGGGGGAGCAAGGGCGGAGGACGTACACTTTGGGGAATTCGTGGATTACGTTGCGGAATTTCTCTTGGATGTCGCAGATGCTTTTTTTTCTTTGTTAGTTTTTGAGGTTGATTGGGTGGATTGCTTGGCTGCGTTGTGTGGTTTTAGGGGAGGGAGCTTATGTTCGTTGGTGATCTCAGACGTACAAGAGGGCTGGGTTGCCTGTGGTTTTAGGTAGTGGGTTAGTTTGACGTTTTTGATGGTAATGGAATTGGGAGGAATGAGGGATTGGACGTACGGATGCGCGTGGCTCGAGTGAGAGTGGCCATCTTTGCAGAGTCTAAGCTTCTGACACTTGGCTGAGAATGTGCAGTGGTCGGTGGTAGGGACGGGCGTTTCGGGGAGAATTTATAGGAAAGATCAGCAGGAGATGCAGTGCAGTTGCAGTTGGAGTGCAGAGCGGGGAAACGGACGGGAGCGGTGCGGGGAAGGGCCGAGGTATTGGCTGCCTGGTTTATCAGGCATACTTATCAGACGGCGGTATCGGACTACCGAGTATAACTACTACTCTATTTACAAACTGATCTCCCGCACCTTCGCCCGCTCACGGAACCAACTGTCATCCCCCTTCGACGCGGCCTGCCGGATGGCATACAGCTCATCCAGGAAAGCAGGAACAAAGCTTCCCGGCCCCCGGACGTCCTCCCTCGCCGCCGCGTTCTCAGCAGCGATCTCGTACATCAGAAGACCTGCCAGCACGGCAAGAAACTTGTCTTTCGGGTTGGCGGCCATGAAGCATCCAGCTACCGTACCAACAGCACAGCCAGTCTGTTCCGTCATTAGTGTTTGAAAACAAGAAAGGTGGTCGGTACACTTACTCCCGTGACCTGGCCGAGAAGTTCGTGGCCGTTTTCCACGGCGATAACACGCTCGCCATCGCTCAGGTAGTCAACCGCACCGGTCAGGAGGACGAGGTTCCCTATAAGTTTTGTGAGAATTTAGGTTGATGGGAGCGTATGATCAAACGTACGCTCTCGCTTGGCAAGCTCAAGAGCCAACCGAGCCTTTCCTTGATCGTCAAGACTACTGGGGCCGCTGTCGACGCCCCTCTGTGTCACGCCACTGCTGCCAAATACCTGTCGAATTTCACCCTCGTTTCCCTTAATGAGGTCGAAGTATCCGCCCGCCATGAGCTGCTTGACGGCGCCCCGACGAATGCTGGTCGCAGCGGCTCCGACCGGATCGTATACCACCGGGTTGCCGCGCTCGTTGTATGCGTTCAGAGCTTTGAGGTAATTGGGTATGCTCTCGCTGGTGAGAGTGCCCATGTTAATCACCAGAGCACCGCCGAACTGACGGAGGTCGACGGCTTCGTCGCCGTATGGAGACATGATTGGGGAAGCGCCCCTACAGGTTATCAGCCTTTTGTCAAGTCTGTGAGCACCGCGAGGGGAGATCATACATGGAAAGAGCGACATTGGCAACAAAGTTGGCCACGACATAGTTGATCATATTGTGTACCAGCGGGTGAGCCTTCACCATATCTTGAATCGCCTGGGGAACCTGCTTGAGGAGTGCGGTGGTTTCCCGCACCGAAGCCGACGGCTCACTGTGTACGAATGCAGGTGGGCTGGCGACGAGCTTCACGAACTCGGCCGCGGCAGCCTTGGGATCATCAGCAGCCATGATGCCACTCACGATGGCAACGCCATCCAGACCTTTGTTCGGCGCACGGGACTGGTACAAGACGCGTTGCACATTCGACTGCTTGATTCCGCCGATGGAGACGGTTCCCACCGTCCGGCCCGTCTCGGAGATGGCTTCCAGAATGGCTTGGGTGCCGGCTGTACCGAGGATTAACTTTGTGTTCGTTTTCCTGGCGCTGGTCAGTCGATGTCTTGTGCCCTGAGCCAACATATAGCACCTACGTTGGAGTGGCAAACATAGTGCCAATGCCGAGATAGTCAGCGCCCGCCGCAATCGCCTTCTGGGCCTCCTCGACAGACCCCGCGCTGATGCCGATGATGGCATTCTCCGGGAGAAGCTTCTTGGCTACCTCAATCGCTGCAACCAGTCAGCACGGTGAATTGCGACACGGCGATGGGAGATGCATACTCATGTCATCCTGGCCAAGGTGGACACCCTCCGCTCCGACGGCCAGAGCAACGTCAACACGGTCGTTGATCAGCAATGGCACTCCATAAGCCTTGGTAATCCGGTGCAGTTTCTTAGCTGTCGCGATTTGAGCGCCTGTGTCGGCCTTCTTCTCGCGGTACTGCACGATAGTCACGCCTGAGATAAGTGGTCAGTGGGGGTGTACATTGCAGACAGAGAAAGCACCTACCTCCTTTGAGGGCCTCTTCAACGACAGTACAGAGGTCCCGACCCTTGAGAATAGCAGGGGTCGAGTCGGTGACCAAGTATACAGATAGATCGAGAGCCATATTTACAGACTATCAGGATGTTCTGGGGCTAGAAGATGCGGTTAATTTAGTTTTTCTTGACATTGCGACGAGGGGCACACGTGGGGGTGCGGCAACGAGCCACCAGCAATGCAAGTTAATGCAACCGTCAAATTATTTGCACCCGTGCGGGGAAAGACAATCAAGAGTAAAACATACCCACTGAGCGACTTACACACAATCCAAGATCCTTGGTGAAAGACTCGGGCGGTTGAAAGAGGCTTTTCGCAATGTCGGGGCAGTGTGTGGGGACGCCCGAAAGTTAGTCATTCTATACCGACGGCCGACGACATCCTTGTGGTCGATGGCGATTTGCTGCTGCAAGCTGTTGCACCAACGTTTTAACATGCATTTTGAGAATTTTGTTGGTGTCTGAGACAATTGACGCAAGAAATGCTACACTTGGTATGCTGAAAACATCCAAACAATTGCTTACTGCATGGCTCGCTGCCATGAATGCCTTAACCATGTATTCCACCCTATCTGAACGATTGCTACGCAACATTGAGCCGACCTATTCTCTGAGGTTCCTTGCTTGTCCAAGGCACCAAGGACATCCTACCGCAATGCACCTCATACTCCACAGTGCCTGAGCCGTGTGTGTGACAAGACAGGTGGCGTTGAGCCCTCGAATATCAGAGCTACTTCATCGGGAAGATTGGCCGGGATATCTTGTCCAGGATAAGCAGGCCACAGTCTGGCTGTGTGACTACGGAGTGGTGGTAGCCTAGCAGGCAGGCCATTTGTCGTAATTACGAAGTAATTTATGTAGCATCGAATTGAGACAAATGTAGGGCATTCATGCGGCAGCGGCAGCGGCAACAACCTGAAAACACTAACACGAGGATCTCGAAGGAGACAACTATGAATTATAGCCTCCCGGGATTTGCTCGCAGACCAAGAGTACAATAATAATGAAAGAGCAAGCAATAGTTTAGCGACTGGATTGACTGAATGGGAGCACGTGTAACCGGAAGGCCGGCAATCCTCATTTGATTCGGGGAGCAGCTGACTCAGCATCCCATTTTTTCATCTCAATTTTTCACTTGGTGGCCAGATTGTTCAGGCAGGAATCAAAGTGCCTACCTTTTTCCATTCCTTCCCAATCGGTCCTTGGCACAAACCCGGGTCGGACTTTTTCTGTTTGGGGACCTTTTCTACCTTTTCTACCCTCGCTCGCATCTCCTTCTCTTCCCCTTCTCTTTCTTCTTTCTTCTTTCTCACCCACTTTCTATCACATCACTTCTCGGTTTTTGTCAACCACCCCCCCCTTTTTTCTATTCAAACCCCATCGGCGTTATACGCTGCTGTCCTCTCAACTCATCCTTCAGGCGATCGTTTCTGCCTGCTGGTTTGCAACTCAAGTTTTGTTCACGCACAAGCCACTCTGGTTAGTCTCACTGCCAACCATCCTTTCCAGCATTACGAATCTGACCGCGTCGATTTTCCCTCCCCCATAGAAGAACCACCCGTTGGTTTCTCTCTTTCCTGCCAGAGAAAGCCACTGAAAATAGAGTCGGTCGAGAACTTGTCTATGTATTCGTCCTGCGTCAGAGATTTCGATCACCACCTGCCGCTCAAGCTGCAATCGTTTCGCTTCACGTCGAAACCTTGTAGTAGACATTCGAAGTCCTGTGGCTGAAAGCTTCTGGGCTGCCCTCTATCGTTCTCGTTCTAAACGATCGCAAAACAAAAAACCGCCACAATTCCTTCGCAACTAGGAACCTACGCATGTCTTGTTCTGACAAGATATCCCTGGTCCAGAATCCTCCCCGCTTAATATAACCACCACAATCAGTTCTCCTGAAGATCTCTATCCACCCCAACCGTCATCATGGCCACTGTCAACATTCGTCGGGATGTCTCCGACCCCTTCTACCGCTACAAGATGGAGCGCCTGCAGTCGAAGATCGAGGGCAAGGGCAACGGTATCAAGACCGTCGTCGTCAACTTGAACTCGGTCGCTCAGTCTCTGGCTCGGCCTCCTGCTTATGTCATCAAGTACTTCGGCTTCGAGCTCGGTGCTCAGGCCAACGCTAAGCCGACCGATGACCGCTGGATCATCAACGGTGCTCATGATGCCCCCAAGCTTCAGGACTATCTCGATGGCTTCATCTCCAAGTTCGTGCTCTGCAAGAAATGCAAGAATCCGGAAACGGATGTCAACATCAAGGACGAGAAGATCTTCTTGGACTGCAAGGCCTGTGGTCAACGCTCCGAGGTCGACTCCCGTCTCAAGCTGAGCACCTTCATCCTGCGTGATGTCGCCTCGGGCAAGGGAGGAAAGAAGGACAAGGCCTCGAAGAAGGATCGCCGCGAGCGTAAGAAGGAGAAGAGTAAGGCAGCCAACGGTGACAGCAATGGCAGCCCCGGAGACAGCAACTCCGACAATGGCGATGAGGAGAGCCCCGATGCCGCCCTGGAAGCAGGAAGCGACGACGAGCTCACCCGCCGCATCAAGGCTCAGGCCCAGAAAATTGAGGCTGAAGATGAGATTGACGACGATGACTGGGCGGTTGACGTCTCTGAGGAGGCCGTCAAGGCTCGTGCCAAGGAGCTTCCCGATGATCTCAAGCGCACCCTGGTTCTTGAGGATGCCGACGAGGACGGTGCCGACGGCCCGTCCGCTTACGATGAGCTTGGTAGCTGGATCATCGACGCTGCCGCCCAGAAGGGTGGCGTCACTGGTGTCAGTGATGTCGACATCTACATGAAGGCCAAGGAGTATGGCATCGAGGGCAAGCACAAGACTCTCGCTGTCCTGGCCCAGACCATCTTCGACGACAAGATCGTCAAGCAGATCCCCGCCCGTGCCGGTCTTCTCAAGAAGATGATCACTTCCGAGCGTCACGAGAAGGCTTTCCTGGGTGGAACCGAGCGCTTCGTTAGCAAGGACCGCCCCGAGCTGATCGGGCAGATCCCTGCTGTGCTCCTGAAGTACTACGAGCACGACCTCATCTCTGAGGACACCCTCAAGGCTTGGGGTTCCAAGGCTAGCAAGAAGTACGTCGACATTTCGACTAGCAAAAAGGTCCGCAAGGCCGCTGAGCCCTTCCTCGAGTGGCTTGAAAACGCCGAGAGCGAGGAGGAGAGCGAGGAGGAAGACGATGAGTAGACTGCCGCCAGCATGCTGGTTTCTCAGTTCTAGACGTTCGCTTTCGGGATTCTTGCCTCTTGTTGTTTCTCCGCTTATTGTTTGTCTCACCGACTCCACTCATTTGATGCGTATACTCGGTTTTAACCCGCTGTTGCTTGAGTTTGTTGTCTGAGAGGTTTACACAAGACCAGAACATATTAGTTAGCTACCAATAAACTTCTCTGCTCTATACATTTATCTCCACACTAAATAGTAGATCCAGCTTTCGTAAGCAGTATATGTGCCACTCTGTCCTATCCAACTTGCCGACGATTTCTACTTGTTCAAAAATTCAACTCTGCGAACCTCAATCCCATCCCCGGGACGGTCCACCCCTTCAAAGGCTCTTCAACCACCTCAGAAATCAAGGGACCACTCCTCGGCGCGGTTTTCTTGGTGTTGGACCCGACTCCGCGAGCCCGGTGCTCCTGGAAGAGAAACCACGTCAAATCCGCATTCCACGTCTCCAGGGCCTCCAGCGCCTCCTCAATCGACCCTAGATCAGCAGATTTTGTTTCGGTTTGATCCTCCCCACCGCCACCGACCCATTCACTTTGAACTCCATCACCTGATTCTCTGGCCGACCACAGCTCATACACTTCCACCCCACCGCCCGCAAACAAAACCACCCACTCCACCACAAACCGAGCGATCGTATCCCCGACCTTCAGCGGAAGCCGCACGTGCGTGAGCAGGGTCATGAAGAGCGGGAGCAGCCCGCGCCAGATGGCGTGGTAGGGCGTGAAGGTGCGGGCGCTAGTCGCGTGCAGGGAGAGGGACTGCGTAAGGTGGAGTTTTGGCGTTGCTGTTGTTGGATGTGTTTGATTCTCCGGGGAAGTGACGTCGAGAATCGTTTTGGTGTGAGGAGGTTGGGGCTGGTGCTGGTGCTGGTGCTGCCGCGACCGCCGCTCGAGGGCCTTCTCGGCGTCGTGCCGGACTTTCGTCCACGTTTGGCGGTACAGGCGCTCCCAGCGGGGGAATTCGGATTCCACGCGCGAGGCCAGGAAGTCCCCGGCTGCGTGGCAGAGGATTTGGACGGCGTGGCAGGCGGTTGTGGTTACGTAGGTTTCTTCTTCGATGGATTCTGGATTTTCTGGGGGGGTGGTGGTGAGGGTTAGGGTTGTGGGTGTAGATTGGGGTTTGGATCTTGTCGCTGTAGGGGAGGTGGTGGTGGTGGTGATTGGGGAGGACGGGAAGCAGATCCTGGCGGCGAGGGTGGGCCAAAGGTCGTTTATCAGCGGCAAGAAACTGTTTTCGTTGGGGGAGAGGGTTGGGAAGACGTCCGTGAGGATGGTGAGGAGGGAGCGGCGGAGGTATGGGGACGGGGAGGTGAGGTAGGATGGGATCGAGCGGACGATGTGCAAGAGGAGGCTGTGCGGTTTGCTCAGCGGCTTTTCGCCGTCCTCTGGTTCCTTCGGGGCCGGGAGGGGCTCGTCGGATTCGTCTTTTTCCAAGAGCTCGGCGAGGGTGTTGTCAAACTCGGTGGGGGCTGACTGTTCGTCTTGGGATGAGCTCTTCCAGGGCTTGCGAGGGTGCGCGATAGGCTCGTCGGGGAGCTCGTGTGTGAGTTTGGCGCGTTTGGCTCGTCGCTGGGCGAAGTCTTGCGCGAGGGTGGAGATCCGCAGACTTTCGTATCTCTTCTTGCGGTGGTCGGGCTTGGTGGTGCTGCCTTTGCCGTCGCTGATTGCTAGCATGGCGGGAGTTTTGGTCCCTTCGTCGACAATGGCCGCTAATGTGCGGAACATCAGCTCGACGAGCTTGGGATAGCCGTGGTACATATCTAGGATGCCGAAGATGGAATCCACTAGATCGTCCAGGTAGGGGATCAGCCGTGCACCGCAGAGCTTAACCATCATCAGCAGCACCTGGGGTGGATAGGGAGATACATCGAAGGTATTCAGCTTCAGCGCCACTGAGTTCACAAGGTAGTCAACGTTCTCAATCACCATAGTGCTGGCGTCCGGGTAGTTGCATGCATCCGTGAGCAGGTTCAGACACGTCATCGCATGTCTCTGAAGGCTTGAGTTGCTCGAAGCCAGTAATTGGAGGACTGGGTACAACGCATCCATTAATTCCGGCCGGAAGGCTTCGCCGAGTTGTTGTGCCTGCAGAGCGACGGCCTCTAACGCAAGAGCCTGTACCCGCCAATCACGGGAGTCATTGGCCAGTGGCTCATTCAAGACTGGCAGTGCGATGTAGTACAGTTCACCGATCATACCAGTCCTGGTTGTGAGCTGGCCTGAGGGTTCAAGCTCGTCGAGCGAAATAAAGTCATCGAAGGCTGATGTGGCCTGCAGGTTGCTCGTGAGAAAGTTCAATGAAAGCCACATTGGCGAAATGAGGGCGTTGCCGTGCTCCTGATAGAGTCTGTTGATGATGAGACGTGTGATTCCGTTGCCGGATTCCGAAGAACCCAGCCTGACGATCATGGTTCGAAGATCTCGCAGTGTGTCGCGTTGGCTTTTATGTTCCATGAGCACGGGTTCGAAAGTGACGGCGCTGCTTCCATGGTGCAAAACATCCATGTTCTGAGATTTTATGGCAGAGGTGCTGAGAGGCTGCAGTGCATTCATCGTGTTGTTCACGGCTGCAGCAACACTGTCACATATACCCGACGCCAGGCTGCTTTCCAGGATATCGGAACTAGACTGTACTTGTGACAACACCTGAAAGGCAGTGGATATCTGTCTCACTGCCCATTGTTTCGATGTTTCATCATTGCCTTGCATAGTCCGTGGGAATGAAGTGATCCAGGTGTGCAGAGAGTTCTTGAGATTGTCTACCACGACTGGGTAAGTCGTAGCGTGGTGGGTAAGAGCTGTGAATGCTTCATTCGGTACATTCTTATCGTCCTCGTCGGACAATACGATCAGGGTTTCGACAATGATTGGTAGCGACTCTTGCAGTGTGACTTGACAATCTTCTACCACCATCAAGCAAAGTTCACGAAGGGCTGTTTGTACCTCAGGCCGTTCGTGTCGTCTGACCTGTATAATATTGGCAAGCGCAAGCTTGATCTGCGTGGCTGTAGCTTTCAACCAGGAGGCATCAAGCACAAGCGGATCGTCCGGCTTCTGTGAATTATCTTGTTTTTCGGTCACCTTTGAAGCTCGATCGTTGAGAACTGTTCTTAGCATGTAGGTGAGGATCTGGAGGCAAAGACTCAGAAGCCTGTAAGAGCGCCGCGTCTGCGTCGTGGGTCTTATCACTTTCGTCAGGGTTGAGACTGTCCGGGGCATGATACTAGCCAGGACTACCCTATCAGTGATGCGACGGTAAAGGGCCATGAGCGATTCGGCCGCCGAAATGCAAAGCTGATCGGATTGGTCGTCGCCAATTCCTTCTAGCAGAACATAGACCGTTTGATCGACCACAGTGGCGGTACCAACTTCATGGTAGATGGTGGCGGTGGCCTCGGGACCTTCAAGAACATTGAAGATAGCTGAAAGGCAGTTGAACCCTGTAATCGACAATTCCGCTGGCCGAGCTTGTGCGGGATGGCTACCGTTGGCTTTGCTCGGTGCACCTCCCACGATCAAAGTCAGAAGTATCATGAGCTGTTTGCCCATTTGAGAAGATAGACGTTTCCGCCATCCTTTCTCGATTAGAACTTGCAGGCATTTAACAGCAAGTTCCAGAGAGTTGACTGGTGTTCTTTGCGTCTCGTTGAAGATGTGACAAAGAGGGAAGAATGCATACTCTGCGAGCTTTTCGTCCAGGGCATCTTTATTGCCAAGTTCGTTCAGAACGATGTACACAGATCTCAAAGCTTCGAAGACATCATTGGGAGACGCTTGACTCCCACGGAAGCGCAAGCCGACAGCGCTCAGTTCCACACATGGTGGTTTGAGCTTCGCTAATCATTAGTCTGGTTCGGGCATGATACTGAACTGGAGTCGCACCTTGGTGAAAGCTTCCTGTCGGGAGATCTCCATCGAGTCAAACTGATTTGGGTGTAACGAAAGCAATCATACAATCAGAGACATTGCAGCCACTGGATATATCAGACAGATCATCAAGAGCCTCACAGTTTAGCTACAGCGAAACATCAGGTTGTGCATTGCAACGATCAAAAGGAAGCATTATCGATAATCCTCTCCGCCCTCGCGATCACTTTCTGCCCGACTCCCAGAGCGGTGAATGTAGAGAGATTTGCATTGTTTGATCTGCGAATGCGTCACTCTGGCTCAACTCGAGCCTTCCCCTGAACTGTAGCAAGACTAGACCCAAGAAAGAGCATTCTCATGAAACATTGGTGCTAAATGATACTCCAGATGTGATTTTAATCGTCCTGTCAAGAACCCACGGCATCGACTCGACTTACCCCAGTTGTAAGTATAGTCACGTGATACTAATTAATTTCGCGTCACGTCACGTCGCGTTAACTCCAAGGCTCCCGTTGAAGCTTAAAGCAATTGGAAGGCAGCAATGTCTACCTAGTGTGCCTGGCCCATGGAAACGACAGACCCTCAATGCATATAAACTGACAAGCTGGCAAAGTCTATTATCAGGTGAAAGGCGGTAGCAGCGAACGTCTATGCTCTCTTCATACCGTTCCGCGTGTGTTACGCCGTCTTTTCCATTCCTTCGCAGGAATCCCGCCTTTGGCACCGCAGCTCCGAGGACTCTGCATTCGACTCGACACTTTGCGCACCCCCATTCCTCGCTTTCTCGGACAAGACCGCTCGTATCTAGTCCCTGCTTGCGATCAGAATATTGTCTCCGTCCCTCACTATCTCTCGCAATGGCGGATTCTAAAGGTCGGAAACAAGCAACTCTGGGGTACGTCAAAGATTCCCAGCTAACTCTCGGGTGCGTCTTTTATGACTGGCGCCTAGGTATTCTCCATTTTTGTTCCCGAAAGTTTCTCAACTAACATATGATGACAATCTGTAGGAGATTCTTCGGATCGAATTCCGACGCCCCACGAGATGCGCCTAAGAAGCAGACCACGCTCGCGTTTTCGGGCAAAAAGAGCAAGACCCAGGAGACCGTCGACAAAGCACCAGAGTCAGCTACTGTCAATGGTGCCAAGGTCAAGGACGAAGCCATGGA